AGATGCCAGATACATTTTAGGCAAATCTTTTTTTTTTTACCTTGGATTTCACAGCTTCAATTCTTGTAGGTTTTGATGTTCTTTATGTTTCAGCAAATTACAGTTATTTTTTTAAGTAGGAAAATAATTCCTTTAAGACGACATATGGATTAAATACCATAATAGCTGTAAATGTTTCCCATCTTCTTTCTCAAAATAATTATCATGACAATAAAAGAAGTCATGTAACAGAATTGAAAATGAAGAAAAAAACCTGCATTACATGGTATCAAATGTCATAAAATTCTTGAAAAATGTGATGTGCCCACGAACTTTACTGACTAAAATTCATAGAGCCAGACATATGTTATATCAAATTCAGCCACCAATCCCTTTTATGCTTTTGTTTCCTTTTTCTTCAAGCTTTCTCTAAAGTTAGGGAAATCTGAAAACTGACACTACAGCCAGACTAGAAATGCCTAGACATGAATGCCCTTGCTTCAAATGGCATAAGAAAGTGGCAGTATTTTATTACTGACATTTGATTTTCGCTTTGCATGACAGAGTTTCAGTCAATTATAGAAAGGGGGAAACAAGACTTCTGATAAACAGCCTACCTGTAAAAAGCCATAATATATATCTTGAACTTTCCATCAGATTCTACTGTTCAATAGGTACATTCAGACAAGAAATAATTTGGACCGAAAAATAAACAAACTTTTCCTGCATCATACAACCAGAAATTGGTTTGAAATATGTTATTTGAAATGAGGAAGTGCTATGTGCCTCATGTGGATACACCTTTACACAAGTATATCCCATTTGCACTTCAGGCATCTACATCTACATGCTTTTCATGACAAAAGTTGGACATCTTTAAGGTTAACTTAGTTCTTGTCTGAACTGTCTGTCTGTCTCCTCTTTTACCAGGCCATAAAAACACACTATTGTCTCCAGTGTCATTTGAAACAGGTAGATAAGTGAAAAGTAAACTAAAGACTTCGTGGGAGATAGTAAATGAGAAAAACACTTTTGAAATTTTGACAACACGGTTCTGAAGAAACATGAAGGGGAAAGTTGCTGGGTTGGAACTAATAGCCTCCCTTTTTTGTTGTTCACAGAGGTTTGTAACAATTCACTGATCAAAGTCTGCTTTGACTACACTATGATGTATCTTATAAATATTTGTGTGTTTTCTTCACAGAGAGTAATCAAAAAAATGAAACAAAAAAAGGAGAATCTCATGCAAACATGCATGCATTATGTTTGACTAAATAGACCCCCCAAAATAGATAATAAATTTAACAAATAAAACCGGGCAATTGCTTTTAAGTCATAGTTAGGTGAGTATCAATATTATGATTGGTTTTGGTATTGAATCAATCAGGAGTATTGTTTCAGCATAAGGATTGTAATAAGCATGTTGTATTCTTTTTACACATATCTGTACATACAATTAGAGACACGGGCAGCTTTCAACTCATTTCAAATATTATAATTTTCTTTTTTTTTCACTTTTTGTACCCTTACATACACATCCTATTCCATATACATGGAAAGTTCACTTATGAATAACCATTTCCCATTTCCATGTTCAGGATCCTTATGTGCTGAGTCTGGTACTTGGGTAGGCCTGATGTTGCATCTTTTTCTCACAATTTACAAATGATAAACCCCCAAATTAATTTTGAAACTTTAAGAAGAAAATGACATGCTACTAACTTTCTTTTCTTTAAATCATTGAGGAAAATCAGGAAAATGCTATTTTATTCACCACTAATAGCTAAAAGTCCATTTGACATATGAACTAAGCCAAAGCAGTTCATTTACTTAATCCAAATGGCAATTTATTGAACTCTTCAAACAACTGAATTTCTGTCTAAAAGGAATTTCCTCATTCAAATTTGACCAATCAAAAAGCTTCAAAAAGTTATAATTTTAATTTATCAAACATATAAGCTATCACCAGTATGAGTACAGTCAAGTTAATTGTTAATGTATAAAAAATGTGACCTTGTTTGACCACTGTCACACTGAGCTGAACATTCTTCCTGGTTAAAACTGTTCAACAGCTTCAGGCACTTAAAAACTTTATTAAGAATAGTTCTCACAAATGTACTTAAAGTATGGCTTTTTTGCTTTTCAACTGCTGCATACATATATAATACATGGTTTGCTATCTGATCATTGTACATATTGTACATTTGATGCTTTTATGTTTCAAAAAGTTGAAGAATCTCAGAGTTTCTTTCTTTTTTCTTTTTTTTTTTTTATTGTTGAAATGCCAGCTTCACAAATGGGAAACTCTTAACACTCAATTGCACCTTAATCAATTTTTATTCCAATTTGGGTTAGTACTACTAGTTGTGCATTTTGAATATATGTTACATGCTGTATCTTTTGAGTTTGGATACCATATGTTTTAGATATCTACCATATGTAACCCATACAGATTTATTTTTAAAAAGAAGCAAAAAAAATCATACCCCCTGGATGCTATTTATGCTGTATACTTCTCATAACAGTTAAAATTACCATTATTAATTGAGTAAAGATGCCAAGCCCCCACTTCTATAAAAAAATACAAAGAAACATCATTCATCCATAAAATTAAAAAGGAGGAAAAAAGCAGTTAAGCAAAATCTACCTTACTTCTGCTGGTGTCCTTTCACTAATTTATATCCTATAAACTGTAATTCAGCATGCAAAGTTTAACCCTGTCAATCAATGTCTTCTGAAACTCACAATTGGACTCTGGCACATCCACCCTCTCCACCAAAATTTACTTTTGTATCTTCTGCAATCTGAGCTAGCTGTGAAAATTAAAAGTCATTAACCGAAATAGGGGCAAAAAAAGTTGCCTGAAATTTATCCGCCCGGTAAAATTTTGTTACAATAGTGTGAACAACCATTATGCTCCCAGCCATTGAAAAATTTCTGCTTTGATCTGAAAGCCAGGCACAGCAGACGCTTTCAATGGTGGTTGTTACATTAAATGGTCTGTTTCTTATCCCAAATTCATGCAGTGAAATGAAATGTCAGTCTTGGTTTTTGGACTGTGTTTAACAATGATGTATGATGTGTCAAATTCTTGATTCGATTAGTTTATTTGATATTGCAATTTAATGCACAATGTTAAAAAAGTTTAAGAAAAGCTCTAACGCTGTTTCCCGACTAGCCGCAAGATGAACAATAAACAAGGCGTCAAGTAGAGCATAAGGACACAGCTTTCATTTCATTTAACAATAAAAAATATAACATCACGAATAAACTAGATTTCATAAAATTGTGAAGTTTTGATACTGATACTATGGCTCAACTGTAAATAAAAAAACGTATCTGAAATTTTTTTAAAGCTAGATGTAAAAATTAAAGTCATTAACCAAAACAGGGGGAGAAATAGGAGCAGCAAAAAATGCCAATGTTATAAATAAAAAAATTTTAAAAAGAAGAAAGAAAGAAAAAAGAAAAGAAAAAATTACACTACCCTTTTGCCACAAATTGAAGGGATATATTTGAAGGGGAGGAGTCAAATTTCCATTTAATGCTTCAGCTATGGATTTAGTTTTATAGTAATTTAAAAAATCCAACGAAAACTTGCAATACTATTTCAAAAACATGAAAGACAACATGAAATATAAAATAAGCAGTCATATGTCCACAAATTATTACACTCTTAATTAATTTCTTTCTTTCTTAAATCCTTAAGACAACAAAATTTCAAATGTGATCAAGAATTTCATATAAACTGCAAAACATGTCACTAGTTGATTTGCTGTTTTACATTGAGCCCATTCTGTTTAATAGTCTTTCCTTTATCACTTTTTACAATCAACCAGAAAACAATGAAAAATAATGGTATGATAAACTATACAGAAACATTGTACACAATACCCTCACACATAAAAGTTAGCAATATTATTGAAAACCAAATGGCACTACAGATCTATACATGAAACATTCCCTATCCCTCTTGATCTGCAGTTTTAAATATTAATACAAGTACTTTCCTTTTTTAGAGATATTTCAAGAACAGAAGTGACATCATTCAAGTCAACATTAATCAAGCTTTATACTTTGTTTTTTATTACGTAACTTCCAAATGCCATCATAAGAGTATTCAAATGCACCATAAGAAGAAATTTTAAAGAAAAAAAGGAAACCAAAAGAAACCAGGGAAGAAGGCTCATTACTGTGAGACAAAGCAATGAATTGCATTTCGGTTGTACAAAATTTAGACACTGATTTGAAAAAGATGTGTAAAGTCAGGTGTTTGAAGCTGGCATTCCATTGGCTTGCAGAGAAAATGCTTTTCAAACCTGTTTTTTGCAACATTTGGTGCCAATGATTTCTCTACTTTACATAAAACATATGGATTTAAATTTTTTTGCCAATTTTGATATTAAAAATTGTATGAATAAGCTTTTTTTCTGAATCAATTATGTGATAATAATCTTTTATTGCTAAAAACAATAATCTCTAAGCTACTGCACAGGTCTTACTTTACATTTTCAGACCTCACAAATGAAGACCTATTGACAACTTGTTTGCTTAATCTAAGTAAAAAATAGAACAAAAGATTTTTCAATGCTCATATAGTGTATTAGTTTCCTATTTTTCTAGACTCCTGTCTGTTTCTGTTTTTACAAAATAATTTTCACTAAATTAAGCACAAAAAATCATATAATAATAATAACTTCCATTTTCTTTATAAGCTTGAGCACGCACTAAAAGAACATTTCTTCGTACTATGAAATTGAAAAAGGGAACTAAATCTTTGTCACATTTTTAATTATCTACGAATAAAAGTTAAACCAAGTGTAGAAAAGGGTATCTTAAAAATATATATATTTACAAGGCATTACTGAGTTTAGATCTCAATACAATGATGATCGGTAAGTAATGGAACATTAATTCCCAGGAATTTCAACAAACTTATGGAAAAATCTATTTCCTTTGTATTTTTTGCCCTTAAATCCAAATCGTTCTCTCTTTAAATGAACAATTAAAATGAAACTCACCTTCTTCCAGATCACATATCTTCATCATGTTCCCTACAAAATTTCCCCAAAGGGCTCTTATATGAATTTTTTCCTAAAACAGACTCTACCAACCTATATATTGAGATAGTTAGTGGCTGCTACGTAACAGATCAGCTAAGTCAATCTCACAGACCGCACAAACAAGTCGGTGGGCTTCAAAGTAAACTTTCTATTCTTCTCCCTTCATTTTGACTGGTGAAACTGAACCTTCCCCAGACTCCTACGCTTTCACTGGGGACATTCCAGCGTGAAAGCCGTATGATCCGTCTACCGTAATTCAGCTCCATTTGTATTCAGGTGCATGGCCCCTCCTTTGTCAGAATACCACAACAACTTTCCCTTCAACAATTGCCCCTATCTATATATGGCAATCATATCATGATTAGTTGGAAAAGCTATAAACTGGAAGATGAAATTTTCAGATACATCACCAGTATAGAAAATTTCCCCTTTTCAAATATCTGTAACTTGATAACAAGATGAGGCTTAGGCTGTATAAAGAGCCCATCAGGATTGTTGTTTGCCCCCCAAAGGTTATTTAATAGAAGAAAGTGATCCCAGATCATTAAGTGAAATTTAAACTATCCCTACTTCTCTTACAATACCTGGATGTCTGCAATTTTAACACCTTTCTAATATGTAATTGCATCACCAGATTTTATTAGATCATACCCTAAGAAATATTTGAAATTACTGCCAATTAATTTCTCATACAACCCACTTGATGACTTAGTCAGTCCTTTTAGACTTTCTAAATATCAAATTCTGAAATTGGTTCCTTAAACTTTGTAACAAAGGAGACATACATAGGTTTTCTCATGTAACAGATTTGGTGATCATTTTCTCATTTTGCTGTAGATGAGGCAAAACCATTTATCATAATCATTGGTAGATGGCATGATGTGTCCCAAATGACCAACAACAGTTGTATAAGAGAAAGGTAGCCTACCCAACCTGGTCGCTATGTCATCCAGGCCTCACTCACTCACTTTCATGTCACCGCTGGCAGTGGCTTGATGGAGGCTGAGTTCCCTGTTGTCACTTTATAGGCATCCCCGCCTCCACACATGACTGCTTCAACATAAAAACACTGATCACATTTAATGAAAATGACTGAACGTTTTGTCATGGGTTACAATCGTGTCATTCGGCTAAAAAAAAAAAGTGAAATTTACCAGACCATTTCATGATTGAATTTTAAATAGTGCTTGCAAAATTGTCTCCTTTTTATCTCTCCTTAATTTCAAACACTCTTAGGCTGAAAATCAGTGAAGGGCTCCAAAGTGGTTAGGTGACAGTGGTGTGCTTTTCTGTAGCATGTATTAATTACATCAAAATTCCACACCTGCCAATAATGCTCTCCCCTGCATGCAGCCCGTGTTCGAACACTTCCCAACAAGTATTTAAATAGCAATCATAGGACAGGACACAAATGACTTAGGCTACTGAGAGAGAGACTGTCACTTGGACTCCTGTTGGCCTACGGCAAAAGACGAAAGTTTTCAATTTAATGTCAAATTAAATTCTGCTAATAGTTTTTTAATGACACATCTTACAATGGGTGGGCTAACAGGGCAGTGAAATTGCTTCCTTGCCTTTTCTTTGACTAGATTTGATTTCTAAATCAAGGTGTTGTGATGAGGTTATAGAAGTTTTTAATCAGATTCTTTTAAGTTTTATCCCATTCTTTTTTCTCTAAAAAAGATGAAAAATATGCCAACTTTTAACAGACTAAAATATGTTGCTGATTTAAAATCAATAATCTTAGAAGTTAGCAGTGATCTAAGTAGGAGCATTTCATAAAGTTTCAATTTCTAACAAAACTGAATTTTGAAGTATTAATTTTGTCTACTATGAGGGCTTGGAGATGTAAAAATCAATCACTCAATCATCAATACTGACAAAAATGTTTTCAGGTCTTGAGACATAAAAATCTCACTTTTCCTTCAAGCACTGGAGTTTCAATTCTTGAACTTCGGTTAACAACCCCCTAGTGCCAAGTGCAGAAAAATGATAGTAAAATTAAAAATCTGTGAATACCAGTGCCAAGGTTTACAATGATGGATGTTTGCAGTAAGAAACCACATGCAGTATCGAATGTACTGCTTTTATACTACAGTAAACCTCATTTTCATAGCTTCAATGAGATAAAAGGACCATTCTGCTCTAAAGACTGACACTTCTTTAAAAAGTGAGATCATCAAAATATCCTTTTCAAAGCAAGTACGGTCAATACTTGTTTAGTGACTTTGTGCTTAGTACAATTAATCCTCACTCACCAACAGGTACAACTGTAATCTTTTTTCAAGCTAAACAATTTAAAAATAAGATAAGTAAATGTCATATTTTTAATTAATAAGAGGAAAGAATTATCTTAAGGTGAAAGAAAAACAGAAATTATTTGAAAGGTTGGAAAAAAATTTACCCGTTAATATATGGAACAGGTATTTCAAAATTTACAAAAAAAAAAAAAAAAAAATAGAATGTTTGTTATTCTGCATCCAATATAAAATATGAAACAGCACTGGGTTAAATGAATTTTGCTGAATAAATTTACTTTTCAGACAAATCTCTCTCTCTCTCTCTCTCTCTCTCTCTCTCTCTCTCTCTCCTTGATTCAGCCCCAGCAGGAACCTCTGTCAGTAGAAACTAATAAATGCACCTGTGGCATTGTGTAAAAATCTTTTTTCTCTATTTCTGGAATGCAATAATTTCTAAACACAAACCAGAAAGACAAAGCACCTGGGATACAATTGAAATGCCCCACTCTACTGGCTCAAACAAGCGTAAAGTCATGATATATTAGTTAAGATGTTTTTCAATGAGTAGATAATGAGAATTGGCAGCTGGACAACGAGTGAGGAAATGTGGTGCTTTTACTATAAGTTTATGGGCAGACAAGACTGATGAGATAATAGAAATCTTGTGACAGATATATTGTAAGAGAAAAAGCCATCGTCTACTCTTACAAGAAAGCAAAGGAGAAACTACATATAGAATCAATAAATATGTGACGCCTGCTTCTTCACAGCTTCAGTGAAAATGTGGACTGTAAAATTACTTTTTTGTGTATTGAAAAATTAATTGCTTCTAATTTTTTATGCTAAATCACTTACCTCATTTTGTATTGGAAAGTCAAAAGGTTGCTTGTTGTTGCAGTTACAGCAATATTTTCTCCTTTTCTTTCTCTTCATTTTCATTTTTTCCCTTCACAGCTGAAACAACAAAATAAAAAGCCATGAAATATTAACATTTTTTCAGAACCAGGAAAAAAAGCACATCAAAGTCAAGATTTTTATGGATAACATGAGATTGAAGCAAAAGTCTTAATGGATTTTCTTTCACAGTAGATGTGAAGTTAAGTGCTATACTGATACATCTGAGTATACTCCCAGCATTTCCCTTTCCTTGTTCGACAAATGTACTTCCTGAAGAAAAATGTTAACACCTGTACCGTTGAAATTAATTCATCAGCCATAGAAACTAATGACAAGAGCTGAATGACAATATTTATTGAGAGCCTGGCAAGGAAGACTTTGTCAATTGACTTTTTAGTTTACTCATGCATGGAAATTATTGCAGTTCCAGATCCATCTTCTTTTCATTTATTGATGGATGTTTTGATGATTGTTGATGACTTTTATTGGGAATGACCAGTTAATAATATACTCAATCATGAGAACTTTGAATATTTTGCAGACAGTACAATTTGCATGTCACAACTTCCTTTTATTCACAGCTAGAATAAATAATTGGCAAAATTTAACTTCATATAATGAAATTGAAATCATGTATATTTGTTTCTTAGTTAATTCTTTCATTTTTCTGCTTTTGTTTTCAATTAAATGTAAGTCAATGGCAATGAAAAGAACTGTCATACAAATTGTTTTTATAGTTATAAATACTAATAGAAGAATAATTCTAGCTATAAAGTACCTTGAATTTGAACTAAATCATGCAATGACAAAATTAAATTGGCTAAATAAGCTCAATAATTTACCCTTTTTGGTTAAATCAGAATACTTTTAGAAATAACCTTTTATGAGACTAAAAAAATGAATGAGAATCTGTATGAGATGGGGTTAACTTTTCAAAAATAAGGGTGAAACTTTTTGGGCAGGAAATGTTGTTTTACAAAAGTGGCATGCATTCAAAACATGGTGAATTTGTATAATTGTGCAACGGACTGTGATTCATTCGCACGTACTTATAGATATAAGAGAAAACAGCCAGAAAATTTGCTATGAATAAATTCTGTCACTTTTTATGTGTTGCCACACTGAAATTGTACATGCAAGTTTACCATATTACTTCTTATTCCACTTACACGGCTATCTTATGATTAGGATTTGACCCTCTTAATATGGCTGTTGAGGTTCTGACACTGCCAGTCTTGTAGGTCGATCTCCATTTGATCTGAATACTAGCTGTTATGTTTGAAAAAAAAAATGAAATAAAACACAAAAGCAAACATTGAAACATATGTTATTGTGGATGAAATGCTTCATGTATTGGCATGCAAGAAGAGTCAACTTTATTGATTTATCTGTTACATTGATAGATATATAACCAGAGAAAGGTCTCCGTTAGCCGTAAAATATTTCTGGCAATAAAGTTTGCGTTCAATTCGGCGGTTATGAAGCATGCATAACATACATCAAAATCTTAAATACCTGGGACGAAAGACAAACACAATGAGCAGTCAGATCTTTGGCGAATTTGTATGCTGCGACAGTTGTAACCAATAAAATCGCACCTGTCGCACTTCTTATGACGTCATCAAAAGCAGTGCACAATACCTGACAACTGTGTCAACATCCTACATTTCTCTAGTCTTTTATTTAGGCTACGAACATCGACTGACAAGGAATGTTCTATAAGTGAGCATTATGTAGTACAAGACCAACTGGTAATTAACCAAAGCACAATGGGAGCTTCCTGTAGTAGCGACAAGTCTACAGGTACTGGGATAGCGTTTTAGTTGCGAGATAAACTCTCTCTATCTCTCGTCGCCGCAGTTTTCGGCCTCACCTGTTAGCTTGTGATTTATCTCGTAATTTAGGATATATATTTCTTGTCTCGGTTTTTGGCCCAACAACATGTTCATACCTCACATACATGAAATGGACTACGTGTATCAAATTAACGCCTTGCATTGACAAAGCACTGATACTATCAGTGATAGTGATCAGATAGTGCTACAGTCACGTGTAGAGTTTCATTAATATGAAATGCATTACCCTTTTTACAGAAATATCTACGCTTGAAAAGGTCCCGAAATTTAAGATAGCTTTAGTGGGTAAGTAAACAAATTTTGCTTGTGGTTATAATTAAGATACAGTATTTGCTAAATGTGCTTTGAAAATATATGATTATGAATATTTTCTACAAATAATCATAATCAGGTATGTAGTGTAGTAAAAAATAAGGGGTAGACAAAGAATGATTTACAGGTAAATGTTAGGCTTGCCTAATACATGTTGGTACAAATAGCCAGTTCCACATTGACAAACTTGTCACCAAAATTATACTAGTCTTGTTAATTACATTACAGTAGTTATCATATTTTTCAAATTTTTATTTGGACTTATTTTTGTGTTCCATTTGAAAATAAGCAATTTTGAGTGAAGTTTTTATTTTATTTAGCAGTTATCAGTAAAACACACATCTGAGATGTACCTGTACATGTACATATATTTTGACTAGCATATCTAAGATCTAATAAACGGATATATTAGATTTTAGGGCATATGTACCCAGTCAGTATGTGGCTGTTTGTTGAAATACAAGTACATATAGTGTGTTTTTTTTATCATAAGGTGACACTGAAGTAGGGAAGAGCAGCATATTCCTCAGATACTACAAAAACCAGTTTGACTACAGCTACAGACCTACAGAAAAAGTAGACATAGGTAAGCATTCCTGCAGGTGAGATGTTTAAGTCAGCAGAATCATATCATTTTCATTTCATTCAAATTGTCATATTGGCATCATATTAAAAATTTCAATCATTTTCATGCCTCATGGAACTGATATTTTTTCAGATCACAAACCTGATGCAATTCTGGTAAATGATGAAGTTTAATTTCATTATAATTCCAATGTCAACACAAGAGGCATTGGGCTATATATTCCACTTTTGCCTTCATTTGCAGACTTTGCTGGTGTGCTGTTATTTAATTACAACCATTCACTGCTGTACTGCTCTTCTCAGTCTATTTTACAAAGCTTTTAATTTTCCTCAACCACCATATAAATATAAAAGTATAATATCTAGATTAAGAATGAATAAAACCACAGTGGTATTTTTGTTATTTTAGATAATGTAGTAAGGAAGATCAACATCCCAGAAAATGCAGTCATGTCACTCACCCTGTGGGACCTGCCTGGTAGAGAGGATATGGACATGAGGAAAACTTACTACAAAGATCTTGATGCTGCTATTGGTAAATAATTAAATTTTATTGTATTTTTTAGGGATATACATATTTATATATCAATGTTTCTACAAGATATCACTGTGAGTTTGAGAGTCTATTGGAAATTTTATTAACAAACATGCTGATACAGGGCGAAAAATGGATTTGCTAATGAGAGTCAGCAAAACACTTGAGTACTTTTAAGCCAGTGTGTAAAATGTACATGTAGTATGTATGTAGTTTTTCTTTATATTTGTCATTGATTTATAATTTAATCTATGTCAGTCCTTTATAATTTCAAAACTATTGTTAAATTATTCATTAGATTTGTGTGTGTGTGTGCTTTTTATAAGAGCATGCTTGGATGTGTTTACAATGTTGTTTAAGAGCTAGTTTTTATGATAACATATCCTGCCCCTGTGTTATAGTTGTGGTAGACCTCACAGACCCAGAACAAGTAGAGCTGGCACCATCATGGCGCCAGGAGATCATCAGCAATGCCACATTCACCAGAGAAAAAAAGACCAAGCTTCCTGGTGGTGAAGAGGAGATAAGTGTGGAGCTTGTCCCAGCTTTGCCTGATGACATTCCAGTCTTGCTTTTAGGGAACAAATATGATTTGGTAAGCTGTCAGAATTGGTTTGTTTGTGATTACCAGTAGTCTTTTCAGGTGTATGTACTTTCGTTATTGAATTAGAACCTCATATTTAAGTCAAGTCACATTTAGATTTTGACAGAATATCACTTGGCTTTTGGACAATATCATTTAACAACATGTAGCTTTCTTTTTACCAGATGTCATGTAGATAGTAAGACATAAAACATAACAAAATTAAACCATGCTCGAAGTCTCCAAAGTTAAAAAGTTCCAAGTACTGGCTGGATTTCATAAATTTCAGAAAAAAAGGTGAACTTGACTTACATGATGAAGCAAACAATGGCAGTACTGTTCACATCCACATCCACAAAAATATCAGTAAAGTTTGCCTGACTGTAGCCAGCAGAGTCAGGTGTTAATCTACATGATACTGTCACCTGCAGTTAAAATTAAACATAATGCACAGACATTAAGTTACAAACAGGGATCAGATGAAATAATAACTCGATCCCTACTGCTCTCACAAAGAAAAACTAAGCACTTTCATTTCTATGTGACAGACAACATGTAAGATTGGCTATGATGTCACTGGAAGGTCAGGTGAAACTGGTTATCATGAAACTGCCATTTCTCCATAGTCTGCGAAATTATGAAACAGTGAAAAAATAACAGTAAAGGACTTAAAAATGAAGAAAAAAATGTTATTTGTTCCCCAATTATTACAGAGAAAAACAAGTTCATTTTTCAAAGTTAAAAATGTTAAAACAGCATTGAAAGTAAAGACAAATCTCACTCAAAAAGAGAGCATTGAAACTGTTTGGCACATTTATCTTGGAGTTTTAGGAAATTTGGAAAGAGGTGGTGGTTTTGAAGTTATTGGAGTGCCAGGTATAGACTTTAGAGATCTTGAAACTGTTGCAATAACAGGATATTACATTTTGGAATTGTAATGCAGGGATGGCTTGAAACTGTTAACATAACTGAGGTTTTGGGAAAAAGTAGGTCAGTTAGTTGTGAGGGATATTCTTGTGATTATTGATTTTTTTGGGGGGGGGCGGGGGAAGTGGGGATAGTGTCAGAAGAGATGGCTTTGTAACATTTAGAGATAAAATAAAACAGAAAATGCACACAAACAGAGCAAATTAATAATAATAATAATAATAATAATAATAATAATAATAACAGAACATGCGCATGCGCATGCCTGATGACAGGTCTATGAATCCCCAAAATTTCACCTTCTCACTCTAATGGTCTTGGAAGAGATAGCAAAAATCACTAACACACAGACTCACTAACAGATGCATAGATGGAAGGGTTTACATGATCACTGACTTTTGTTTCAAAAGCACAGGGATAATAATGTTAGTTGAATGTGAGTTCATATGTCAGAATGGTTTGTTAATTTTATTAATAGTTTATGTTGTTCTTAGAAGTTATTGTTGAGACTTGGATATGCTGCCTTCAATGTTTATAAATGTTTCATTTGAAGCACCATTCGACAAATAACTAAAACTAAAAAAAATATCTGCGCGTGTTTGTACTTGACTAGATCGAAGAACAGATGTCACTTGAAAAAGGAAGAAAATCTGCTGCCCAGTCTGAAATGAAACTTGCTGATCCCAGGGACAAAAATGAAGGAGAGTCCAGTGCAGATGCTACAAATGGCAATGATAATGGTGAAGGTCAAAATGAAGGTGAAGGTCAACTTGTAGATGACCAAGAAAGTGAAGCTCGAACAGAAAGGCAGTCAAAAAGTGAAGATGACAAACCAGAGACAAGTACAGTCAATGAAGATACACTCAACAGCAAGAACAACAAAGAAGATGAAGAAAATGATGAGGAAAAGATAGGAAAAGATGAGCAGCCTTTGGAAGATGAAAAAGGTTAATTTGTAGCAACACAATACTGCAATTATTTCTTTTAATCACATGTGTAATTGTAGCAGTGACTTGGGTGTTCATTCATATCTGCAGCATGGATTTAAATAGAATTAGTTTTAAGTTATAATTGTTGATGTTGTTGTTGGTAACATGCCATGCAATCTCCGTTATACTATTTATGACCACTGTATAAAACTAGTATCATTGGCTATATCTATTTTAATATGATATATTGATTCAATTGAATAATGCCAGTTTATTTTACTATATTATTTTTTTCTGTCAAGGTGACAAAGAAGAAAATATTGACCAAAAAATGGAAAAGTGGGAAAAAGAGAGGAAGTCTGTTCCACACATAACACTTGAGGAGCTGGAGGAGATGGAGAAGCCAGAATGTGTTAAACTACTGGAGAAAGTGGCAAGTGAGCATGGATTTGTTGGAAGGTAATTTTATTGATCACAATAGCATATCTTTTTTCAATTTTTTTTCTTTTGTTTTAATAATGCTTTTTGTAAAATCATTGCAGATCTATGTTTGACAAATGTCAGCCAATCAGATATTTTGATGTATTTTTGTCTTTATTCTTAACACTGACATAACAATAATGTTGAGCTGTTTATTGTTTCCTGCATTATAGAGATCTGCCAGGGACACCTTTTCAGTTTTATGTTTGTATTTTGGTACAGACATATATAATTTCAAAAGGTCTACAGTTCTACATATAAAACTTGACATTGTCTTTATTTTAGTGTGGTGGTATCAGCCAAGGATTCTGATGGCTCAGTTCATGCAGCAGTGCAGTCATTTGTTAGATACCTGTTAGTCAAGAGACTGAGAGACAAACCAAAGACAGAAGAGAAGGACAACAAAAAGAAAAACAAGAAGAAAAAAAAGAAAGGGGATAATGACTTTGAACCCCTAGCAGAGGTTGGAATCAAGGAGGTATGCATGTTTTTTGGGCAGTGGAAGGCACACAATGTGATGTGTTTATTTAATTTGTCAAGGCAGTATCAAAAGTAGTTTGTAATTATTTGTAAAAAGTAGCACATGTGGAGTATGTAGAGAGATGAAGTGCTGCCCAACAGGGACTGGCTGATAAGCTGAAAATTTTATGGCACAGACTGATTTTCAGACATTTGTTGGAATTCGGACCACTTAACACTCCTTTGACTGTAGTTGCAAACTGATTCAATAACTGTTTGAAATTTTTCAGATTTTTGCCAAGAATTTAAGCTCATGCCTTGTTTACATTTGTGATCTATCTTCTATTTTTTATTATCTGATTGTTTACCAGCAAACAGATCTGTTTTCACTCCCTTGATCTCTTAATTTTCCAGTTTGATGATCTGTTCAACAAGTGCAACATGCCCATCAAGAGGTCAGAGGACTTCAGTATCTACTATGAAGTACTTTTACATAAGTTTAAAGTGGCCTGTCTTGATGCACAGGTAATACAGGCTCTCAATGCAGACAAGCGTAGCCTGGAAGACTGTATTACTGGCCTGAAAGAAGCCATTGGAACAGGCAAAGAATTACAGGTATGGTGGATATTTATCGGCAGATCTTAGTTTTTGTTTGCATTTGCTTGACTTTGTTCCACACGCATGCATGTGAAAAAATCTTTTAACTTTCCCTGCCATAGGTTATATGCACATGAAATGTGAAGGAAAACATACAATTGTGAAATAAGTAATAAGTCACTTGCATTCCTTTACTGTCTTCGTCTTCTTTCTTGTTGTATATAAATCTTAAATTATGAACCATCTGCTATGTTTCAGATGGAGGAGGATGATGGTTTTGTCAAACTAGTCCTGACCAACCCTAGAATGAAACTCAAAGCACAGATCAGAGACATTCTGGATGTCTTCCATAAAGATGTGAGCTGTTATTTTTTATTATATAGTCATTAATCAGTGGGGTGATTTGGTTAAGATTTCAGAATGATGAGTAGTGAGTAGAAGTCATAGTTGTGAAGTGGTACTAGAATTAATAAATGTAGCAGTAGGAGTGCTACTAACACATATAGAAGTAATAGTGGTAATCCACAGTCTTCTTTTCATTTCAGTTTTCCGTCCTATGTAAAACTGTCCTCAAGGAGTGTCCTCGTCTAAGTGTAGCCTTGAAACATCTGGACGACAAAATAGCCACCCAGAGCGAGCAGGCCTGGGACATCATGACTGAGGCCGGCAAGTCCAAGAAAGATGTCCGAGACATTATGAACACTATTGATAAGAATAGAGCAAGGATTGCCAGAACTCAGATGCTACTTACAGAGTGTCTGGATGCTGTCAGCAATTCTAGCAAAAAGATTGAGGCAGCTTTGATATGGTGAAAGATATGGCAAATTTCATTAAGTGCATGTACTTGTAACAAACTTGAAATTTTTTGGAACTGGACTTTTGAATTTTGATTTTTTAATCACCTGGATTATCTTTCAGGAAAGATAAAACTATTTATCTATTTTGTTGAAATGTTTTGATATAAAAGGTCCTCTTAGAGAACATTATTATATTTTATTAATACAGATTTTAATACCATATTATACACAAGAAAAATTTTAATTCCGTCTAGTGCATACAATATTTAGTTTTATCTTTGAATGGTATTCAGTATTTATCGCATTGATCTTAGCTAATTTTTTCATTGAATTCCGTCCTTTTTAATATCAGTGTTTAATCAAGAAGAGTTATGTAAGGCAGGTTTCACTCCTGTATGAATTATTTTTGTTACCATTTTTTTCTTTTAAGTCCTTGTACTCTGTAAGTAGCATCTGAGTTCCTTTCCTTTCCATAAGACTCTCGTACATTCATCGGCTGTATGGAAGATGGGAGAGTGAATGTAGAATGATTTCAGAATAGCTTTAGAATCAGGTCAAAAAAGACTACGTTTTGTTTAACATTCTTTTATATTATACGAACTTTGAATTAATTAGACTGAAGCTGGCCTTCAAATAAACAGATTTAGAAAAATTAGCTTGGTTTTTGCTCATATGTACTACCACATGATGGAATAGGACCTCAATTTTTTTCTCTGTTCATATATTATTTTACGACGGTAAAATAACCAAATCCAAAAAGCCTCATTCAAATACATTTTTTATTTCAGTAAAATTTGAGCGTCTGTATACAATGCACGTATGATGAGGTACTCAGTACCTCTGTATTCTGTATTAAGAATTTTTTTAGGCCTTGTTTTTGATCTGGCCCGATTTGAAAATATCATATCAAATAACTTTTGTACTTAACAAGTACGAAACAACTAAAAAGCATTGAGCAAGTAATTTGGATATGCGTGTAGATGCTAGTTGGTAGAATCACACAACCGGCAGCGTCCGTCGGAACACCCTGTTCTCTTCTTCTAATCTCAAGACCTCGCCCTCCGCGGCTGTAAGCTTGATCTTCAGTTTAGAATTCCTTTCGCGAAGTTTATCCCGCTCGCCTTTCAAGTCCGAATTTTCGAGTATGGATTTCTGTATATTGTTGTGATAATCTACAAAATTCTCAACGTGAGCCCTAAGTTCTTCTATGCCGCGCTGTAAAGCGTCTGGGCGTTTCTCGCTGTTAATGTAACCTTTTTTGGTAATAAGTGATAACATCGTTTCAATTTCATTCTCGGTGTCGGCAAGCGTTCTTTCCAGTTGTTTGACTTCGACGTTTCGTTTTCCCAGTTCTTTTGTTTCAACATCATGAATTTTGTTGAGCTCTTTTATTTTCGCTTCATTTTTATCCAGTTGTTTCTGCACTGTGAATCGGAGATCGGCAAATGTTGACTTCAGAGACGCTGACTTTTCTAGTTTTTTCGTCTCTTTCTCGCCATTTCTGCTTCTTACGTGATTAGTGAGATTGATGATATCATTATTAATGAATTCAAGTAAATCGTCTGCGTCACGTAATCTCTCTGTTAATTCCATGTTTTCATTTTCTTCTTTTGAAAGTTCTGCACTTTTGTCTTTGAGCTGTTGTTTAAGAGATTGTATTTTCTTTTCAAGCTGGGATATTTTTTCGTTTTTCTCGGCTAATTCTTCCTCGAGTGGTATAACCTCTCGCAGTTGTCTGTCTTTCAGGTAAGTCTCAAGCTGTGCTATCCGCTCTCGATGCTACAATTTTAATTAAAATTTTAGGCTATATACTTTTTTGTAGAAATATTTCACTTTTGACTTATAAATTTGAAAAATCCATGACAATTTCCAATTATATTTTCAAATGAATGCTAGGACTAGAATTGTTTTTCTTTCGTCAATATTTTCACATATATGAACAATTATGGTTAACATCCACCTACATGGGTACTTACATATAAATACATGAAGTAACTTATAACAAGGAAGTCGGAAGGGTCATATCTACCGCCTTGCTTATAACAACAGAGCACCTACCTCCCTATTTCTCTCCTTGAATACCTTATTCTCTCGAAGTAGCCAGGGTATATCAATCTGTGTGTGCCCGCACGCCGTGTGAGGACGGAGGTTTGGGTCTGTAGGAGAGTGAGAATGCGCGTGCCCTGACTTCTTCAACATTTTGGTCTACAATTTAAAAAAAATGAAGATTAAAGCAAGTGATCAGTGAATATTACATTGTATTGATAGATTTTTTTCTTTTTGTAGTGTTCAGGTGATTGTTCGCCTGAGAATCGACACGACTAGTAAAGTTTCATTAATTCAGCATTTTAATGTCGGCTTATCAAAGGTGGGCAAAATGGTAATTTGTCATCTACATGTAGGTGACGAAGGCGTGTTTTCTAATTGTTTTAAAGAGTCTAGGCAGTTAAGCATCTACGGCACTTAACCATAACTGAAGACAACTATGTGGATTCTTTTGCTGAAACTTGGATTTTACGGTAGGTTAATTTTACTGGACACGCTAAATTTAGTGTCCTTGAAGGTCAACTTGACACGGTTGATAAAATATATTATGGGTTGCGATTGCAGATTTAACAAAAAACCAAACTTTCCATTGTATACTCAACATGAACTTATGTTGAAAATTATTATACTTCAAACCACATGCCAAAAAGTGTCGCCTGTGATAAAACAATTCTGTGATTTTATAATAGCCCCTATCTACATAGCATGCTTACATACATTGCACTTAATAGGGCTACAAATCGACAGAGTGCAGAGTGTATTAGAATTTAAGTACGAACTACCCTGTAAGTTAATAAACTCATACTATTGACATACATGAATGCTATGTAACACAAACGAAAACTCTTGTAGGATCCTTGTTGAATGGTAGCGAGTCCTTAATTTGTACAAAATTACCCCCGAATTCGTTGGCAAAAAGGCTAACTTAAAGGCGTTCCCCTCTACCTTACCTCTGCTATTCCTAATGTAACAGCAGAAACATGGCGTCTCGTAGTCAAGGAACACTGGATTAAGTTTCGCTACGTGACCTTCATAAACACGGACAAGTGCACCGCTTCAAAAGGCTGTATTTATTCTTCCATTTAAAGCAAACGGAATGGTTTATACCTTAACATAATAGACGAATCGATGGAATGTAGCTATAAAGCGGGGGTTTAATGTGCATATCAATTATTATACTGCATTGTTAATTGCGTGTAAATTATTCCATACTATATTGGATGTTTATCATCATTTTCAAATAATATGCACACAAAACCTCTTGATGCTTTTTCAACAAAAACACAACTGAGTTGGAATTGGTCTTTATATAAATAATTCCGTTGGTATCAATACTCGTACCTTTATCATTCTCTATGATTTCCCAGGAAAGCAAGTGAAAAATCGAATTTTCAAACGGTGTTTTTTTTTTTCGTATCAAAGCGAAACAAGACAACAATAGACAATGAATGTCCTTTGTAAAGCAATAAAGGGTGTAAAATTGATATTAGTTTTGCAAAAAAATATCTTTAAAACCTCTTTTTAACCTAGTGAAGTAAAAAACGTGTTCATACCACGAGGAAATTTGAATAATTTTCTTTTGGTTCAATTTTAAATTTCGATTTTCTTAAGGTTGTAGGATGAGAATGGGAGATCAAAGAGAAAGTAAGGAATAGTCATATATTTGTACTGCGGCCTTACAGCATTTAGAGTCTTCAAATTCTGCTTCTAAAATTTTCAAACCCAGAGCTACGTGCAAATTTTTCATAGCACCCCCCCCCCCCACACACACACACACACACACACAAAGACACGCACGCACGCAACACACACGTCCTTAAATACCGTCGGAGCAAGTTACATGCCAAAGATTCCTTCTACTGTGACACAGGGTGTATCAATGTCAATGAACAAGTCCATTTGTTTACCTACGAATTTCCACAGGTACTAAGGCGTGTGAACTGCCACATATAGCTGAGAAGGGAAGTCATTTGGCATTATGCCGAGCATATTAAAGAGAGTTTGAGTCAAAAAAGATTTTCTTCCTTTCTTTCTTCAATCATTTAAAGACAGATATAGATAGATGGAAATATTAATTTACATGTTTGTTTATCAAGTATCATTATTATTATTATTATTATTATTATTATTATTATTATTATTATTTTCTAAATTAAGAAAACAACAGTTTTGGCTGTATGATCCATGTTAATTGCCCTCTTAAACCACAGAACCCCCCCCCCCCCTCTCCCACGGATCCGGCCAAGGAAAAGCCCAAGCAAGTGCAGCCTTCGTTATTTATCCAGCAGTCAGCAAATATTAAGAACTTTGTCGACAATGATCAGTCACCCAAGCCGACCCGGATCTGCTTACACCTTCCAAAGAGGGAAGAACAAAAATAGTTACTTTTAGTACGGATCTAGACGTACACAATACTCTACAAGGCCAACTAAGAAGAGGAGACTTTTCACTGTATTTTTAAACACAAGGAAGTTCATTATACATAAAACGGACAGGCATAATAAGATGAATATTTGGAAAATTTTGCGATTAGGGTAACGTTCTGCGTGTAAAAACCACCAAGGAAGTCATCATCACAGGTGACGGTCGTGAATCTCGGCTAGGCACACGTGATGGGTCGTTAAAGATGACGCTCTAAGTTTCACCTTCAAGTAGTAGATTATAGCCAGGCAATGTTTCAGCCATTGTGGGGACTTTTATGTCACGTAAAATGCTACCTGAGAAGTGCATCGGGCTGGCTGTGACACGGCCAGGTAAACACAGGTACGCTAAAAGAAGCGGCAAACAAGATATCCTTGGTTTGCATTCTAAACAGTTATTGTATTGAAAGGCATGCATGGAGTCCCGTGGCATTCTACTATATTACCTATGGATCACTGTATCATTGATTCCAGTGACAAAGTTAAATGGTAAGTAGGTTACCCCAGTAAGTAAAAGTGTTAGTGTTTTAAAAGTAAATTAAAATAGTCATAATTGATTTCACATGGTATAAGCCTAACGGCGTACGTTATATTCACTGGGGAAGGAATTGTTTTCCTACAGACAACGAACAATGGTACACAGTGGCGGTCCGCACAGTGGCGCACACATTATGGTCAACCTGTCCGTTTATCTGTTCATTTTAATGTTACTCATGCGGACCAGGAATGCCGTTTAGCATGGGAGTCTCGGGCAGTCATTGTCCTATTGTGGTGACTCAAGTCAAGTTTCTCAGTGATGGAAGTCTTTTTTTGTCACCTCAAATCTATATATTTCAAACAACAAAGGAAAAAAAAAGAGTAAAAAGACGACAATTCAATTATCGCCTCAGAAATTAGCAATATCCGTGAAAGTAATCAATATAAAGCGCCTACAATTTTTTTTACTTTTAATTCATTTAATCGATTGGAAGATTAATCGGATTGTTAATCTTTTTGTCACTATCATTGTTATGATTCGTCACCTCAGTTCTACATTCCTTAAAGGTCTGGTCCCACTGACCTTCAGGGTGAATTTCGCATGAATTACGCACAAAATTAGTTGATACTCGTTAAACAACCGCAATATGCTTATATTCGGCCATCATCCGCACACGTCCACTCTTTTCCGTCCCCGAGAATTTTGAGCTGCCCAAAAATATGATTGCAGATGACATGCGCAATACATCCGCATAACATACACAATACATACAGGGGCGGATCCAGAGATATTTACTGACAGTCTTCGAAATTATCTTTGTTGACTCATGATCCAATTTTGACCGTCTTCCAGCAGAAAAAATAGATACCCGTCAATGTAAACTTGAAAATCTGACAGTCTTCCGGAAGACCCAGAAGACGGCCTAAATCCGCCCCTGACATAAGCAATACATATGCAATACAGGCGTTTGTTTCCGCACTTCTCTGCAACTCACGGGTAGATTGTCAGTGCACAGTATTCCGCAATAAGAAACGGACAGTTTTTAATGAAATTTTCAGGATAGGACCGCATGGGCCAAGGAAAAAGTGATTAGAAATTGGTGATGATTAATAAGTTAATGGTTTATTATTAGTTTATTATTTGTCTTGTTTAATATTTTGTTCGATATTGCATATAGGTATAAAAACCCTTAATTATAATACAGTCGTATATTCATTCAAACAGGACATATCACATATTAAATGGCTCGTCTTTGTGTACTTTATAATTTTANCATATTAAATGTCAAGTCTGTACATAGCATGCTTACATACAGGGCTACAAATAGACAGAGTGCAGAGTGTATTAGAATTAAAATACGAACTACCCTGTAAGTTAATAAACTCATACTATTGACATACATGAATGCTATGTAACACAAACGAAAACTCTTGTAGGATCCTTGTTGGATGGTACCGAGTCCTTAATTTGTACAAAATTACCCCCGAATTCGTTGGCAAAAAGGCTAACTTAAAGGCGTTCCCCTCTACCTTACCTCCACTATTCCTAATGTAACAGCCGAAACATGGCGTCTCGTAGTCAAGGAACACTGGATTAAGTTTCGCTACGTGACCTTCATAAACACGGACAAGTGCACCGCTTCAAAAGGCTGTATTTATTCTTCCATTTAAAGCAAACGGAATGGTTTATACCTTAACATAATAGACGAATCGATGGAATGTAGCTATAAAGCGGGGGTTTAATGTGAATATCAATTATTATACTGCATTGTTTATTGCGTGTAAATTATTCCATACTATATTGGATGTTTATCATCATTTTCAAATAATATGCACACAAAACCTCTTGATGCTTTTTCAACAAAAACACAACTGAGTTGGATTTGGTCTTTATATAAATAATTCCGTTGGTACCTCTAATGATTTCCCAGGAAAGCAAGTGAAAAATCGAATTTTCAAACGGTGTTTTTTTTTTTTCGTATCAAAGCGAAACAAGACAACAATAGACAATGAATGTCCTTTGTAAAGCAATAAAGGGTGTAAAATTGATATTAGTTTTGCAAAATCTTTAAAACCTCTTTTTAACCTAGTGAAGAAAAAACGTGTTCATACCACGAGGAAATTTGAATAATTTTCTTTTGGTTCAATTTTAAATTTCGATTTTCTTAAGGTTGTAGGATGAGAATGGGCCTTATAGCATTTAGAGTCTTCAAATTCTGCTTCTAAAATTTTCAAACCCAGAGCTACGTGCAAATTTTTCATAGCACCCCCCCCCCCACACACACACACACACACACACGAAGACACGCACGCACGTAACACACACGTCCTTAAATACCGTCGGAGCAAGTTACATGCCAAAGATTCCTTCTACTGTGACACAGGGTGTATCAATGTCGATTAACAAGTCCATTTGTTTACCTACGAATTTCCACAGGTACTAAGGCGTGTGAACTGCCACATATAGCTGAGAAGGGAAGTCATTTGGCATTATGCCGAGCATATTAAAGAGAGTTTGAGTCAATAAAGATTTTCTTCCTTTCTCTCTTCAATCATTTAAAGACAGATATAGATAGATGGAAATATTAATTTACATGTTTGTTTATCAAGTATCATCATCATCATCATCATTATTATTATTATTATTTTATTATTATTATTATTATTATTATTATTTTCTAAATTAAGAAAACAGTTTTGGCTGTATTATCCATGTTAATTGCCCTCGTAAACCACAGAACCCCCCCCCCCCCTCTCCCACGGATCCGGCCAAGGAAAAGCCCAAGCAAGTGGAGCCTTCGTTATTTATCCAGCAGTCAGCAAATATTAAGAACTTTGTCGACAATGATCAGTCACCCAAGCCGACCCGGATCTGCTTACACCTCCCAAAGAGGGAAGAACAAAAATAGTTACATTTAGTACGGATCTAGACGTACACAATACTCTACAAGGCCAACTAAGAAGAGGAGACTTTTCACTGTATTTTTAAACACAAGGAAGTTCATTATACACAAAACGGACAGGCATAATAAGATGAATATTTGCAAAATTTTGCGATTAGGGTAACGTTCTGCGTGTAAAAACCACCAAGGAAGTCATCATCACAGGTGACGGTCGTGAATCTCGGCCACACCGTCAGGCACACGTGATGGGTCGTTAAAGATGACGCTCTAAGTTTCACCTTCAAGTAGTAGATTATAGCCAGGCAATGTTTAGGCCAATGTGGGGACTTTTATGTCACGTAAAATGCTACCTGAGAAGTGCATCAGGCTGGCTGTGACACGGCCAGGTAAACACAGGTACGCTAAAAGAAGCGGCAAACAAGATATCCTTCGTTCGCATTCTAAACAGTTATTGTATTGAAGGGCATGCATGGAGTCCCGTGGCATTCTACTATATTACCTATGGATCACTGTATCATTGATTCCAGTGACAAAGTTAAATGGTAAGTAGGTTACCCCAGTAAGTAAAAGTGTTAGTGTTTTAACAGTAAATTAAAATAGTCATAATTGATTTCACATGGTATAAGCCTAACAGCGTACTATATTTCATTGGGGAAGGAATTGTTTGCCTACAGACAACGAACAATGATACACAGTGGCGGTCCGCACAGTGGCACACACATGATGGTCAACCTGTCCATTTATCTGTTCATTCTCGATCATGTTACTCATGCGGACCTCAATTAGAAATGTGCGGCCCAGGAATGCCGTTTAGCATGGGAGTCTCGGGCTGTCATTGTCCTATTGTGGTGACTCAAGTCAAGTTTCTCAGTGATGGAAGTCACCTCAAATCTATATATTTCAAACAGCAAAGGAAAAAAAGAGTAAAAAGACGACAATTCAATTATCGACTCAGAAATTAGCAATATCCGCGAAAGTAATCAATATAAAGAGCCTACATTTTTTTTTTTTTTACCTTTAATTCGTTTAATCGATTGGAAGATTAACCGGATTGTTAATATTTTTATCATTATCATTATGATTCGTCACCTCAGTTCTACATTCCTTAAAAGTCCGGTCCCACTGACCTTCAGGGTGAATTTCGCATGAATTACGCACAAAATTAGTTGATACTCGCTAAACATCCGCAATATGCTTGTATCATTCGGCCATCATCCGCACACGTCCACTCTTTTTCCGTTCCCGAGAATTTTTAGCTGCCCCAAAATTTGATTGCGGATGACATGCGCAATACATCCGCAAAACATACACAATACATAAGCAGTACATATGCAATACAGGCGTTTGTTTCCGCACTTCTCTGCAACTCACGGGGTAGATTGTCTGTGCACAGTATTCCGCAATAAGAAACGGACAGTTTCTAATGAAATTTTCAGGATATGACCGCATGGGCCAAGGAAGAAGTGATTAGAAATTGGTGATGATTAATAAGTTAATGGTTTATTATTAGTTTATTATTTGTCTTGTTTATTATTTTGTTCGATATTGCATATAGTTATAAAAACCCTTAATTATAATACAGTCGTATATTCATTCAAACAGGACATATCACATATTAAATGGCTCGTCTTTGTGTACTTTATAATTTTGNGATCAGTCACCCAAGCCGACCCGGATCTGCTTACACCTCCCAAAGAGGGAAGAACAAAAATAGTTACATTTAGTACGGATCTAGACGTACACAATACTCTACAAGGCCAACTAAGAAGAGGAGACTTTTCACTGTATTTTTAAACACAAGGAAGTTCATTATACACAAAACGGACAGGCATAATAAGATGAATATTTGCAAAATTTTGCGATTAGGGTAACGTTCTGCGTGTAAAAACCACCAAGGAAGTCATCATCACAGGTGACGGTCGTGAATCTCGGCCACACCGTCAGGCACACGTGATGGGTCGTTAAAGATGACGCTCTAAGTTTCACCTTCAAGTAGTAGATTATAGCCAGGCAATGTTTAGGCCAATGTGGGGACTTTTATGTCACGTAAAATGCTACCTGAGAAGTGCATCAGGCTGGCTGTGACACGGCCAGGTAAACACAGGTACGCTAAAAGAAGCGGCAAACAAGATATCCTTCGTTCGCATTCTAAACAGTTATTGTATTGAAGGGCATGCATGGAGTCCCGTGGCATTCTACTATATTACCTATGGATCACTGTATCATTGATTCCAGTGACAAAGTTAAATGGTAAGTAGGTTACCCCAGTAAGTAAAAGTGTTAGTGTTTTAACAGTAAATTAAAATAGTCATAATTGATTTCACATGGTATAAGCCTAACAGCGTACTATATTTCATTGGGGAAGGAATTGTTTGCCTACAGACAACGAACAATGATACACAGTGGCGGTCCGCACAGTGGCACACACATGATGGTCAACCTGTCCATTTATCTGTTCATTCTCGATCATGTTACTCATGCGGACCTCAATTAGAAATGTGCGGCCCAGGAATGCCGTTTAGCATGGGAGTCTCGGGCTGTCATTGTCCTATTGTGGTGACTCAAGTCAAGTTTCTCAGTGATGGAAGTCACCTCAAATCTATATATTTCAAACAGCAAAGGAAAAAAAGAGTAAAAAGACGACAATTCAATTATCGACTCAGAAATTAGCAATATCCGCGAAAGTAATCAATATAAAGAGCCTACATTTTTTTTTTTTTTACCTTTAATTCGTTTAATCGATTGGAAGATTAACCGGATTGTTAATATTTTTATCATTATCATTATGATTCGTCACCTCAGTTCTACATTCCTTAAAAGTCCGGTCCCACTGACCTTCAGGGTGAATTTCGCATGAATTACGCACAAAATTAGTTGATACTCGCTAAACATCCGCAATATGCTTGTATCATTCGGCCATCATCCGCACACGTCCACTCTTTTTCCGTTCCCGAGAATTTTTAGCTGCCCCAAAATTTGATTGCGGATGACATGCGCAATACATCCGCAAAACATACACAATACATAAGCAGTACATATGCAATACAGGCGTTTGTTTCCGCACTTCTCTGCAACTCACGGGGTAGATTGTCTGTGCACAGTATTCCGCAATAAGAAACGGACAGTTTCTAATGAAATTTTCAGGATATGACCGCATGGGCCAAGGAAGAAGTGATTAGAAATTGGTGATGATTAATAAGTTAATGGTTTATTATTAGTTTATTATTTGTCTTGTTTATTATTTTGTTCGATATTGCATATAGTTATAAAAACCCTTAATTATAATACAGTCGTATATTCATTCAAACAGGACATATCACATATTAAATGGCTCGTCTTTGTGTACTTTATAATTTTGTTAAAGTATTTGGGTTAAAAAACTTATTTTGCAATTTTGCAAATATCTTTCCTCTCTGAGCAATTGCATTATTATTATTATTATTATTATTATTATTATATGTGATATTTGTAGAGTGTCCTGCTCCCTTGAGTACTCGGATCCCAGGAGATGTCGAGCTCATCGGTATGTTCAGCCTGCACCTCCCCTCCTCCCAGCGTGGGACCCTGATAGGACAACCCCACAAAGACCAGCTTACCCCAGCGCTGCTCACTGCAGAGGCCGTCATATGGGCCTTGGAGGGGCTAAATCGACATGATTTCATACCTGGGGTTCGCCTAGGTAAGGCTTGTGTTGTGATGCCTATGATTTTTAAGCACCCACACCTACTTTAAAAACATCAATTAATGTGGTGGGGAATAAACCCGCATTTTCATAACTACAATCATGAAATTCGTCACAGATAAGGTTAATAATACTCTGAGTATGACGTTTATATGAAGGTACGTCGGAAAATCCTCTTTCAAAATTCACAGATCACTGTTTGTGGTATTTCCAAATTATGAAAATGATTATTAGTTCCCACAAGCTTTTTCACTACATTGCTAGACCAAACTTACCAAGTTTGTGTGGGTGTTGACTACATGATTTCATGCACGGATCCAAATGTCACACTCGGTCCGTGCTGGGCATTGATTAATTACTGTAGAACTTAGAGTAGTGGCAGGTGTCGGGTAAGTAACAAAGAGGAGGTGGAACGGTATTGTATGGTATGGAGAATAAACTGCAATATACGACCTTGATGAGAAAAATGATGAAATATCCGTACTTGAATAGAAAAATATTTTATTATTTTACATTAAAAACCAATGAGGTTATTTTTATAAAGAAGAAATTCGAACAGAAAAATGCAATGTACAAACTTGGAGAAAGGCCTACGTGTAACAAAATTCCCGATCAAAACAACATAATGCCCATTCTAGTCAACGGCGCATGTCTTACGATGTCATTGGACAAACCTCCACCCTATACTTGGCCAGACTCGAGAACTAGTTAGTGTCAACAAACTTTCCTTAACCAAAGAGTAACACGATTTCAGATGTACCTCCTTGCCTTGACCTTGGACCCATAACAGCAACCTAAAGTTGTTCTAATTACTCCTAGCCCAAACGCATCCACATCCACACATTCTAACACGAGGGCCTGCTTCTTGAAAGCATCGATCGTCAGCTTACGAAATGATCCGTAACGAGGACTATCCATCAGAGTGTGAAACTCAGGGTGACAAGAGAAATGCAAAAGAAAACCGTGCCAATAAATTCCGGGTTTTTGACTATGAATAAGATATGATTTACCATAAATATTGGCCCTCCTCATAGGAGCATGAATAGTTAGGACGAGATTATGCCTCCCTGTTGGGGCAACCATAGTTGTTAGCTTTACCGTGGTGTTCCTTGGCTTTCTACCGGGGACCAAAGAAATGAGTAACCTCACAGCAGAAAGAAAAGGTCTACTTTGCACTTTCCTTTTTTTCTCCAGTTTTCCATATTATGGCTCCTGGATCATATATGTTTTATTCGACAATCTCATTGTTGTTTGGAATGCCTGCGGGCTATAGTGGTTTGGCAGCTTTTTTCAGTATTGCTTTCTTTTGATATTTGATAAATATGTGGCAAACATCTTTTGGCAAATATGAACCGGTTACCCAGGCCCGCAGCCAGAGGGCGGGTTCGGGGGGTTCAAAAGAACCGCCCATTTTGTCAGGAAAAGGTTCATTCTGGGTAAAATTTGATCTAGGTATACATAGGTTTCGTTGTAAAAGGTCCATTTTGTTTTCAGAAAAAGAACCCCCCCTTTTGAATTTGCTAGCTACGGGTCTGCATTTTTTATCAAAATAAATAATCGTTCACGAATCATGTTATTCGACATTTTAATGAACAATAAACATCCCTTTACAAACTAAAGAAAGAAATCGAAAGAATAAATGACCAATAAATGAATTGACGTATTGTAAACGCCAGTATACACTGACATAGGACATCATAAAATTTCACTAATTTTTGATTGTATTTCTTGATTAGGTATAACTGTGTACGACATTGCGGGATCACGCCAGCTGGCAGCCAGTGTTGCTTCCATCACTTACCAGAAGCTGAACAAAGACAGTGGTCCTTACCCCTGCAGAAGGCCCAGTAATGCTTCATTGATAGCAGGTAAAAATAATAACATTAATAATATACAGTGATGATGATTGTGAAATGCTATGGCTGAAGATTCTTTATTGCAACTAAATGCACCACTGATGTGGAGATTATGTTAATTACATATTAATATGAATAAATACAACAGAATACAGAATATGAATGAGAGCAATGCACTTATAGATTTATTTATCTTTGAAAATATGAAGATATACATGTATTTAGTCTAACAATGAGAAGACTATGCTGTGTGTGTGTGTGTGTGTGTGTGTGTGTGTGTGTAATTTTTGAGGCAAACTTAGACTTCATATTTACATTTTCAATTTCATAAACATCTTCGATTAAAATCTTTCGTATTTACACCAATATTTACCCATAACACTGCAGATATTTCTTGAAAATTACCTAATGGAAGAACAAGCATTATTATGTGTTTTATTTTCTCTGTAGGTATCGTTGGACCAGGGCGAAGTAATTCAGCAGAGATTGTGAGCAACGTGTTGAAAGGCACAGATATTCCGGTTTTATCCTACTCCAGTACATCAAATGCTTTACGAGATGTTGAAGAGCATCCTAATTTATTATTCACTGTAGAATCGGACAGACACCAAGTCCAGGTATGTTTTACTTTCATATTGATTTTAGTTTGATTTAATGTCATTGCTAAATGAAGATTTCGAATGTCAATATAAGGTGACTATAAGGTGTTTACCATTATAAGCGACGCATTTAAATTCTAACCACCATACTACTCCATAATATCATTTTGAATATAAAACTGAGAAAGAATGGTATATATTTATTAGCAATAATGAGATGACACAATAAATACCGATATCCATACAGTATGAAATGGTTGTCATATCATTTAGGCAATGGTTGAAATTCTGAAGGCTCTTGGATGGGACTATGTAGCAATCGTATACACTAACGAAAACTACGGAATAAACGGATACCAAGAGCTCAAGGCGGCTGCGCAGAAAGAGGGGATATGTATTGCCACTCCCCGGATAGGTAACTATAGCATCCCCCTGGCAACGAGCAGTGATCGTTTTGACCGAATCATATCGGATTTGGTACAGAGTGGAACGAGAGGAGTCATCTTTTTCGGCCTGCAGGAGTACGGTAAAAGACTTCTGGAAGCTAGTGCACGGCACCAAGATGCCCCTTCTCTGCTCATGTGGATATTTTCCGAGGCTTTGGCTAATAATAATGCCTTCAGCGGTCAGACGTTATACGCCCTACAAGGAGGTCTGGCTGTAGCATCGGCCACAAAACAAATACCAACTTTTCAGAAATATTTTGTAGACTTGTTATTCAACATTACCCGCGGTCACATTGTCACCGACCTTCGGCGCGTTTGGCTTGAAGAATATACCACAGCTGCGTTTAGTTGTAAATTGGCAACCGCATTGGAAGCAAACAACCAACACACCAGAAACTGTTCAACGCTGTCTCGGACAGAAATACAAGATGTGGTTGAGGCAGGGTCCAGTTTGTACTTGGAAAATGGCCTGAAAGCCGCTTACGCTTATGCTGCCTCGATAAGAAATGCACATAGTGAGCTGTGTAACTCTCCTGGCGTATGTAGCAGCTTACGCGATATGACGCCTCTTCAGTGGATGCGGTATCTTTCTGGACTAAATATCACGCTGACAAATCATGACATTCCTTTCCTCCCGCCAGAATTATTTGGAAAACGCTTGATTTTTGAACAGCACGAGCTCACTTTCAACCCCGAGAGTCCAATTTACAAAATAAGAAATTATCAAAAGGATCGAACTATTGATGTGAGTTTATTTATCGTATATTCTTAAAAAGGCGTTTATGTTTATAACAGCAATATCGAAGTTTCAAGATTACTTTGTTGAGTGAACTTTACAGTATTTGAAGATTTTTGTCCAAATTATAATTAGTTGAACATTTGTTCAAATATGGAAGATCAAACCATAGTTTTATTTTTAATTGAGTTGTTATAATAATTACCTAAATGATAAGTTATTTTTGTCTGCATTTTAGGTTGGCTTCTTTGATGGTCGTGAACTCGTACTGAACACTTCGAATATCATTATGTACAGATACGACTCCAACAATCAACCTGTAGAAGTTCAGGGGGAAAATTTGGACAGATCTACCTGCCCAAGAAAATGCGCAGAGTGTGTCAGGAAGAGTGAAGTGAAAGTTGCCTATAAACCGGGGCAGCATCTCATCCTTGGGGTGTTTCCGATACATTCGTCAGATTGCACAACAATCCGACCGACTGCGAGCGTGCAATTGTTAGAGGCTTTCCTTTTTGCCATGGAGCAGATTTCTCAAAGGAAAGGAGTGATGCAAAATATATCGCAAGACTTAGATTTCGGATATCTTGCTCTTGACGACTGTTATGATGAATTCAAAGCCTTGCAAATAGCATGCGATATTTATAGCGGTAAACAGTTTGGTGACATTACCATAGACAGGAACTCATTAATTGGCTGGATAGGACCTCTATCAAGTGGAAACTGTCGACCGATTGCTTCGACTCTCCGACATGTACATGATTTACAGATCAGCTACGGATCAACCATAGAGGATTTCAATGACCGAAACCTTTATCCATATTTCATGCGGACGGTTCCGACAGACGAACAACTGACAAGGGCCATTTTGAGTATATGTCAGCAGATGGGATGGACGTATGTCTCTATCATCCATGCAAGTCACGACTACGGTCGATCTCTCAGAGATTCAACTTTAAAATATTTGCTAGAGTATGGAATATGCAATGCTACCGTCCTTGAACAAAATACTGTCACGGATGATCACCTGGCGTTCAGTATTTTAGAAGCCAGTAAAAATGGCGCCAAAGTCGTGCTCATTTTAACAGATGCTTTAAACGCAAGGGCGCTTATTGGTACAATTCAAAGATTTACCATTTCTCTGGATGATGACAATTTGAAAGACCTCGTATTTATTGGCACAGAATCTTGGGCAGATAGAGAGTCGGTAGTTGAGGGATATGAAACCCTTACCAAAGGTGCTATCACTTTCAAATTCAACAAAGGAAACGTACCAGGGTTCGACAGTTATTTCAAAACGAAAACTCTCCAAAATAATAAACAGAATCCATGGTTCAACGAATTCTGGGAGCAGATATTTGACTGTAATTTGGAAGGCAACTTTAACAAAACCAGAAAAAATACTTGCAAAAATGATCTAAATTTAACTGACTACAGCAATTATCATCAGGACAGTCTAGTAGCATTTGTGACAGACGCCGTATATTCTCTTGCGCTCGGATTTGATTCCCTTTATAAAACCAAGTGCGGGCCCAATTTCGACCCGAGTTGTACTACAGCTGATTTCATTTCTTTTAAAAATCGCAAAGAGACATTTACCGGGGAGTTGATGAAAAAGGTAAAAAATGTAAACATGCCAGGCAGGGGCGCGATGTATAGTGAAAACGGTAGTGGTATGACTGGCTACACGATCCTGCAGTGGTCGGAGGTGGAGACCAATCAATGGAGATACGTAGAGGTAAGTGTTGAGGCTCGTCCCCTTGATGGCGGGCACATTTAGCACTCATTTTAAGTCGTTCATATTTTTTCGTGTCTCTTGGTCGAAAAGCAAGTGTGAGCTGGCCTAATCAAGGAAATTGATAAGATGTGTACTTCTGTGCATGTCCTGATATAAATTGGATTTATATAACATATCTCCAAGGTAGATGGACCTGTTATAAAAGGAAAGAGGCGTTTTTCTCTTTAAAGTAACTATATTTTTTCCTTTTATGTAACGAAACTTTAAGATTGTGAATGTTCTTGTGTTCTATTTTCTTATATATTTTAAAATAAAAAGCACCGTAAACACCTAAACTTGTAGATCTAACACCTCACCATCACCGACCATGATTCTTTCCGGTTTTATAAAATGTCTACCACTTATGCTGTCAGAACATGTTCTCTCATTTAATGACCAAACCGATGAGCCATGTAGCTCAATGACATTGACCAAACACGTTTTTCGTGCCCTGCTCCTTCTTTTCACAAGTGCTTTTTGATGTGATTAACATTGTTTCCTGCTTAACAGTCACTACCACTCTTTTTTTTTTCAGATCGGTTCATATTCTCCAAGCTCTGGGATAAATATTGCAAAAGATAAATTATTAGCAGGGTTGGACAGGTCGGTGAAGTCGGTGTGCCGCGGAGAAGCATGCGCCATGTGCCGGTCCGATCCTCCCGCCCCCGTCACTCTGTCAGCGACAGGAGTGGGAGCCGTGGTGATGGCCTCACTTGCCGTCCTCCTTATCCTCACTGTTGTCGTTCTTGTTTGCATGCTGGTGAAGATGAAAAGACAACTTGAAAATGTTTATGGTACGAATGGTTTTCTAATAACCATTTGCATGCTATCTCTTATAATTCAAACGGAATATGTGAAGATCTTGGAAAATTGTTTTAAGATTTTTTTTATTTATACTCTTTTCTTTATGATGTTCATAAAACCACCGATAAGCATCATAACTTGTCAATTTCCACCAGCTTTATTTTTAAGTTGATGAAATGTAATTTACGTAATTCATCTTTAAGGTCCAAACAGTTATGATTATGCAGAAGTCTCTTTCAACCGCCAACAGCAACATGTACAAATGGAGAGAAATCTGCCGCAGCTCCCAATGGAAAGAGACATGACACGAAAAGAAAGTGCTCATGACCAGCTCAGTAGTGCCGACTCCGGTTACATCAATGCTGGCAAAAACACCACAAACACGGCTGTTGATGACAGTGACGTAGAGATTGTGTTTGAAAACGACTCTAGTGGTGGTACGATACAATCAGACCTATATCCACAACACCAGGAAAGGACCTAGGTGTTTGTGTGAGCTTTATATGTGAATATATAAGCTGAAATGTGACTGAATTTTCGGACTTTTATGTGAATAGATACATTACAAAGTCAATGTACTAGCCGTTTTACTAATGATGCCACAGGCCCGTGAATAACAGTTTGTAACGGGCATAGAATAGACAGGCAGCATATTTTTCCTTTGAGAGGGAAACATATATTTAAATTAGTTAATTTTTTATATCTGTAGTAAAATTCACAACATTCCTGGCTTTTGTATATAGAGCATTTACTTTTTTAATCTTTAGAAGTGTTTGTTAACAATTTTGCAGTTTGCAAATGTATATGCTAAATAACTAAAACAGTATTTTTTGGTAAAGAGAATGTATGGATGTGTGGAATTAAAAAAAAAAGACTCTCCCACATGATCCAATTTCTCGAACAAATATTTTTTACAATAAAAATGCTTTAAAATACAAAATAAAATTGGAGTTAAATGCCTTTTCAGAAATAACTTAAGGCATTCAAATAAATGATGACAGACAAACATGCAATTTTAGACATCTAAACAATGGACGGGTTTAATATTCTCTACATTCTGAATTTGTCTACAGAAAACATAAAACTTAAAACCTATGAAAAAGTAAGCTAAAATGTGCTATTTAGCTATTTTTGTTTGCTACAATTCAGTATCACACTGCTTAAGAGATTAAGAAATATATCAAAATTCTCCTTACATATTCATTTCTTTCAGATAATCTGGGAAAACATGAATAAGTATTTTCTGTGTGACTTTTGTCCTAAAACCTAAAGAAACTTCAGTCAGTGATGCAATGTAAAGCACAACACAGTGAATCTCTTCTTATCAATAAATATGGGCAAATATATTGACAAAAAACTCTTGCCCAATATATTAAACAAGATTGTTATTGTATGCCAGAATGCAACATTTAAAAATATTTTAAAGAGATATCATAGAAACAATATGCTTCTATGTACAGCTGCTACCAGTTTTTGTATCCACGGCTGCAGTGTTATGATAAGTCCAATGGAAGAAAAAATGACAAGGAGTCCAAATCCCACACGATACATGATAGGGTCTCCCTGATAGGCTGAGGTGAAAGGATAGAGAAGCTGTCTTTCACATGTCTCCCCTTTACATAGAGATGGGTTTATTCCAGCAAGATACCTGAAATGGCAGAACAAACAGTCAAGAGCATGAGGGTAAAACTGCACAATGTGGTAATAGAACTTGGGATACAGCAAACGATATGAACTAACACTGGTATAAGAGCAGAGGAAGTAGACTAGAGAATAGGTCACACAACTGATATTGGTCATGGATAAATGGCTATTATGTGACTGGGGGATAAATAAAGCTCACTGGTTAAGCAGCAGATCAGTTTAACGGGCCTGTTCGGAGAGACCAGAGACAAATTTCAAAGTTGCTAGATTTGAATATGTGACAGTTACTATAATATCAGTACTTACTTGATAGGCTGGACAGGTTCAGCAGCAGGCACCTTGACAAAGGTTACAGTACTCTGTAGCAGGAAAGACTGTACTAGGCCCTCTGTAGATACATTGGCACAAGCTGGACCACTGGCCCCCAAACAGTCCATCTGCCACGTAGACAGGGAGTAACTGGACAACAGAGACATGAATATATGAATTAACAATGTTACAGCACTCTCATGGACACATGCACAAATCCAAGGAACTAACTTAATTTTATTTATTTTATTTTTTTTTTCTGAAACTAGGGCCAGATCATACAACAGTAAGCTTCCCCTCTTACCTAACTTTAGCCCCTACAATCTGCTTGATGTACACAGCATCCTGTCTGCCAACCTCAGCATACATGATCACCACGTGAATCCCTGTAGGTACACTCTGGCATACACCCTCCACTTGGTCAAACAGGTTGTACTGGTGGATCTCTTCTGTAACATTCTCTGTCATATTGGTTGTGCTAGTGGTGGTGTCCATTATGGACGTTGTCTCCTGTTGTGCTGTGGTCATCTCAACAGTGGTTGAGGGTAGTTGTGTGGTCACAGTGCTTGCATTGAACTGTATAGATTCTCTGTGAAAATATTAATTAAATTAAGTTTTTTTAAATTGTTTTGTATATGTGGAATTAGACACTGACCAAATAATTATATTCACTTTGCCAAGACTTCAAAAGCACAAAAAAATAAATTGCAATAACAGGGATGTGTATTGGTCAGTATAAAATCTGAAATCTGGGAATTACCCCGAATAATTACATGAAATGAATTCAATGAAAATTTACAACACCTTTCATAATCACAAATCTGTTCCAATTCTGACAGACTATTTATTTACTGTACCTGAGAACAGCTACCCAATCTTCCAGATTGGCCCTGTCTGGATTTCCAACAGTGGCAATATACTGTGCTGACATAAGCTTGGTCTGTTCTGTTAGAATTAGTTCCCTGAAGGAAAAGAGAAAAGAAATGCATAATTGCTCTATAATTTGTATTTGATTATCTCTGGGTGTTTGAGGACTGTGGAAAGAAAAATGTTGTGGTTTGGCCCTTTGTGAAAATTACAAAGCAGCCCAAGTCAAGGAAACAATGTGAACATACTGTTTTAACTATCATTCATTCCTAATAAAATATTTTAAACATAAGCATAAAATATGGTCAAAATAGGTAGTAGCCAGGCCCGTAGCCAGGGGGGGTTCGGGGGGTTCGAAAGAACCGCCCCTTTTGTTAGGAAAAGGTCCATTTTGGGTAAAATTTTATCTAGGTACACATAATTTTCATTGTAAAAGGTCGACTTTTTCAGAAAAAGAACCCCCCTTTCGAATTTGCTGGCTACGGGCCTGTAGTTTTCATTAACACTGACTGTAAGTTTTTTAATTCGACTTAACGGGAGTAAACTCTCAACAATTTACAGTAATGAAACTTGATATAAACTCTGGTCTGTATGAACATTAATTAGTAGCCTTCATTGTACATGTGGATTACACACTTTACAACAAACATATCACACCTCAGTGAAGAACAATTCTTCAGCTCTTCTAGACCCAGTCTCAGTATACAGCTACTTGTGGCATCTTCTCCAAATGTTATTGTGTGTCTTGTAGCATGGTAACACAAACCACTTGGACCTGGGACAGAAAAACAGCTCATATTATAGTGTAGCCCACTTATAGTGACCATATATTAAAACAATGTTTTATTTTAATAAAAAAAATTAAATAGCAGTGATTTTAAAAACAAATCAAATTAGATATACCTTTTTTTCTGAAAACATGAAAATATCACCATTTGACTTAATATGACAAGCAATATTTAAGAATTTACCTATAATAATTAGCATCTATTTTACAATTAAAGAATTCTACTTATGATGCACCACCTTCTCTTGACATTTAACATTTTCTTAGCTAAATTTTAAAAGGCAAAATTTATTGACAAACAAACAACAAGTACCTGGTTTCCACAAGGCCAGTGCCTGAGATAAATTGGCATCAACATAGCTAAAATCTGACAGGACAGGATCATACACTGGATTTCCACTTAATACAGGCTTCATAAAATCATAACCTAAACAGAAAACAAAGATGATAAAAGTAACAGAAAAACCAAAGACACTAATCATGTAATAAAAAATCTCATATATTATATAAAAAAATGCTCTTCAACATCTGCAATATCTCTACCACAAAACATTAACATTTAAAATTCAGTCTTCTTAAAAGTAAACATCAAATTACTTTAATTTTTAATATGGAAATATTCAAATCTTACAATCTGAAAGCTGGGCAAAGATTTATTTCTTTTGTTTAAACCTTTCCACTATTCATCAAAGAGTTTTACAAAATTTCTCATAAAGAGGAAATCTTTGATCAGACCATATTTTTACTCCCTCTCCTCAAAAAATGAATCTTTACCTGGATTTCCAGAACGGTCCTCAAACTCCAACCTCTCTGTCTCATTATCTGATGTACTTGCATTCACATCCAGATAATCATGTATAAACCTCACAGTGAATACCTGGGTGAGAACAGTGGCACTGGTAGTGGTAGTGGTATTCTCCACAGTGTATGTCTCTTCTCTCCTAGGTATTGTGTTATTAACTGGTTGTGTCACATTCACCAAAGTCTGATTGACCCCAGGTGCTTCTGTGGTCATGTTAACAGTCTCATAAGATTCTGGTATCTGAACTGTATTAGTAATAGTTCTATTATCCCTACGGACCTGTTCTAGGGATATACTGCCCAGTACAATGACAGCACTAACATTAACAATGTTCCCCATTTGCCAGTAGAAATCGTAGGTAACTTTCAACACAGCATTCATGCAGGTATTTGTCGTCCTGTTATATTCGGGTATTGGGGGGAGAGTAAAACCATCATCCCAGACACATCTCTGTGCTTTCCCTACATCTGTAGCATTCTGTTCAATAATTACCTCAGAATAAGTAAAATTATTAGTTCCAGTTGTATTATCAAATGTTTTAAGTTCTCTGAATAAATACTTCTGAGTGGGCTTATAAAAATCATTCAAAGTCTGCTGTGATTTCACATAGGCTGATAAATCTTCCAAACAAAAATAATGTGTATCTACATCAGCTTCAGTGTTCATTGACTTCAATATGGCTGGCCTCTGTGGACAGGGTGGGTTGGTCAGTCTAGTGGACGTTATATAAGTCCGAGCATTCAAAGGAGAGCTTTCCTGACAAAGAGATTCAGTTAAGTGATGCACGCAGGATGAGTCTAAGTCTTTTAAGAACTGGACAGGGGCCGAGCTAATGCATTCTCCACTAAGTGATCGTTGAGGAATGGACAAGTACCCCTGTAGAACAGAGGATGTCTTGATACCATCTCCCTGCCTATAGCCAGGGTTTAATCCAGGAACTGTCTCAAATATGCTCTGGTCATCATTCTCCCTGAAAGAAATCAAGGGCTATGATAACAATTTCAATGACATTTACTTTCTTAAAATCATAATACAAGTTACCTCAAATACGTTTGCTGCACTATAGGTAAGCAGACAGAGAACATGCACCTTGAAAGCTGTAATTAGGCTATTATACTCAAATGGAAAGGCATATTACCTGCATTCTTATAACTAAACATCAGTAGAATCTTTATCAACAATACACAAGAATTAAGATAAAACAAAATCTTGAAAGAAAATAAGAAAGGAAAAACAAACCATCTTTGAATACTATTAAAACTGTTAAGAAAACTGCATAAGAAAAAAAAAACAACATAAAAACTCACTCGAATGTATAATTTGGCTTGCTGGAGCCAACTCTAGTATTAAATGCAGTGGTGGTTCTCAAAGCAGGCTCAGTCTGAAAGAACATGCCCAGCAAGGGGCTGTTCTCTTGGTGCACACACATCAATGGGAACCAATCCTCCTTATCAAACCTTGGGCTGGCACAGCTGTGGTCCACCACACCGCCACCAGATCCTCCAAACACACCTGGGAGACACTGAAAACTGGCAATGTCTGCAGAGGTACAGTCCTGGAAACCAGTAGCATTCAGGTTATTTAATATTTACATACAGTGCTTTGAAAGCAAACTGGCACAGTTAGGTTAATTTCCATTACGTCATGCATAGAGCGTCCAAAACAAACCATGATCGATGCCATAAAAATTTCTTTAATTTCTTAACCAATGAAACTATCTAATATTAACTTATTAACTTCCCACATAAGTCAAATGGAAAGATACACCTTATACTAAACATCACATATTCAGTTCTTTACATCCAGAAATCTAGTCAAAGAACCCTTTAAGTTATAAAGTGAGCATTATTTTCCAGTAACGCATATAAACCACTTCCACAATGTACTTTTTTATACGGCTCAAATTCAGTGGACATGCCAAGGGATAACCCAAATTAATCACTCCATAAATGAAAAAGCTATAAAACTGCACCTTCTTCAATTTTTTTTTTTTTTTTTTTTTTGTAATAAACTGACCTACTTATCCGACTCCCTTATTTTGTGCAAAAAATTTGAAATATAAGCACCATTACTTCACTTTCTATGCCTTTAGACATACGTAAACTCTGACTTACACTATCACAACAGCATCCAGTATCACAGTGGCCGGAGGTGAGGTCACAAGGACAGGGGGCTAACTCCACATAGGCAGGATTTGGGAAGGTACTCTCCACTGTTATGTTGGCACCAGCTGAATGTAATGAGCACAATGCTTTGACTAAATTGCATCATGTCTAACCATATAAAACAATTTATCAAATAGTCAATTAATAAAAATGGGGAAAATAATTAAGTTAATTCAATGCTAGAATGTCTGACACAAACTTTTAAGCAACATTAAACAATTAGAACTTAATTCTGATCTTTCACAAATTTCTTCTAAAAATTCCAATTTACAAAAGTAGGCCTGAATCAAATCAAGATAAATAAAAACTGTTGTTTCTAAATATCCTTCGTTGTATCATCAAATTTTTAAAAAGATATACACACAAAGGTACATAGAGCCTTTGTTCAACAAATAACTATTTGACTTAAGTATACATAATTGGTATTGCTGGTGGGCACTTACTGGTAGCCAATGTCCCATTAATAGCAGACAGTGGAGAACTGGTCACTGTGGCAATAAGTTCAGCAGTTTTCCCAGCAAATCTTCTAAAGCTACTATCCTCAGCACAGCATCTCACCAGAATTACTTCTTGTGTCTCCACTTGGGGATCTACTTTTCTTTCTATTATGACTTCTTTGACAATTTCATTGCTCTAGTAAATATAAAATAAAATTTAATTAAAATGTTAATCATTCAGAAAAAAATTGTTTATATTCAATGGTAATGAATATTTTCTCTATATTAGCATTAACAGCTGGAATTTTGCATTAATTTTAAATGCTTAGCATTAGAACATGGTGCTGATGTTTATGCAAAGGTACGTCATGATGAGTTTTCTTGTAAGGTTAAACAGTGCTGTGCTGTGTGCTAAATTTTCAAACATAACACTTGCATAACAAACCTGGTACTTGATAGCAAGACCCACTTAAACTACTACTTTTTACTAACCTCCAAAAGTAACAGACTAGTTCACCATTCATATTTACATAAACATTCCCTTGACACTCAAAAACCCATACCTGCCCAAACCTAACATCCTTACTGCAGTGTCTCATAAATAACATTATAACTCCAACCAAGAAGCAAGTTATTTTCCCCATTACTGATTATTACATGACATAGTTATAACACACAGCATCAATTTCAATATTACAATTCACATTAAATTTCATACTGAAAATACTGATACAGGTCTCTATGTTTTTTTTTTCCTGTGGTCATTTTAACCTGTGAAACTAAAATTATAAAATGCTACCAAGACCCAAACTCCCAGAAAAAAATCAAAATTATTTTTTATTTAATAAAATTCAATCATTATTTATCTATCTATTTTCTTGTGCTTGATACTTTTCTTTTCAAAATTATATCAAACCACATACAGTTAAAAGTAAGCACAATCATGAAATATCAAATTTTAGACAGGATCTGGTTATGATGTTCATTTTCTACATGCCAAAGCTGAGTATTTAGGCTGTGCTGTGAAATGCCCAATTAGCAATTAAGTTTATGGAAAACAAACACCTAGAGACAGTGCCCATATCAAGAAAATCCCACAACTTGGCACTCCCCTTTCTGTGCCCTCTGCTTTAGCCTAAATACTTTCTTTTTCACTTTCCTTTTCATATGATCTCTTTTTCTATGGCATCAAAACAACTTCATTAAACAAACCAGGAAGGTTTCTCATACTTGCCCCTGGCATTCAATGAGTCACATCTTTTTCATAACATTTGGATGAAAGAGTTACCTTTGTAAACAACATCTTTCCAAAAGTCACCTTACAAAAATATCCCAACAAAAGCCATTCCACACCAATAACCAATACTAAAAAAAGGAATACACAAAATGCCTGAGTAAACAAGGAAAAAGGAGAAATGGAAAAGGGTAAGACTAAAAGTTCCCACTTCCTTACTCCAAACACCATTCCGAGTGAGAGGGAGAGAAAGCTAGCTACCAAAAGAAGGGCTTCATAATGTTTTACAAGTTTTTAATTCTGTTTTATGTTTTAAGCTGTGTTTATGCTGAAGATGATTTTCCTGGTGAGTGGCGTTATATCTTAAAATTTTAATACCTTTGAAAACATATCTGTGTGATATTTATTTTACATAACATACACTGCACATTGTGAGACATCTAGTTTAAAATTATATCACCTGCATTATATCCGAGTCTCATTTTCTCTAGTCCTTGAATTATGAACATATGTAAATGTATAAGACTGTTTGGCTAAATGTAACTTATTTGCTTATATCCACACATAAACGGAAATATCTATAATATAAACAGGATGACTGATCTGCCCCTTTTATATTTGTCATTTTATGTTAGAATTAAACAAACTATTAAGTAAACCAACTATAGATCAAACAGCTTGGGCTAGATCAGAGCTGTCAAACCATTTCCTCAAACCGTTCCCCCTACCTAGAATACAGATTGGTATGCAGTATGTTGCAATATATTCTGATATTTTTTTCTTGTAAAAATCACCTCTAACGTTGCACTGAATGAGATCCGTTTATCATCTGATTTTTTTAAACACAGATACTGCTCAACTGAGCTACAATCAAACTGGGAACAATGTAACAGGCACAGTGACCAACCTACCACAGGCCAAAGACTGGGAAATCACCATTGACTGTCAGAATGTCATATGCAAAACTTTCCAGGTATCTTCAACTGATAATTTCACCATAAAATCTAATTAAATTGCCCTTTTAGAAATGATATTTTCTAGCAGTTGAAAATTGTTTTGACAAATATTTTGTAAAACTTATAGTTGAGAATAAACACTTATTTAAAACTGTGACTGTTGTAATGAAACCTTATTTTTTCCGCTATTTTAGATAAATAATGCACTAAGCACAAACCTCAGTCTTCATTTTGATGGTAAAGATACAGTTGTTATCAATGGTACAGAGTCAACAGATTTTGGTTTCCATGTTACCTCTAATGGCAGCAACAACCCTATACTTCGTATAACTAACCAGCGACAAGAAGGTAAAAACACAATATCTTTTATTGACAGAATTTTCTAATGCTTTGTCATCAGCAAGTTAAATTTTTGGCTCTCACTTTGTTGCCTTACATTACCACATATATGATAATTGTAAAACTTAGTGTATATATATATAATTTTATTTCATCTTCTTTTAGATGACTATCTTAGCTTTGGTTGCTTAAATGACGAACTAAAGTTGAAATGTCCAGCAGAACAAGTAATTCAGATTGAAAAGGCTCTTTATGGAAGACGTACCAAAGACAAACATAAGTACAACTGTGCCCCAAAAGATCAATGTTATGAAAATAAACCTGATGCAATCAAGGCAGCCTGCATATACAGGAACAGCTGTAATCAGATTAAAGTTACAGAGATAAATATAACCTGTAACGATACAAGTAAGGCAAACACAAACCTCCTCATTGCTTACAGTTGCTACAATGATACAATTTTTTCAACGACAACAACAAAACAGTCAACAGGAAACTCAAATCAAGCCACTGACTCAAACAATACAGTTACATACAGTTCCAACATGGCCACTAATACAGAAAGATCAAGCCAAGTCCCTGGTACACTGGTTACAGTTACAGACAATTCCACCACATCCATAGGTATGGAAATATCAAGTCAAACAAAAATGGCAACCATTTCAACAACTGAAGTCACATTTACTGCTGGATCAGGCTCTACCACAGTAACTGAACTTAAAGTGACCACAGATGAACAATCAATTTCAAGCACTGGCTATTCTGATGTTAGTTCTGGTCAAGAAGTCACAACCAATATGTCACCAGCGAGGAGTTCAGTTTCCATTTCATGGCTTGGCACAACATTACCAACTATACATGATGATAGAACAGGAACTGAAAACTTTGGTAGGTGCAACTATGAAGATAGTAATTGGAAAATCTACATACATTTACAATTTTTCAAACCTAAACTATAGTATTTAACTATTTATACTTGCTCTGCACTGTATAAATATATTTTTTTTTATATAACCATAAGGGCATTTTTTGAAATATACTTATATAGCAATAAGAAACCTGCTATTTATTTGAATATTTTAAAAATTATTTGTTGTATGTTTGAAAGACATTTTTATATTGGTGAAAAACAGTCCATGGACATTTCAGGTATGATCCTAGGCCTCAGTATTGGAGGTGGTCTACTGTTCCTACTTCTCACCAGTGTTGTGGCTTGTTTCTGCTGGTAATTCAAGAATTCAATAACTAACTAAAGATCGTTTTTTTTTTTTTTTTTACAATATGTAAGGTTTTTTGCAACCCCCCAGATTGCAGAACATAAACACCTAATTTTTTATAAACCCTGCTTTCCATTCTGCAGTAGCTGTGTTAATTTTACAGTATTGTATAAACTTACATTCATAATGCCTCTCAATTATAGTCTAAAGTGATATATACAAACTATTCCTTATATATATAAAAATGAATAAAAACTACTTAATGATGAACTTTGCAGGAAAAACAGGTTATCGCAAAGGAAAGACACCGCTGGCAACAGGTTTGAACCTCTCTCCAGTTCACTGCCTGGTGAAATCGAGGTTTTTCCTTCCAGAGGAGAAGCAGTATTTATCAATAAATATGAGGAAATAGAAATTGTTCGCAAAGATCAGAACAAAACACCAGCAGTGCACTTGTACTCTTTTATGAACCCACAGTTCAGCTTTGTTCCACTGAAATCAGACAAAGTGCCAAATGGGGAAGAAAATGCTAGAGAGGGTGGTTCTCCATTGTATTCTCAGCCTGATAAAAGAAACAAGGTAGCTGATGAATCCCCTGAAGCAAAGGAACTGCAAGAGGAGGAGGGGCATCATCACCTGTCAACAGGAGACACCCAAGTTCAAGATGAGATCACTATGGTTGACAATGACCTTTACAGTAAAGGGGAATAACTCTGTATCATCACAAAAATTAGTGACATATTCTAACAAGTTCAGAGAGTCATTTTATATTCATATCATCTTCTAAGTATCTTTGAAATATTTTAGCTAGGCAAAAAGTGCCATTCAACATACAAATTGATCAATTTGCACATCAAGTCTATCATAAAATGTTATATCAGATAGTTAAAAACACTTCATTTTGTAGTTTTTATAAAAACCAACAATTCCTTACACACAAAACACACACACATGCACATACACAAAATAAATATTAAAAAAAAACAGAAATTACACCAATAAAGAATCAAAGCAATAACTTACCAGAAAAGTTGGATTTGTTGGTGAAATACTCCACTGATTGGTCACATTTGCTACTGGTGTTGTTGGCGGTGTTGTTGGCAGTGTTGTTACGGGCACTGCTGATGTTGCATTATCAGTACTGTTAACACTTGTTGTTGTGGATATACTTGCTGCAAAAGTTGGTGCAGTTGTTTGTTCACTGGTTGCATTCCCTACTGTTACATTAGCTGTAGTTGTGTTCATTATTTCAGTTGTAGTAGTTGGAGCTTCAGTTGTATTGGCTGTTAATGTTGTCATGTTTGAAGATGCAGTTGTATTAGCTTCAACAGTGGTGCTGTTGACTGTTGTAGTAACTGAAATAGTTGTATTTTCCATCACTGGTGTTGTGGTTTCTGCAGTGCTATTTGCTGTACTGTTGCTTTGGGTAGTGCCTGCATCTGCTGCAAGGTGAAACAAACAAAACAAAGTATATCCATCTTTAAAGCATCGTTTTTATTTTTATTTTGTCTTTTTGGAAATTCACAAATGGTACATAAACAGTGAATCACTTTCTGATCACAATCAACTCGAACAATTAATCTATCTACTCGAAGTGTAAAATATTCTTTACTCAACTGAGAAGCATCATAAAAAGGAAAATTAAGAATATTATTTTTGGAAATTTCTTTCTATTTACTATAAAATGTTCATTTTATTATATCAGGCATAGATAAGATTTGTTTATGAAACTATCCACTTAGATGTATAAATACTTACCTGCAGAGGTTGTGGGAGTGGTAGTAGTGGTGGTAGTAACAGGACCTGGTGTTGAAGGTGAGGCTACTGGGCAGTAATTCTCCTGAGCCAGTGCTTTAGCCACACTAGTGCTGTTCACAGTCACCACGCTGCATGTGAAGGCCACCTGCCCATTAACTCCAACATCTAAAGCCAGGAGAGCCTGGAATGATATATATATATATATAAGAATGTCTTTTGCTGATTCAGAGTTAACAGTGATTGAATGAGAAAAATTGTGCTTAACAAGTTGATAACACCATCACTGAAAATATTGCATGCTAGCTATAACTATTAATATTTACATACATTGTTCAAGTTATTTATAAATAGTATAGTATGGGATTGTCATTTCTAAGGAGAGAATGCATCACTTACATCAAAGAATTTCACTGCCACTGGGCACAAAGCATAGGATAAAAGCTTAAATGCATGCAAAGACAATTTACTGTGTATGTCACTTGAATTGTTCTGATTAAAATAAGGCAAAAATAAGAGCAAACACTCACAGTGAGTCTGGTCCCCTCAGTGTGTGTATACTGAGGTAGTAAGCTGACACTGCCCTGGTCAAGCTGGAACTGGGCAGTAGCTGAAAAAGATAAAATGTTCAACTGTAATATATATATATATATATATTTATTATCTAACATACCCATAGTCAATATTTCTGTTGTTTTCCCTCTGAAAACTGAAGTGTATTTCTGTATGACTATTTTCATAATTCAAAGGCTTGAGACCAATCAGACCAAATCAGGTATAATGTTTTCAAATTTCAATGGATGAATGAAGAAGCTCTACTCTGATAATACTGGAAAAGTATATCAAAATAAATTCCATTTGTCTAAAGTGTGCTGTTTTGTTCTATACCATTTTCTGTGTTCCTATCATACTGCCACCCGCTGCCTTCAGACTGTGCTGTACAGGTCACATCGATTGGAGAGACCACATTGATTTGAATGCCAGGGTTTAAAATGCTGTAGCTGACCTGGAAAAACAAATTAATTTTTTTCAAAAAATATTTTTGTCATAGGCTCTAACATTGTTCTGTAAATAATACTAATCAAATAATCTTACAACAAAATGAAATGATTCAATACTATGCAAATTCTGATTTCTACAACTATGGTGTTCATATTAGAGCTCTTAAGTTAAGGATTTGGAAGTGACAAACAACAAGGGGTTGTTTTTCTACTTTAGAAATGTGACCAGCGGAAACAACAGGTATGTTGACAAAATGAAGGCAAATTACCTTAATATTTATATATAAAACCAAATAAACAGAGTTACCTCAATACTAGTATCTCCAATCACAGCCGTGTGGTCACTTATACTTATATTCAGCTGACGCTGGTCTGTAACTGTAAGAAAATTTTATAAAAACATGAAAATTAATTTTGCCTTCATTCACAGATTTAAGTAAAAAAAAAAAATGTTTATTCCAACTTAAGGTATCACCAAACTGGCATCACATACAGATATTTTGAGATTTTTACATGTATCTATAATTTGTGATTCAACTAGCAATGAGATGATTTTAAAGTTTTCTTTTTGTTCTTTTTAAAGAAAAGTAAACAGTTACTCAAAGTACACTATTTTCTGTCTGCTTTTGGATGGCTTTTATCAGTAATTTAGTACTCTGCTTTACAAAACCAGAGTTTATACAAAGATCCCATGCTTGTGCAGAAACAGAGGTATTCAGTTTTTGAAAAGTGATTTAATTTCAGCAACAAGCCATTAATTGTGAAAACTTTCTTAGATAAAATATGTTAACATACAGGTGGCTTTTAATATATCAGAAAATTATTTTAAGCTGCTTGTGTTAAAATGCTGCCAGACAAACCATGCACAGGTAGTCTTTAAAACTGAAGTGCCTTGTGGGTGTCTTTAAGTAATTAGTACCTTCGCCTTTTAATATTAAGTCACAGTGACAGAATGCAAACCTATTTTGTTACTTTTTATGCCTGAATAAATGCTGAATATATAACTAAAAATTGTATCTGTTACAGAGAAAATTATTCTTATGCAATTCAGCAATTAATCTAGTTGACAACATGGATCTTAGCATGGTCAGAAATGATGTGATCAATAACTTATCAGAAGTAAAATGTACAGAAATATGTTTCATATTCATATACCATAATTATTGCTTTCATCCAACATCTCTGCTTCAACAGAACTGCCATGTCCAACACTTTCAATGAGATGTGCACTGGTTTCTTTACTTGAGACTGATGAATTATTTGGATAGATAAAACTGCTCACCATACTGTTAGTAGTATATTCCCCCAGTGAATACCTTACGGTTTGGGTATCACTCCTCACTGTCATGTTAAGTATATCTGTAGTTTTCAAAGCAAACATTTTATTGCCCTGTCCACTAGGCAAAATTAATGAAGCACTTATGTTATCCTCATGCACATCTTCTAGCAGATATATTTTAGAAAATTCTGCTTCATTGGTTGGTGGGGCCTTTGTCTGCATACCAGCTTTACCTGTAGGATCTAGACTAGTTTTTTCCACAGACTCAATGTTGAGTGGGACTTTCGTCTGCATACCACCTTCATCTACAGGGTCATGGCTTGTTTTGATAACAGAATCTGACATACAGCTTAAATTTTTTAAATCAATTTTTATACTTGGAACAACATTTTCACTTATCTCTATCATATTTAGGGCATCTGCAGTTGTGTGTGTTTCTGTCTCAGAAAACAGTTTACCTGATTCCAATTGAAAGTAAGTACTTTTAACCCTGTACAAATACACAACTTTATGATTTATAGATGTTTCAAAATTAGATATTCTTTTTAAGTAATACTCTGTATCAAAGTCACTGGTCAGTGATGGAGTTGATGCTGGGTTCTCAGATGAAGTATCATTAAGCTGGTTAAGCTGTGTTTGGCTTTGATGGGCTGTTGGTTTTATGAAAATTTGTTTATCATGCAGTGAATGAACAGAAGCAACAACCCCTTTATCAGACTGATTCAGTTGTCTTATATTTTCCCTGTTATCTGTTAGCATTAATAAAGAGAAAATGAAAATAAATAAATATGAGAGAGAGAGAATGAGAGAGAGAGAGAGAGAGAGAGAGAGAGAGAGAGAGAAATTTAAATACATATATCAGTTGTACTACTGTATCAATATCAATTCTATTATGAATACTATAAAGAATGCACTTTGGGTTATATATTTCTTATTACCTGTGGAAACAGTGCATGATATTGTCACATTGTTGTCTTGAATCGGTTCACTGCAAAGCAAACAATATACATGTATATGTTCAACTGATTGAATATATCATAACATATTTACAAATTGACAAACAAGTAACTCACATTTTTTCAAGAATTTTTAAAACACAACTTGAAAAAAAAAACTTTCAAACATGATGAAGAAGTCCAAGTAAACCAAACCAAACCATGTATTTGATATCTTTTAAAAAATATGTAGTCCCACTTTCAGATGGTCTTGGTTACAATAGTCTAAGATTGTGTTTATAACAATCAATCTTGGCAAACTCTATCTCACCTGAACTGTAGAAGGAATTTACACTCTGTACACACAGAGGACTCCTGATTTGGAACAATGATTGTTTCCGAACAAAAGTTGATTGTAGCAACTCTTGTTATAACAAATGTGCTGGAATAACATTTAATTCATATAAACAAATTTTATTATCATATACCAATGTGGCTGTGAGACATAAGAAACAATCTAATTGAACATGAATGTAAGAGACACCAAAAAACCAAATCTTTCAATAAAAAATTAAAAAATTGTTCCTTTTCAAGCAATTTTTTCCAAATGAAACTGACAAAAGAGTAAATACCAACATTTTCTCTCACAGTGACTTTAAAAAAAACTAATAATACTTACCTTGGAGGGCTTATTGAAGTAGCCTTAGAAAACTGGGGAGGGTCTGTAGCATTTAAGATGGGTGAAGATACGCCCCAGCACTGGAGACTGGCTGGACGACCAGCAGCAATGATGCTAAAATTATCATAATTATAGTACTCCTGGAGTATTAAAACAATCAGTGCTGAAAATATTTTTAATATTGCTGGCCATGAATGCCAGATGATCACACATTTTGACATGTTATTGACCAGGTTAAAAGTTAAAGTTAGATTTTGTCAGATTATCACTAGGCTTTAGGACAATATATTAACTGTCATTGGACATTTAGGTTATAAGCTGCCATGGAGGTAAAATGCCAATGGTTACTTATTATGCTAATAACAAATATAATGACAGTATAACCATAATCAATTAGCAATTCACAAGACCATTTTTTTTACAAAAGAACAACTGATTTAAAAGGAAAACACTTCAATTTCAGGAATCTATAAAGAATTGTAACCTATAACTTTTTTTCACTAGAAATCATGTAGCTAGTAAGCCACAATAAAACCAAATTTAACCATGTTCTAAGTCTCCNAAAAAAAAAAGAGAGAGAAGAGAGAGAGAGAGAGAGAGAGAGAGAGAGAGAGAGAGAGAAATTTGAATACAAATATCAGTTCTACTACTGTATCAATATCAATTCCATTATGAATATTATAAAGAATTTGGGTTATATATTTCATATTACCTGTGGGAACAGTGCATGATATTGTCACATTGTTGTCTTGAATTGGTTCACTGCAAAGCAAACAATAAACATGTACATTTGTTCAACTGATTAAATATATGACAACATATTTACAAATTGACAAACTAGTTAATCACATATTTTCAAAACTTTTCAAAACACGACTTTCAAACATGATGAAGAAGTCCAAGTTAACCAAACCAAACCATGCATTTGATATCTTTTTAAAAATATGTAGTCCCACTTTCAGATGGTCTTGGTTACAATAGATTGTATTTATAACAATCAATCTTGGCAAACTTTATCTCACCTGAACTGTAGAAGGAATTTACATTCTGTACACACAGAGGACTCCTGATTTGGAACAATGATTGTTTCTGAACAAAAGTTGATTGTAGCAACTCTTGTAATGACAAATGTGCTGGAATAACATTTAATTCATATAAATGAATTTTATTATCATATTCCAATGTGGCTGTGGGACAAAAGACACAATCTGATTGAACCTGAATGTAAGACACCAAAAAACCAAATCTTTCAATAAAAAATTAAAAAATTGTTCCTTTTCAAGCAATTTTTTCCAAATGAAATTGACAAAAGAGTAAATATCAATTTCTCTCACAATGACTTTAAAAAAACTAATAATACTTACCTTGGAGGGCTTATAGAAGTAGCCTTAGAAAACTGGGGAGGGTCTGTAGCATTTAAGATGGGTGAAGATACGCCCCAGCACTGGAGACTGGCTGGACGACCAGCAGCAATGATGCTAAAATTATCATAATTATAGTACTCCTGGAGTATTAAAACAATCAGTGCTGAAAATATTTTTAATATTGCTCGCCATGAATGCCAGATGATCACACATTTTGACATGTTATCGACCAGGTTAAAAGTTAAAGTTAGATTTTGTCAGATTATCACTAGGCTTTAGGACAATATATTAACTGTCATTGGACATTTAGGTAAAAAGCTGCCATGGAGGTAAAATGCCAATGGTTACTTATTATGCTAATAACAAATATAATGACAGTATAACCATAATCAATTAGCAATTCACAAGCCATTTTTTTTTTTTACAAAAGAATAACTGATTTAAAAGGAAAACACTTCAATTTCAGGAATCTATAAAGAATTGTAACCTATAACTTTTTTTCACTAGAAATCATGTAGCTAGTAAGCCACAATAAAACTAAATTTAACCATGTTCTAAGTCTCCAAGTTTTCCAAATGCTGGCTGGATTCCATAAATTCCAGAAAGAAAAAGAAGAAGAGCATGACTTACATGAAGGGAACAAAGGCAGTATTGTTGACATCTACATCCACAAAAGTATCATTAAAGTTTGCCTGACTGTAGCCAGCAGAGTCAGGTGTTAATCCACACGATACTGTTACCTGCAGTTGAAACAAAATATATAAAAGTCAGATATAAAAGTCACAAACAGGGATCAGATGTAAAAAAAAACCCTTACAGCTCAGACAAAGAAAATCTGAGCATTATCTGTATGACAGACAAGTTCAAACTACTGTCAATGGGAGAGATAAGTGAGACTTTGGTTATCACCAAACTGCCAACTCCCTACAGTCTGCATCATATAAAACAGTAAAAACATAATAAAAAGGATTTAAAAATGAAGGTCAAGTTTTATTTGTAAACAAATTGTTACAAAATTGTTGAAAAATAGTTATATTTTTCAAAGTAAAAAGGTTAAAACAGCATGGAAAGACCAAATCTTACTCAAAAAGGAGAGTACTGAAACTGTTTAAGCATATTTATCTTGGAGTTTTTAGAAAATATGGAAAGTACAGTGGTTCTGAAGGTATTTGAAACAGAACTTGGGGGGGTATTGAAACTGTTGCAATAACAGAATATTACATATAGGAAGAATAATGCAGGTATGACTAGAAACTGTCAACACAACTGAGCCAGTTATGGCCAATTAGGAAAAAAGTAGGTCAATTAGTTGTGAGGGATGATCCATGTGATTTTTGGGGAGATGGGCTTGCAACAGACCAGATGGACTTGCAACAAAAACTAAAATAAAAAATAAATAAATAAATAAATAAATAAATAAATAACAGAAAACACTAAAATCAGATCAGGTGGGAATGCTTTATTTATATTAAAAATAGTTTTCCTGTACTCAAATTATATCAAAAGTATTCCTGATTTTGTATAATATCAATACAGTAACTATAAATTTAGGAATTTTCTTATGATAGTGAGCAAAAAGGCACTTAAATGTGGACATTGGTTAGTCTCTACTGATGCTCTTATAGCAAATTATATAATCATATAATAATAATGTAATACAATAAGAAAAATGATATTAGCTAATTTTGGTCTAGAGCTCTGAAGTGTCACGCTGAGCCCAACTTCAATAACAGTGTCACTTGGTCTACAGCTCTTCTTTAGAGACAGCAAAAAAATCAAATATGGATCAAAGCTTAATAATTTTAAAAGCCCAAGTGTACTATATAAAATGGCCTATATACTATGACTTAAAGAAATATTTTTTGCTTTTTTCCCCCTAGAAGAAAAAAACTGAATCACCACTTTACATTTAGGATGTTTTTTCAATTAGAAAAGTATGCAATACTACAATTAAAGTCATAATAACTCTTCGTTTTGGCCAAAAATTGGATTTTCCTGGAGTAAGCGGCAATTTTAAGAGATTTTAACTGACGGAGCCCTCTCTGACATTGCACAGTCACGCGATATCGAGCGAAGTTTTCTGGTGACCTACTTAAAACTGCGGGAAAAGCAGACTACAACAACACTATATAACAATAATATAAGATTCATACGATATATTCGTCTTATTGTTCAAAATGCATTTATATCTACAATGTGTGCAGTTCTGGGCTATTCGTTATCCGATGCACTGTACAAAAACTCGCAACTTATGTGTGAGGATTGCATCATGCACTGCTATCATATTGCTGCCATATGTTATTTTGGTCTCGAATGAACGCGAGAATCCGCGACACCCCAACGTCATTGGCAACGGATGCCTTGACGACCGGGAAGAAAGGCATCGAAAGCCCTATTGACAAGCACAGTTTTTAGTTTTGCTACAATATCATCCGTTTTAGTGGTGTAATGCAATATAATATATTTCCATGCATTGTTTACAATGTATTTCTTGCGGAATTTTGAATCTAAAAGGAAGAGTTATTATTGCTTTAAGTGATGTCGAAATCTCACATAATTTATCCTTCAGTACTTACAAAATGGAAAAAATATATATTATATATTCATTAAATATAAATAAATTACAAGTAAAAGAATTAAATGATTCATCAAAATATTTTTAAAAAGCCAATACTTACATTACTTTCAAATGGTACATTTTGTCCAGTGAAGGGGAGTGTCACACTGAGCCTAACTTCAATAACAGTGTCACTTGGTCTAGAGCTCTGAACTTCTGAGAAAACATACTGGAATGTATCCCCATTCCGCACTGCTAATGTCAGTTCTACCTGACCCACACCTAAAAAAGTAAAAGTAAATGGTACAGTTACTAATGTGTTCCATATTAAGTACAGTATTTGGTTATTGGTATTAGCACGAAAATTCATTCTGACATTCTGATTCTGATATGTACTGTCTGCTAAGGCATGAAAGCAAAGGCCTCAAAAAGTTGGAAATGAAAACCGGTTGCTGAACCAGCCACAGTGCGGCAGCTCTCAAATTTTTATTTTACATCTCATCTCCTCAACACGCACATTACTGTGAAGCCAACCAGTTTTCCCATCAACAGAGGTATCACTTTCCTTAAATTCATCTGTCTATCTACCAGTTTGACCGTCGTAAAATCATACACCCACTATAAACAGACGTTAGCACAGACAGTACATATCAGAATCGTCAATAGGAGTACTAACGCATGAATTTTTGTGCTATATTGGTATATGTTAAGAAAACTAAAAAATAATCAAATCCATAAGTTTTTCAGGAACAAAAGGCTAGGAGTAGAAACTGAATGGCATCACCATCAATTTAATTTGTCCAGTATACTGTATAAAACACAACGCTATTTCTAACTAAATGTGTGTGTTAAGATATATATAAGGATTGATTGAGATGGAGACTGGAGGCAAGTGATGTTATAAAGGGAAATAAAGGTCTGAGAAAACTTCAGACTCCTGCTAGTTATATACCCTCTCCCATGCCTCAGCGACAGCGATACTTGAGATAGAACCTGGGTAGGGAAACACGGACCCTTCCACCTTGCAAGAACAAGGTAACTGAAGGTAACTAGTGTAAACAGAAACGTTTGCATCGTTCAAAAGGTTAAAGCAAGCGATATCGTCAAGCTATGTCTCACTTACCTATACCATGTACACGTTCCGAAATCCCTAGGATGGAAAACACACATAGCAATATTTCAAACGCCTCCATCAAGGTGGTATAAAGGCGCTGTTTTCACAGACCTCATTCATATTTTGTCACTTAGTCAAAAATGTCGCCTTTTGAAGTCGAGGCTACAAGTACCTACTTCCAATAACGACATCCACCAAGAAGTACTAGTTAAACATGCTGGTCGCTGTCACTGCAGGTAGTTTCTAGAGCTAGAAGTAAAATTACAGTGAAAATGTGTGATGTACTGAGGTCAAATTTTGAAGACGAGTTCCCTCGGATAGAAGAAGCTATAAATAGAGCGAAATTTATAGGTGAGCGTCCTAAGACGTCTTTTCCCTAAATTAATAGAATACCAGTATGTCTTAATTATTATTATTTAGGCTGTCACCTTGACTGGTCAGTGAACCTAGATGTCCACACGAAATGATGATATCATACTACACTTATCAACCAAAATGAAAAAATAACTATCAAAATCGACTGAGTGTCAAGCACCCAGAATTTAGTCCATTAACATTGTATTCATTATAAAATTCAAAGTAAAAGACAAACAGGCATCAATTACTCTCAAACCAAGTCCTCAAACCGTTTTATGAGAATTTTGTTTGAAATTAGTGCAAATTAATTCCATTTTGGTATAAGTAGAAATACATTTTTACATGTTTTTTATTTCAGCTATTGACTCTGAATTTACAGGCCTGAGAATCAACAACAAAGTCAGACCAAGGTGAACAGCATGCTGCTTTGCATTTTATAATTCCATATTTCTGTTCAATAAGTAATAATTATTTTAACAGTACATGTACATGTATTATGTAAATGGCATATTTTCTAGCTTGAACATGAAGCATTCTTATTATTTGTGTATGTAAACTTGGCAGTTGCTGTAAATAATACAGCATGATGCTGATATATCATATATTCATTATTAATGAAGACTTTGATTATTTAAGTCTGTTTGATGATGGAGCACAACGCTATGGTCAATTAAAGAGTGGTGTCAGTCAATTCCAGATATGTCAGTTTGGTAAGTAGAAGCCTTTCCATACATGATGTTTCTTTAAAAAGCTGAGAACATGTAAATGAAAATTAATTTGTATATCTGTGCATCCATTCTAAGATTCTTGATTATGATATAAGTCATTACTGATATATGCATTGACAAAATTTTTGTCATTCAAATTAATTTAGAACAAAAAAAATTATTATAAATTGATATGATTTTAACTTGAATATTTTTGAGAGAATAAGATTATTGAAATTCAAGATTATATACAGATTACGTAATATCACTTTATGAATACTTTCCAGGAGTGTCTGCATTTGTCAAAGAAGAAAATGAAAACAAGTAATCATATTTTAATATTTATTGTAGTTGAAGTACATAGCTAGAAAAAATAGTTATATATATATATATATATATATATATATATATATATATATATATATATATTTTTTTTTTTTTTTTTTTTTTTTTTTTTTAAAGGTGTCCCACGTGCACCCATATTTAAAAATCTCCCAAAGTAATATTTTTATTATGCAAAATTTGTTATCCTTCCCAGTTAAGACCTTCATAATGCGAACCCCCCTTAAATAAAGTTTATCTGAAGTATACCTGAAGTCATTATTTTCATTTGAGCCTAAAGCCCAGTGAAAATGCCCTCAACATTTTGATGAACATTGCTCAACATTTGTAGAGTGACTTTTAGTGATGCACAGTGAGAGTGGGTAAAAATGCTTTTAACAATTTCACACAACACAAGTTTGGCGATGAAGGCACGCTTGGCTGTAACCTTGAAAGTGCATAAACCTAGAAATCACACAAAACAAGTGTAGACTGCCATACTAGTCTTCCATAATGCGAAAAATCCTGATAGAAATACATTGAAGCAGTCAAAACCTATGTTTCAAAATACCCATACCTTGACTTTTTTGTTCAAATTATTAATGGTGTTAGTTTAATGTAAAAAAGTCCTTGTAGCCCTGACATTGTTACAGCTTGTAGTTGACTAGGACAGTGATGGCAAAGATGATAAAAAGAGAAAAAACTAGAGCATGGATGAAAAGTTTCACTATTGTGAGAAATAATATGAATCCACCTGAGCCTCTTTAGTATGAAAAGAGGGGTCTAGTGTGCTTGCACTATTGTGAGAAATAATATGAATCCACCTGAGCCTCTTTAGTATGAAAAGAGGGGTCTAGTGTGCTTGCACTGACCAGGCAATTATATCCGATATAATTCCCTGCACTGACTGAACATTGTTGGATGGAATGTTAAAAATGCTCTAGACAACAACATATGTTGAGTCAACCCACTGAACTATTTTGCCTTCATTTAAACTCCAATGAACAATGTTGAACACCACTCAACATCACTCAACAAGGTGTAAAAATATTTTCAGCATTTCCCCTCTGCAAATGTACATTGATGTTCAGTGAAATGTTAAGAGCATTTTAATTGGGCTTAATATCCTTGCAAAGTTCCAAACTGTGACATCTCACAATTTCATTTGAGAAATAAACTGTCTATTATATGCATGATATAAGGCCATGATACCATACGCCTTGCCATTATTAGTGTTATTAAGTGGGAAGGAGATGTATTGTGTAAGTCTGGAAAGGGATGTCATTCTAAATGTTATGAGAAACATTAAGAACTACATTATTTTTTATATAAAAGTGGCATACATAATGTAAAACATCCAGTGCAAGTCCTAGAGCTATAGAAAATTGCTTTTTTCTCAAAGTAAAATTCTGAAGCTCATAGGATGCCTGTGGTATTGTTAGTAATTTGCTTTTTTGTATGATTATTGTATGTTTTCCTTCCTTTTTCTTTACAAGGTATACAGCTTATACATTCAACTTCCACATTTTTCCTTCTTCATTTGGACCAATTGACCCAAGGTTCATGTGTCAGGTATTATAATTGTTTTATTATTATTTTGTTTTTCTGTGAAAATACAATCATGATTAATATTATGATAAATAAAATACATTGAAGACAACTGTGAGGCTCAGTCCACAATTATCACCTTATTTATCACCATAAAGAATCATTAAGTAAATTTACATTCTTGATTCTTTTTTCACACAAAGATAAGAGAGAAATATTTTGTAATAGTGGTAAATGTGTTATTTTTCAAATAAATAATTTTGTCTCCTCATTGTTTTTTATTTCAGGTGTCGAGTTTAGAATTCTTGTGTACATTCAATTTTGACTTTAATAAGGTAAGAAATTAGATTGTTGACTATAAATTTTACGAAGAGTCAGAAATGCTAAAATAATTAAGCACATCTTGAATTTTTATCTATGAAACATGAATTTGAACTACATGTGTTTGAAAAGAAGATATCAAAGTGATAAACATGATGCTTGATAGAGCATGGTAGATCACTACAGTATATTGGTGGTGAGTGAGAGCAATAGAAGGATTAGAATTTAGAAACTGGTTAAACATTATATTTTCATTTTGCTGAGGTGACACTGTACTAGGCTATGTTGTTACAGCTGGACTGTAAAAACCTTTAAAGTAATAACTGTTCCTATGAGATTAAAATTTCATAATAGAAACATTGTTAACTCATAAAAAATAATTAACTCCATCTTATTTCCAAAAGAACAGTTATTCATTGCAATTATTCTGGAATCTGTGCTTGTCATCAGACCACATAGACCTTCATAGATGGCTATACTTCAGTAATAATCTCTAATAAAAGATTATTACAAAAAAAAACTTATTAGGAAAAAAAACATGGACTAACTTTGAATGTCAGAATGGATTCATTAACCATTGGGAAGTTTGGGAATTTTTTTTTCACCAAAACAAACGGTTGTTTTCCCTTTAACCAGCTTTTTGTAGCAAGGAAATTAAAATACACTTGTTGCAACATATCACTGTACAAGTTTGCATTTTAAAAAAGTTTTAGTCTTTATAATGTGTATAGATCACCCATTTTGATTCCAGTTCATATATGAAGGTGTGCCGTTTCTAAACAGGATGCAAGAGCAACAACTAAGGAGTATTCTTAGAAACCAATCACTATTTGATGGACAGGAACGGTATGTGAATATACCCACTTCTCAGTTTAAGAAAACACATTTGAAACAATGTAATTGCAGAGAATAGTGAAGAAAGAGAGTGTGAAAATGCGGTGTGTCTGGTTTTATTGCTGACTTAACAGAGGGTCAGATATTAGACTGAGAAATAACTTTGTTCTTTCTGCAAAAAAAAAATGCATTTTTAAAGAATTTAATCAGTGAAGATGAACTTGACCTGAACTTGATTTATCTACTAATAGATTATATTACTGATAATGGGTCTTAGCAATATTGGAATTTTAAAGTGATTATTAACTAGTCTATATGGCTATTGCTGAATACAAAGGTAAAGGTTATCAGGGGTCAGTTGTGACAATATAATTTTTTTTAAATTAGTAAGTCGGTTGGTTTATACATGTATACATAGTATTGTGCTATGTGAATTTTACTTACAGAGATGTGGATGAAGATGCTCTGCAGAAGGCATGTTCTGAGGTTGCAGAGTGGGTGGTAGAAGCAAAAGATGGAGACACCAAACTCATAAATAGGCCAAAAAGTATGTTATCATGTAATGATATATGTATGTTGTATAATGTCATTTTTATTGTCTTTTAAATCTCACAGCCTTTCTGTTTTGGTCAGTACCGGTAATTTAAAAAAAATAAGGTACATGTGTAAGTCATTTTGGTATGTATATTTGTTGTAAATTATAATCTTTTATTTTCATTATTAGGAGTTGCAGATTTTATTTTGCATGAAGAATTACTTCAGCGGTTTGACAACATATGGCCAGAGAGACAAGCCCAGCTGAATCCTGTGGTAAGTAATGCAATCAAAATGTCTTTAGATTAAATTTAGTTTATTTGAAGTGATACATTGAAATCTGTGGATTAATTCATATAAAGTAAATTAACAGAATGTTGACTTATTTCATTCCAGATATTAGTAACAAAAGTACCAGTGGGACAAAGGAAAAAGCTAGAAGACATGAATGAAAATTCACAAGAGTACCAAGAGGAAAGGTTATGTGATGATTAAATTTGAATTCTTTTATATGATTGAGCATTTTGATTTATTGTATTACTCATTTGTTTGTTTGTTTGTTTGTTTTTTTTTTTTTTTTGTAAATTTTTAGTCATTTTCTAGACATCCTCACAAAAGTTCATTTGTAAAGTATATTTTTGGCTTCTCAACTGTTATTCAAGTGTGGATATTTGTATGTTTGTTTGTTTGTATTTTTTTTCGAGGAATCAGTCTCTGGAAGGCTAATAGTTACTTGTGATACACTATGAATGTCATTTGCATAATTTTTTTTTAAAACCTAATTTATTTTTTACAGAATGGTTAATTTATTAAAGGGTTTCTCTCGAGTGATTGATCTTATATCAAACTCTAAAAAGGTAAGCAGTTTGCTTTAGAATTATTTAACTATTTTTATTGATACATTGTTCAATGTGTAAAAACACATACATTTTTGCTATAATTTGCATGCTACATTCTTGGTCAGATGCATTCATTTGTTGTTTATTCTTATTTTAATGTATTTTATTGTAGGAGATTTGTTTTGTAAAAGAAGTCAAAACAAATCTTAAAATTCTTCTTTCAGCCACTCATAGGACACAACATGCTTTTAGACTTAATGCTCATCCATGATAAGTTTTACCTACCTTTGCCTGGTAAGAATTAAAAAAAAAAAAAAATATATATATATATATATATATATATATATATATATATATATATATATAACTTCAAGTTGGCTTTATAACAAGTTGTTAAAAATTCTTAGCTTTGTAATTCACAAAACATTTGTATTGACTATAATAGCTTTGAGAGAATGGTGAGCAGCTACAGAAGTATTGGGAGGTTTAAGGAAGTAGCTGTTTGAAAGATTTAATGACTATCTGAGGTCGTGTGACCACTATCATGGCAGATGCAGTAATAACAAAAGACTTACCTCCAAATAACCTACTTCAAATTCAGTGGCAGTGGGAAGGAAGACTGATGTCATGGTTCATTTCCTTATAGTTTGATCATATGCTTGCACCTATGCGCGCTCACACACATGCACACAACTTTTAAGTCAAGCCTTCAGTTTCATGGCAAATGTTCTCTTTTTAATTAAAGGGATAACAATTGTTCATTTTGGCCAAAAAATGAATTTTCCTGGGGTAAATGGCAATTTTCCCATACTTACCAATGGTTAATGAATCCATTTCTACATTCATAATTAGTCCCTGTTTTTTTTTTCTAAAAGGTTTTTTTTCTTTTTTGATAATCTCTTAAGAGATTATTGCAGAGTATTGCCATCTGTGGAGGTCACATGGTCGATTGGCAAGCACAGATTTCAGATTAATTACTATAACTGCCGTTTTTGTGGTAAAATAGAATATATAATATTTCTATGTGTTGTTTACAATGTATTTATTGTGAAATATAGATCTCTTACTAAGAGTTGTTATTCCTTTAAGATTTTTAAGTGAGAAAGAAAGTGGAGGTACCTTTCTATAGAATTCAGACAAAATAGATTGTGGTACTTTGAATATATCTATGCTGTATAATGTTTTTTTTAAAGAAATCTCACAACCATTTTATAGATACATTTTTTCATTGCAGATGATTATCTTACTTTCAAGAAGAATATTCATCAACTTTTCCCTTGTATCATAGACACAAAGCATTTTTCTTCAGAAATACGAAAGGTGAATATTACAGTATATATATATATATATATATATATATATATATATATATATATATATATATATATATATATATATACTTAGTGTATGTGATGTCACTTCGCTCTAGTCCCCACCATCTTCAGTCTTCAGCTAAGAATATTTATCAGTGTCTTGAATTTGATTTTCGATGTAGAGCATCTCTGTGATGTTGAAAATTGTGCTCTTTCATTTGTTTGTGTGCTCAGTGAGTGCTATTGTATGTGAATATTACTATATTTTCTCATAAAATTATTTGTTTTCAGTCTGTTGAGGATAGTGGTTTATTAAAAAGCACAAGTTTAGGAACGTTGTATGAAGAAATGGATAGGTAAAGTTTGGTGTGACAAATACTTTTTTTAGGAAGTAGAACTAAACAAAAGTTATGGACAAAATTTACCTTCACTAAATAACTTACATTGTATGTAGGATATTTGTAATTATCAGTGTTCGTTGAAAAGAAGTGTAGTTCAGTTTGGATGCTTTGTTGATCATATTATTAACCCTAGACTAATTTTTATGAATTCATTCTTCATTAAAATTTTAATTTATAACTTAACAGTGATTTGGGAAAAGGAATAGTTCTGTGTCAACCTGCCATTCACCATGCACCAGGATACAGGAAATATGGTAAGGGGTCATGCATTTTTATCATCATTTTCACAAGTCTGCAAAGAGTAAACTTTTTCCAGCCCCCCAGAGAGTACAAGTGAAAAGCTATTTATGGTGATCTTTATGTCCAATTCACAACAACCAATATTTTGTGTGCATAGTGGTGTTTATTACTGTTGTATATTTGTGGTTTTGAGATGCAGCAGACATGAATACTCATTGCAGCTTTTTCCCAATTTTAGTCGACGGGACTGCCTACCATGAAGCAGGATTTGACTCCTTTGCTGCAGGATATGGTGTGCATATTTTTTCATACATTGTTGGTAATTTTGTTAAGAAATATGCTTTAAAGGTAGAAATACTGTGGCTAAGTCTTTTTATGTTTTTTTCACCTTATTAAGTGTAGAATGCAATTGCTTTTGCCATTAATCCCCAAATTAATGCTATGAGATTACATTTCAAAAAATTTTACAAAATTAGTGCTATTAGATATAGGGATCTAGATATAGGATAGATGATGAATATGCAAAGTCTTGAACTCCAATTAGGAGGTTGTGATATCTTAGAAAGAAGATTACATTTTAATATATAGTATTTACTTCCAGTTTTTCTACGGATGTGCCACATGCATTCACTATATGGACTTTCGTAAGTTTTCTACTCATTTTATCATTTATTACAGGGGCCTTATTTCTGTTTATATTTTATATCTTAGCTTTTTTAGTAATGATGTTTTTTTTGTTTAATTAAAAAATTTTTTTAGAGTATGATATGATTGGAAAAATTTAGTAAATAAATGTAATTAAGACTTGGAGTTGATTTTTTTTTCTGAGAAGTTTGTGTTGATTGAATTATTAATGTTTTGGATTTTAGGTCCATGCAGGCTGCCCCTCTAGAATTCAGTCATTACATGACCAAGACCAAACCTTTCCACAATAATATCAACATGATTAGAGCAGCCATAGATCATATAGTAAGTCCTAAATTCTTGTCTCTCTTTCTGCCCCCCTCTCTCTGTCTCTGTTTTTTTTTTTTTTTATTCTGTCTTCCGACTTACAAATTAGTTGTTTGAATAAAGAAATATATCGTTCCTTTTTGACTTGATAAGTGTGATATCCATATCACACTTCTGAGCTTTTCAATATTCAAACAAGAAAATAAACTGAGTGTGTTATGGACACTCATGTACATATGATGTTCATTTTATAACAACTGCTAGTAATAATAACAATGATTCACAGTGTTTAGATGGTGCTGATCCTCCATCTAGAAGGCCACAATGGTTGCATGTGCAAAGCAGGACATATAAACTGAAAACTGTTAAGGTAAGGCTGAACATTAAGCTATCTAAAGAGATTTACTTAAGTTTTTCCTGTTCACCAATTTTTTCAAGGGTTGGTAGTACCTTGCACAGACACATACAATAAGTTTACTGTGTTACAGTACATTTTTGACAAGTAAGCTAATATTGAATGAAAATAAGTGGATCTAGAAGGATATTTGACTTACTCCCGTGACATGGATTTTGTATTTTAAGTTGGCAAGATTGTTCTCTTCCCATGGATCTGTGGACATCAAGATGTTAGGAGAAAGGAAGGCCTTGGTAGCAGTAGCAAATTACAGAGTGTGAGATAGATATTTTGAGCATTTTAGATAAAGGCAGAACTTGACATTAATAGTTTCTTTGTGGGTGAAAATAAACTACTAAGAAAGAAATATAATTTTTGCTACAGTAGTAATAATAATGAGTAATTAAATAGCATTATTTATAATGGCATTAAATTTTGAATAACCTGAAAAATGTGGTATTATGTGCAGTTTAATACACAAATCTCAAAACGTGATGATTATGATAATTTGATTACAGAGCCAAAGATATTCTGAAATCATTCCACAACCATGAACAGATTAAGGTAGCCAAATACAACATATGGAGGCATTCTCCTGTGGTCAGAGGAGTTATGTGGTAAGTATATTGGACAGGGCCGTAGCTTGAGCAAAATGCCAGGGGGGGCAGTAAGCGGAAACGAGGGGGCGTCCCCCTACCAGTATGGAAAATTCTAAATCCCAGGGGGGGCAGCTGCTGCCCCCCCTGCCCCCCCCCCCCCCGGAGGCTACGGCCCTGTTGGAGAAAGTTGCTTTGATTGACATGGGCTTGAGATTGATGGCTTGATGACTGTTGAACAGGGATAGACTATTACCTAAGGTCAATTTTGCAATACTGGTCTTAAGGTGGCTGACAGTAAATATTAGTAAATATCGCTGATAACATGGCAACAGTTTCCATTAGGGACTTCATTGGAAAAAAAACAAGTGAATTCTTCAAAAAACATGGGTGTTTATTTACAGGTTAAATAATTTTGATGAATATCAATTTCTTTTGCAGGACTGGCCTAGCACTGTCAGGTGGAATTTGTCTATGGGCTTTATTCTCCAGTCAAAAGAAAGATTAATTGTATCAGTTAGTGAGGTTACTTTTAAACATGCAGATCAGTTCACAGAAATGCAGTTTGACTGGTCAGAGCAACATTATTTTAATATAAGGACCTACTGGATTTATTTGGTGATTGGCTATTGTATAAATTAAAAGATGTCAGGAGTTTTATATTCTCCTCCTTTCTTTTTATTATACAGTGAATTGATACCCAGGTTCAGTTCAACAAGAGGGTCATTGAATAGATAGCTGCCAGGATTACCTCTTCAATCTTTTCTTACAGTGAGTAGATATTAATGCATGCCTAACTCATATGTGCTGTTAATTATTGTATTGAAAAAGAAAATAAACGTCAAACAACTGTTTGTTTAGTATTGAATACTTTATTTATAATGGATATTTTTCAATGCAAAAATTATGAGGTAAGTATTGAAAACAATGAACATATAGTACAATGTGTTGTATGCCACTCAATAAAAATTGAGACGAGACTATAATTGTTAAGAGAATCATTAATCTAAAGATTTAGATGAGGTAAAATCTATTTATGATAAATATACAGGTTAGATATAAGAAAAACTGGTAAAATATTGCACAGGATTTGAAGTGTACTTGTAGTAGTTTAATTTGAATTGAAGTCTTATGACTTTTTTTGTGAACCACTTTCGAATTGTTCATTTCGAATTGTTCAAAGATGAAAAAATCATTGCGCCATTGGGAAATATTGCAAGGAAGTACATAATCAAATAATATATCAGTCATAAAGACGTACAGAAAAACATTGAGCAGCATGGGAAGCTACACAACTGAAAATCCGTTTTTAAGCCACTTTTTATCATAAGCTACTGGGAAAAAATAGTAATGACCGTGTCGTACATGAACAATTGCTGACGACACCATGCAATGATAAATTTTATACTCCTGTATGGTTCAAGAATTATTGGTGAAAACGACCAAGTCTTTTTTCTTATGAAAATGTTGCAAATGTTTTAAAAACTATTGCAGCTTAAAATGACCAAGTCTCTAGCGCCGTTTAAAAAGCATTGGCAGTGTTTTCAGACACTGACGCAGTTTCTTTTCAACCTCGTCCATGGTAGGACGCTCACTCCGCTGCACTGCGAGACAGTCATCCACCAAGTCGGTGATGTTCAGCCACTTCGGCATATCGGCAGCTTTCAGTAAAGCCCCAAAGCTGTACACGTCTGACGAGGCTGTGGAGGGCTTCCCCTCGAAATATTCCGGGGGATGCTGAGGATAACGGAGCACGTGTTTTTTTCTCTCCGATGGATCAACGTAATATGAGAAGCCGAAACTAGATCCACTGACCGTAACCTTGCCGTAATCGATGATAAAAACGTCTGTATTATCATCGATCGGTTCACTCAAAATCACATTGTCATCGTGAAGATCATTAAATACGAATCCAAGATTGTGTAACTTTGCGAGTTTCATGGCAAGCTTAACGAAGAGGCGTAGCCAGTCAATCACGAGAGAAATGTCCTGGACCTGTTTGGGGAGCGTTGTTAGTGCATCACTCAGGGTTATGGTCTTGCGATTCACTGGATCACCAATAAACTGAGTCACCATACCTAAGGCGTGATATTTTTTCTTCTTGATGCCCTTTTTGAGAAATTTGACGGAGCTCAAGTCCACTAACCCAATAAATTTCGGACCTATGCCACTCTCTGAGAGGGCAGCAGTTATCCTTGCCTCTCTCACTGCTAAATCAAAGTCAGTTTGATCTTTGAAGACCTTTACGGCGACAGGCAAATCTGATTGTTTTTCTTTGGCAAAATACACTTTGCCAAATGTTCCTTCCCCTAGCAGTATACCCTTTCGTTTCAGAAAGTTCAGGCATCCTACGGGCAGGAACCTTGGGACATCATCTACATTGAATTTTGGGGAGTTTCTCAAATCCCCCACAGGAATGTCATTCACACGGCGGGCCAAACCTGGAACAGAAAAAATGTATCATTTTCAGCTCTCATTCGTAGGTGGGGGGCGGGGGTGGATTTAGTTGGATTCCGGGGTGGGGGGAGGAGGGGCTCCGCACGTTTTTGCGATACCTTGGATCAACCAGTGTCAAAAAGTCAACTGCCCTCTTTTATTTAATTCTTTATCTTTTTAAAATCTTTTCTAGTAATGCCAATGTCTACTTTGCCGTATGGTTTAATATATTGTGCACTGTGTCCGAATGCGTCTTCCCACGATAGCTCTTTTCTTATCCCTCGCATTCCCTACTATAAATTGCAACCACCTACTGAAATAATCTTCCGTCTATGTTGTATCTTGATTGTTTAAATAATTTTTTATCCCCATCCTAAACTAATTGCTGAATTTTACATTTTTCAATGGTAACACCCTCAAATGACTTCTGTATTATAAAATCAAGCTTACCATTGATACCCTAGTTTGATGGTCAGTATCTTAACACTTGTTTCACTAAAAGTTGACCTCAACTTACCTTCGTATTCTACATCAACACCACTTTCAGTGTGGGAATTTATTGAATCAAATGTCTAGTTGGTGGAATGAAAATAAATAAAAGAAAAGAAAATTTAGGAAAATAAAAACTAAAATAGACAAAAAAAGAAAAAAGAGGAAAACAGAAAGAAAGAAAATATGAGGGAAATAACTTGAGGTACAACAGAAGATGCTATGGAAAAAACAAATATTCTTTCGGACAATTTCAGGATAAATTCGCTTTACCTGTTCACGCTCTCTCCTCCTCCTGCGTTTTGATCTGTTAGTAGAATCACGGGTTGGATTCCTGGGTGCTAATGACATTTAAGAGAAATATATTTGAATTGTCAAATCATATGATGCAATAAGACAAAATCCATCGCTTGTCTTTTTTTTGCTAACTTTTTATTAATATATTATTAGAATCTTTTCTTAAGCCGTTTGTTTTGAAATTCATAATTTTACCATAAGATAAAACATTTAGAACCCTATTCAAATAGTTTTGACTCACCAAAGATAAACAGTCTGGCTGCTACAGAAATGAAATTGCGAAAACGATTCAACAAAGACGTTTCATTCCTTTGGTTCTGCAAGTAAAATATTTAACATACTTATACAGGGAAAATGGCATTTATAATATTTATAGTCCCCGCCATTGGTAGTTTTATACACAAATTACATACTCTATAAGAGTTAAAAGTTTAAAACAGGCCCTAATCAAATCACCACAGCAGGAATAATAAGGACTCACACGATTGGCTTTCTTATTTTAGAACACGTTGTCTAGTCTGTAGCCTTTATAGGCCTAAATAGCGAACAGGTAATTTGAAAATACTCTTTCAAACGTGCTTTTGTTACATAATCTATTGAACTGTACATAGTAAAATATATCTGTAGGCCTACTTACACGTGACGGCATTGCTTTTACATATTTTCAGTTCTAAATATAAGCAAATCAACTGTAATAACACGAGCTATATTGCACGCGTTCACTACTGATTTTGGTTGACAACCAATGGTTTCGATGCAACGGTTGTCTAGGTATACGATAATGTGACGTCAGGCGCAGCACGAGATTTGCGCAATAATCAAACATAACGTCAACAATATAGCAGTGCTAAAAGTGACAGCCTACCACTGTCAGCACATCAACTGCGTAAAAATTGCGAAATTAATTGGTAATTAAAACATTTATACAAATTCTGACTCAAAACTATTCTTTTTATGTCGAAAAAGCATGCGTGTGTTTGTTATTTCTGGAGCGCGTAGGCATTTGAAGTTACTGTACATTTCCCGGGTTAAATCCAGAGATTTACGCAATAATCAAACATGACGTCAACAATATAGCAGTTTATGTTGTCACTTCAGTACATGAGAGTGTATTTTTATAATAAGCATAATAAGTTTGGAGAAATTGTTTGAAAGATTTGTAGATTTTATATATTTGTTACTTAAGGGCACGTATGCTCTGCTTAAACTCACCTCAGGAAAAAATTGAAGTAGTTTTCTCCTACTCATTGATCGATCCGTCACTGCACGTGGATTAAATATTTTATTCCGTTTTTTATTTCTGTTTTTCCGTTTTCTTATTCCGATGATCGATATGACCAATCATTTAGAACTATCCACGCCAGGTACTTTTATTTTCGGGAAATTTTATAGCTTTGCTGGGTATGCTCATAGAAAAAAAAGCGTAACTTGGAGAGCTTTTCACAGGCGTACAGTGTACCTTAAAGCGTTTGCATTCATTGTGAAATCGATGCCCCCACCCTTTAACCTCAGAATGGAAAGTGGCACAGCATCAAAGTTCGCCGTAGCTAGAGGCGCATCTAACGCAATAGTTACAATCGGTAAAAATCGAAGCTCTTTGACTTCTGTTAATTAAAATTACCACTTGCAAATATTCATTAAAGTTGCATAGCTCAATAATGGTATATTTGACACAAGAATTACAACGATTTTGTTGACAGAAATACCTTGGGAATTGAAATGTATGTGCTAGGGCCTTAATCCTTACTTTAACAGTAACTTTATCGCATTGTTGAGTTTTGTATTGCATGAGTTAACAATAATACCTAGTATTTGTTGTTAAGAACTAAAGGTCTTACAGTGTACGGGGTATGAAAATAATTGTTTGTAAAAGGAATCAATTAGCCTCTTTCATGAAGACCGTTCACGCTAAATTTAAAGCAGGTTACGTATCCGAAGTATCGGGCGTTCTATTATGAATATTTAAGTAGGAAAGAAAATCCGATTGTTTACCAACACGGATTGGAAGTTTGTGAATTTCAGCAATTTTTGTAGTGGAAAGTTTAAGCCTACCACACATCTTTCACAGTACACTAGCGTAACAGCAGAAAGGATTCAAGAGGGGGGAGAAACTAGGCTGGAAATAGTGACAAATACACAGGTCGCCTTATTTATTGGCGATTAGTTACGACCTCTTCGTGTTTTGTGTGTAACTTGAGATGGTGGGACGCGCTGTGAAGTTACCCCAAGTGGACATGGGCTCACAGCGAATAGGCGTACAACCAATGTGTCAACGTGACAATGCCACAGTTACCAACGATATATGAATATTTAGAAGATGTAAACTGATATTGGAGACGCGGTGGATGATGATTAAAGACGTGTTTGCTGAATAGGGTAACTAGGTACCAGGACGAGAATTACTTCACTGCCAATACCGACCCTTGGACGACGAGAGATGCTGTACTTGTCAAACTCGTGATAAGATGCTGGTTTTTATTTAAAACAGCTGGTAACTTGTATGTAAGCGTGTAGTTTCAGGGGGCCTTGAACTAAGCCCTATTTTGCTGGTATTTATTTTATTTTGAAAGTATGTGACTCACTGAACATAAGTTGCTGGTGGAATTACTCAAACTATATAAAACATCACTGGGGAGCAACGTAGACGCAGCTGGTGCGTCGACAGACGACAAAAATGGGAGAAAATACTAAGATCTGACGTGAAAGGTCGTGGAGTGGAATGGCTGGTGAGACAGATTCAATGGCAGGAGAATCCAGTGAATATTCGGATTCTGAGTCTGAAACTCCTACCGTGGGAGTAAAATCCGACTGGAATTTCAACCGTGCCTGTGCCAGCAGCAGCCCAATTTCAGTTCTTCGTCTCGCTGATTTGGAAATCTCAGACGAAGAATGTTTTTGCTCCCGCCTGGCAGATGTGACTCCCTGGGACTACGACGAGTCGGCCACAGCAGTCCGAGATACGGACAACAGGCAAAAACATGGAAAACATAAAAGGCATAAAGATAAACACTACATGTTACCAACAAAAGCATGGGGTGTATCTAGAATTAAAAAGTCCACAGTCGAGCCGGATCCGTACCAGTTTCAGCATTATACTAACTACAGACAGTACATGGAAGAGTACAGAACGAGGCATGGGTACAGCGCCAAGGCAACAACACCAGAAAAGAACAAACAATTGGAAAATGGACTGGGAAGTAGTGACCCATATTTTCAGAAGATATGGTAAGTTCATAATTCGTATTTCAACGATCACTACATCATTAGTAGAATGAAACTGAACAGGTTTTGCTATGAACTTCTGAACAAAATGGAATTCGTGATACTACAACCTAAAATACTATATATTAGGGAGATTGCAACACCACGTGATGATGCTACAGAGAAGTGATATAGTACGAATCATATACATGTGCAGTAAGACAGACGATTTCATGGGTCACAGGTGTATATATATATAACAAAATACAACATAAAAATCATTTCGATTTGGTGTGCAAGACTAATACATTATAGTCTATATGGCGTATGTTAGTTTTATTCTCAACTTTAGAGACATGTCTTAAGTCACAGATTGAAGTGTTTGTTCTGAAAACACTTGTATCCGAAGTCGGGGTCATTGAAGATAAAGCCAAGATTTTTATGCGAGTTTAACATATGGTCTTTCCATTAACATATTGTTCGCCCTTTTTTCGAATGTGTATAGACCTAGTTGGAAAAAAACTGCCTATTCTTATTCAGTTTCCCGACTTTTATCGATTCGGATACGAAATTTTAGCTCTTTCTGTCAAAGTAGAAGAAAGCATTTAACAGGTGTCTAGAGTATTTCTCAAATATTTAGTCACCATTTTAATTTTAGTCTCTTTAATATCATGAGTGCGTGAAACAGCTATGATAAACACAAATTATCGACTTGACTGGATTGGAAGAACGGCTGTTTCTTTCCCTACCTTTCTCTCTCCAGCGCTTATATAATTAATTACTACAGATTTCATTGCAAGGGGACTGTCAAGAGAAATTTGGATTACGTCCGTAAATTCGTAATGTTAGAATTATATGCAGGGACATAAATGACGCATTAAGGTAATCATTTCAATCACACCACATTCTCTGAATTTTTTTTTTTTTTTTTTTTTTGTCAAAAATGAAGTAGATACATTTAACCTTAAATGTTATAGACCATGTTATGAAAAAGAAATACTATTGATTCCACGGATCCTAACGAAGAATACAGATCGTGGTGTATCTAACCTAAGATCTAATAAACATCTAATAATCTTAGATCTAACGTACATGAATACAGAAGCGGCAAACTACTTCAAGTGTGCTTCTTAAGCCCTGGGTCTACAGGTATACTTTTCATTATGTTTACCATGCAACAATACTACTTCCACTGCGTATCGATTTTCCTTATAAAAGCAGTAGAAAGTTGCGATGCCCCCATACAATATGGATGAGACGATACACAGTGACGGATTATTACTGTTGACTTTTCGATAACAATGTTGACGCTATAATAACTTCTCTGGAAGCATGCTTGCAGTGTCATGCTTAATAAGATGATTTGGTTATTTTTTTCCATTAGTTCAGTTTAGGTTATGAAGAGCGTGGCAATTATTTATCCGACAGCATAGCTCTGGAGTTATACCCTAAGAAGTAATGTTAGGATTTTTTCTTGTTTGAATTTGATAAAAAATTAATTGAAGGCCATTTTTTATTGGCGTAATTGATTTGATGATCAGTTACGCAGTTAACGCACGGGACCAGTTATTGTTCAAGCAAGGCTTTTTTTTACTTGATACATAATTTATTTCTTTTCTTCTATATAATTTGAAAGCTGGTATGAACAAACATGCAAAAACACTTTTTACAGTTCTACTAACGTGAGCATTAAAAATTATGACACAGCTATATGTAACCAAAATGTAAATAAATAAATAAATAAATAAATAAAAGACATTTTCAATGTCTATATAAATTCCATACTGTTTAATTCCAGTTATATTCTACATAATCTTCACAGCTTTGCGTTTATAAGACAAGCGAGGTCTATGTTGCAGAGTGGACAAGGGTAAGGAAGACGCAGCGGTGCCGTGGATCAGTTTGTTGCCAGGTTTTGCCACTGGGATAACAGCCATTCAAAAGCTTCGTTGCTGTAACTCCCCACCCCGTGTTTCAGACCTCTAGCAGAGACTCTGCTCTATATACAGCATGTTTCCCTCCTCCGTTAAACTTACACGGGGACGGCAAGCGTATGTAGAGTACGATGATCGCTGAATATTTCTGAAACGCGGGGTGCTGTCCCCATCTTCCATCACCATTTTATTGGCCAGAGTGCTTGAATTGGATTTTATTTTCCAGTATTGGTGGTAAAGTTTGACGCAGGGGTTCGGTTGGCTTTTGCCATTGGATTAACAGCCGCAAAATGTGTTTCTGATGAGCTGTGCTCACTCACCTTCTAATTGGGCCATGTTTCCTTCATTGGATTCAATTTTGATTTTCAGTGACGTTTTATTACCTGTTTGAATGCACTTCGCTTTTTGCACGTTATGAGGCAAGTCCCGTCTGCGAAATAAACTACAAAAATAATAATAATAATAATAATAACCCATTTCGTGTGTATTCCTTACCTCTTCATTATAACTTTCTTTAATGTATAATACATGTTTATGAAAAGCTTGGTCAACACCATTTATAGAATTTATGAAACATCAGCTACGTTTGGGGTGAAGTGAAAGATTTGTTTTGAATTTCTGTGATATGTGCACTATGGAATCGACCTGACAGAGAATTATTCATTTTTTTTCGTTTTAGTCCCAACGAGGCGACGGAAATACCCAAAGAGGCTGAAGGCGTTCCAAACGGTGCTGCAAACCAAAGCCCAGATGAAACCGTGCCGTTGCCAAAGTCAGCTCCAGCCTCACAATCGATACCTGCCGCACCGTCTTCACAAACTGGAACTGAGAGTCCCATGAAGCAGAAACCATGTCAGGACGATCCACCGACATCGCCGCGTAAACCTCAAAACACTACCGAAAAATTACCTCGGAAAACTAAGTTCAGCCCTGAGAGTAACTCCTCAGAGAGCGACGGTCATAGCAAAGGTAATGGGGATTCTTTTGCCAAGGGGAACGTGGACATAAGTCGGAGATCGGTGCTTCCAAAATTAACACCTCGACGAGGGGAACCTGGAGTACGGCTTGCTCCTGAAACGATAGCTTTACGACCATCTGCCGATTCCGAGGAGGCCAAACTCGGTGCAGGAAACCCCGTAATCGCCAGCTACGTCACAGACAATTTCAGGGAGAATAAACATTTGCCAACACCTTCCAACCCACTGGAAGAATTTCGCGAACATGCCAGATCACAAAAACGAAAAACGTTTGGATTAAAATCTGTCCATTCAGTTGACATTTTAAGTGTGATAAAAAAATATGCAGCAAAAGCGAGAGAACTATATCCACAGTTAGCGGCAACGGGCCCTGGCATCGACCCGAAACCGATCACAGTACGAACTTTGGGGCAGCCAGCTCAAAGACAGTTGCCAAAACTGAACGTCAGATCTATCCTTTTAAAAAGTGGCGATCACCAAAATGGCACTGACAATGGTGGCATCGTATCGTCTGAAGGCGGTAAACCGCGAAATCGTCCGCCTACACCGATGCCTAATTTACTCCTTCAAGCTCTGACTAACCCCGAGCAATATGAACAATGTTTGGCAAGGCTAAAGCAGGCGGAAGATTTGGTGAGGCCGCGCCTACCCAGTAGCGACAGTGAAGACGGACAGGGCAGCAGCAGACTAACTCGATCTGATAGCTTCAAATGGGAGCTCGGGGAACTGAGAAAGGCGTTCAAAAGGAGGGACAAGATGAAATCCCCCCTTTCAAAATCTGATCCAACCGGTCAGTCTCTAAAGCAGAACTCCGATATCAACAAGAAATCTTTCGATAATCAAAAAATTTCATTCAGTACCACAGAAGGAGTGTATAAGTATAAAGTCCCTTCTAAAGAACGGAAAGACCCCAAAAAGCTTGATATTACTGGGTTTCCTTACAGAACTCGAGAACAGCACGAGGCTTTCTATGCACGATTGAAAAAATACAAAGCACAGGACGGATAGAGTGCAGTGAAGTGTACATTGTATTAAACAATGTGTAAATCGTATAAATCCATCTGACCGATCGCCAGCCAACACGTTCTTTTTCGCTCGGCAGTTTATGCACTGTATATCCAGGGGTGGAATTTTCATCAAATGAACATAATATCTAAAACTGTTTGATGCCTTCAATTTAAATCAGGTTTTAACGATTGTCTTTAAAAAACAAGGACGACTTAAAAATTATTAAAAGTACCTCTACTGTCAAAGTAATTTGTTTAATCAGACTCACGGTCCTTGCAATCACGCGACCGATTTATTTGTTAGTGCAATGGATCAGGTTAATGGTTTACTTAGCGTTGATTCAACCTAGGGTCATTCGGCTTCTGTACATCTTGAGCGATATGACCTCAAGTAACCTAAATAAACATGGTGCTACAATGGGTAATATTCAACGAAAATATTGAATAAAAATACTTTTATTGATCAGATTAGATTTGTGAATCGTTATGGTAGCCTTTTCAGATAGGCACAACCCTTCCTTGAGTATATGGATACAATAGCAGAGCAGCTACACTACAAATATAACAGCACGTTGTTACTCGAGGTATTCTACATGTATGTGGCAGTTATGCGTAAAAAGGTCACATCGTTCAAGGAATTGTAAAAAGATACTCTTATATCAGTCTTTGCACAGCTGCAGCAATACAGCAGTACACGACATTTTTAATAGAAACCAGTCTTAATTAATGAACTTTGGTTATTTCCTAACAATTATGATGAAAACTTTATAATCAGTCAAGTTAAGCAGAATTTACTGGATATGCAACATGCAGGCTATTCTATCTGTTATAGAAAATTCAAGAAAATGCTTTTTATACAGACATCTCGTAGATCACAGTACTACACAAACTTACCTATCAAATCCAATATCACAGCATTACAAGAAACTTTAGGCTATCATCTCATGAACTTGACGTAGAAACTGGGTCAGGTTAATAAGGATATTGTCACCGTTCGCCCAAAACTCCTTATTTACCTACATTCTTTTGGGTAATAAATAAATCTTCAGTGTGCAGTGACTAAATAAATTAACATTTACACATATGTCATCTAACAAGTGACGTCATAATTGCGATTTTTGGGTAAAAACTGAAATATCGGTTTTTAAAATTTCTCTTTTACTTGATCACCCATGATCACCGTTTCAACGCCGATTTAATGACACCATTAAGTACTCCAAAACCGTGCAAGCAATTTTTCTTAAATTTTTAGTTAAGATTTTATCGTTGACAAAGCAAAATAATGCCTTTGTTTAATGAAAATCTGTAATTAGGGGCTAATACTCTATAACAAAAACATCTAAACCAAGATGACGGCGCAGGATTGTAGCTAATACACTCTTATTCAACTCTGCCAATTTTTCGTGATAAAATCTTGTTCAGGGATGAAGTTACGCCCCATACCGATTACTATCTCACCTCAAAATAGAAAGGTGTTAAATTGACGATTAAAGCTTTGAGTTGCCTATGCTTATACATTGCAACGAAAAAATATAAACGCTGATATTTTGTATTTAAGGGGTTTTTTCATTGTTTTAAATCAGCACAAAGAAAAAACGCATTATTGAATGATTAGATGCAGGAAAAAAAACTCATTTTCGGTATCTGGATGATAATAAAGGGTCATGATGTCCTAATATTCTTTGATAATCCAAAGTTTCATTGCTCCAAAGGTTGGTTGGTCCGAAAAATCGTATGCGCGCGTGCCTCTGATGAACTTTACTTCATTGCCAGTACACTATACACTTTGTTCATGCATAATACGGACTTCAGAATATTGCTACGGCCCCTTTTGATCACCCTGCTGGTAAAGAGAAATGACGAAGATTCCGGACACGCGCAAACTAGGACCCACCTAATGGGACCTACATGCAAAAACGCAACTGTACTTTTTGAAATGACATTTTTAAAAATTTCTTTTCCTTTTTCAAATAGCTCTTTTAATAGAGATCTCACTAACTGAAACATTTTTGTAAAAAATTTAAGTATAAAGACATTTAAACTTTCAAACTTTAAAAACCGTTTTTATATTTAACATCAAGATATCTCCAAATCCTAGCTAAAACAGACTAAAATAAAATGTTTAGACTAATAATAAATTTTGGTAATTTTTCCAGTAACATTTAATTTTTTTTACGATAAAACTTTCTGAAAATGCCTGTACATTAAAAGATTAAAGAAAAAGCCTGATCTTTTCAATTTATTTGAAACGCGCTCTGAATAAAAATCAAAACGGAGACACACTTGGAGGTTCGATAGAAGTCATATTATTGTCAACTTTGGCATTGCTTCTTATTGAAAAATATCTATAACTTGGAGCCTACCGGAAAGTGTATTCTCATAAGTTGCAGAAATATTTTACCTTCATTTGTTGGTACATTTTACTTGTCCCAACATAAAAATGTCTTGTGCCGAAAGTAGTCCCCTTGGTTGATGTATACAGAAGTTTGAAAAAAAAAATCAATCTTGGGCCTTCATTGTATGAGAAATCTAAAGAAGGCAATGGTATTCAAGGCAAAATTAATAAAAAAGTTTTGATTATCATACTTAAACACAAAGCCACTCACCTTCAAGGGCTCCATCTTAAAGGATAGTTTAATTAAGCCAAAAATGACACCCACCATTCACATCAAATTTTGGACCAAAACTCATAAAATGTTATGTAAAACCAATTTTTTCATGTTTCTTTATTAATGTTTTTTCTAAATCTACTGATAAATAATCCAAATTTACTAATAACTAACCTTTTTATTGAGCCAAGCTTCTTTAAGTCATTGACAATAATTCATTTTATTGAACATGGCTTTATCTACCACTTACATCCATGCAAGTCCAATGTGCATGCATTATTCTTTTCATTCAATCTAAGTTTTGCTACAAACATTAAAAAAACTTATATTTAAACAAGTCAGCAAAGCTGTCAAGTGTACAGACAAAAAGCAGAAAATGATAATGCACAAAATTGGCTACTGTCAATTCTGATGCAAAAATACATCATATGCTTAAGTGCAAAGTCAACATCAATTTTTAATTAGTGACAACAGGTAATATGGATATAAGTAAAACGAGTAACAAGCAAAGGGCTTCAGTCCCATGACAGTTAAGTTCACACTTTGAAATGCCAGAATGAGAAAAAAAATTCACAAAAAAATTAGTACTTTTAAGACAAAATAATAGGCCAAACAAGCTGGTTTTCCAATTTGGGCTGTATGTCAATCGAAGGAATCATTCTTTTAAGTTACAAATAAGTAACACAGTTTTCCTTTCTTAATGTTTGTGGTAACAGTGCACAAAGTAGGTTTTTTGACAATTTTGATGCAATATTACATGATTACCACATAAATCACCAACAATTTTTAATTATCTACTATACATAACACTGACATTCATGCAAATGTAAATACCGTTCGGCTTTATGCCGCGGGAGTTCTAAGCCCCACAATGAAAATGCCAATATGTGAAAAATTAAAATTTTCAAAGAGAACTGCATAACTTCCAGAAAAACAAGCACTTAGACTGGTTTTCCAACTAAAGCTACATTTCAGTCCTATGAAACTTTTCAGTAGGCTTGAGAATCATAAGTAACATAGTTTTCATTTAATGATCATTATGCAGTGCCCAAAAAAGGGTTTTCTTCTATTTTGATCCAATATTACATAATGCTTAACATCATAATTACCACCAATCTTTAATTATGCACTGCAGGCAACATGGATATTTGGAAAATATTATAAGCAAAGGTCTTCAGGCCCATGTAACTTGAAAATGACAAAATATAAACAAGAGATTACTGTACTGAAATGATTTTTTCCCATTTTCAACATTCTTTTACATAAAACAAAATAATCAATTTACTGTCATAACTTAATAATAGTTGACAAAAAAATCAATTGAACAATTTTAAATGTCCAATTTGCTCCATTCTGAGATTCTGAACATTGTGAATGATTGAATCTGACAAATTTTTTTTACACAATACACGATAACAGGTTTACCACCATCTTAAAAATCACCCACCAGATCATGCCAATTTTCGAACTGTAGATAAAGACAAATGGTAAAATGGTTTTCCACTTATCGTGTTATCGCTATGGCAACTATAGCCAACAGATGAAGGTGACGGCATTATGTGCAGACACATCAGTCTCTGTACATAGATAGTCTCTTATCTCAGTAGGACACATACTGTCACGGCGTAGGGTTTTTACGTCGTTTTTTCACGCGCCATTACGTTACGTCGCGTTCGTTTTGCGAAACAGCGGAAATATGACCGAAAAATGTCAATATTATCAGCAGAAGTAAATATCTAATACTTCCAATCAGATGTTATATTAATTGGGTATTTAAGCTTCATACCCATGTAATATTTTATTTTGAAATGTTTGATATGACCGACTTTATGTTCGCCAAACTCTCACGTCGCAGTGACATTTTTCCTTGGCAACATCGTAACTTTCCTTATAATTTGCAAACTAGAGAGTGTGCGGGAAATTCCAGAGCCTGTGTAATGTGTTTAAAAGCCATAATTGTGTGGCTAAAATTTTATTCAAATCTATCTTTGTAAACAAATGCCTCAGCTGTTTTCGTAGGAAGATAGTGTAAAATTCAAGATTTGACGTCATGCATCGGCCAAGACGAGCCCAACTGAATGTTTGTTTACATTTTCACCCGTTTGCACTTTGGCGAATACTTGTGTTAAATATGGTCAGTAATTCTATTTTTATGTTGATACATGTTACTGTCTGTATAAGGTTTAGTCCCAATTCCATTTTACGATGTTACGACTGATATTTGTACAAAAAACAATATCTAAGGAGCTGGTCAAAATGTTCTGTGTGGTAAATGTGCAAGCTTAAACTGGCTAATATATGTATTTCTAAATGTTATCTGTGTTTTATGTGACATTGATAAGATAAGTGGATTGTTTTCTTCATTTTAATTGGCAGATAAGTATTTTTAATAAGCATATATTTCTTTAAAATCCTTTATTCAACATATACAACATACTGAAACATGGTGAACAATTTTATCTGGCAAGTTATAATAGTAGAAAAAAATAATAAATTAACAAGATGATAGTAATAAATCCACCTTCAAAACCAAGGCATCATGCTGTTACAATCTACACCATGTGTTGGATTGTCAGTGATATAATTTATAAATGCAATTTTTGATCGTTTTATGTTAAAGAACTTCTCTGTAGGCATTTGGCAATTAAAATATTTGAAGACATTGTATATAACCAGGGCACTAAATTTGCATTTATTATCAAGTACAACTGGCTGTTTAAAAACACATGGACTTTCTTGTTACAGTGAATACTAGTTCTACTATATGAAAGAAAATGAAAAGAAAAATGTCACAAAACATATCTAAGCTTTGTGATCATGTCTCATAATGTTTATAATTATTATTTAAAGATACAGTGTCATTTTCAACATTAATCACAAAATTATAATTTTGCATGTTTTTTTACAAAATCATGAATTCTTAGAGAGGACATGATTAATGTATACTAAACTACAAAATGTCTGTTTCCCCATCTTTTCTTTTTCTTTTTCATTTTCCATTCCTTTGCTGTCTTTCTGTTTGAATATTATAAGCCAACAATTAAGTGGTAAACCATGGGCTATTGGTTTTCTGCAATTATCAACTTTTATTGAAAAATACAGTGACTATCAAGTCTATGCCTTAAGTTGCTTTAGATCTGTCCAAATACTCAGTAAATATATCTTCCATATCTCTATCAATAGAGTATAGAAATAAATACATAAACAAAGGTTGCTTAATTGATATCATCATGATCACTTTCACATTTTGTAGCACCCACTTTTCCTGTTACTTGCATGAAACTCTTCATTTTCACCTGCAATGAAAAAACACCACTACAACATAAATTATTAGAGACCATGGTTAAAGATAAACATTTTCATTTACATAAATTGAGAACATGTATCAAAACTTACTACAGGAGACCACAAAAGATCCACATATAGTTAACGGTACCGGGGGTACGTAAGGGGGCACCGTTACAACAAAGTTTACTATGAATTACTTATTTACATAATAATGCTGGGAACTAACATGATGATGCTCAAAAATTTTCTACTGTAGATTTGCATTGTGGAATGTACTTTGAGATATAGCTGTATAACAATTAGAAGTGTATAATTGAAGATTAAACATGTACCCCGTATACTTATCAAATGAATCTTGGCAGGTGCTCGCGCTGGTAAACTGCTTTCGTATCATTATTCAGACTTGCCAAAAATTAAGTAAATCTGTTGACTAAAGTAATGTAAATGAGTCGGGGTAGGTCACACAGTGCAGAATGAACAACACCCCCTATTAACAAAACTACATGTATGATACATTGTATACTATAACTTACAACTTGGACATATCCGAATGTACTATATACCGTACATGATCTTGAAGTTGGGGGGAAGGCATACACTTTTTTCGTATAAAGTATAACTTCTGAATTCTGTTGAAAATCTATACCTACCTCATTATAATCTTCATATATAGTTTACATGTGTGGGTCACAAATTTCCGCAAGTTTTGGTGCAATTCGAAACTGGCCGCACAATTCACTCCACCTGTCCACCCTCGTGATAAAATTGCGGGATTTCCAATGAAAATAGGTCAGACAAACTCCCGCAAAACGAGAGGCAAAATTGGTTCTTCAGCATTAAATTTAAGTTGTATTTTTATTATTTCATGCAATCATTGCCCTAATAAACTGAAAATCTTATTTGTGATCACACTGGACTTAATAAATGCATAATTTGAAGGCCCAATCCGCATGTCACATGACTTCTGTCACATGATATTTACGAATCAAACCAGTTCAAGGTCAGTAGTCTGCTGCTTAGGAGAAAGGTGTGGATCATAGCACCTTATGTGAAATTTGAGGTTAGTTTGAAACTTTTTAGAGTGAATAAAGGTGTTTATTTGCTTGAAAGACGGCAAAAATGGGTATTTTATTCGATGGTTTTGCGCGGGAGTAAATTTCCGCTTATTTTGACAACTTCCCAGATTTTCGGTCGAGACTGACAAACCGAAGAGTGTGCGGGATTTTCCTTTAAAAATTGAAAACCTTGATACGTTAGCAATCATTTTTCTCAATTTAAGCGAATTTTATATTTGTAAACAAATTTCTCGCATTATAGTCCCTCCCTAGGCATATACGTTTTTGGTTTTGTAAAAAATTCCGTCCTCTGTATTCAGGACGCGGTGGTAAGAATTCTTGACGGTTTATTGTTAAAACAACGCTCTTTTTCGACAGAAGAACAAATGCTTATTCACTTTCTAAAATATAAAAGTTCAAGCCAAGGTAGATTTTTTGCAATACAGATTTACGTGCAACGTACTCATTTTCAATGAGTCGCCATTCTCGAGCTATTTTGTTGCGCGGACGTAGCAAATGGACAATCATGACGTGCCGAAGTACACCGCTTTTCGACAGTATGTGTCCTACTGTCTGTTCCCATACAATTAGACAACATCAGGCCAGGACAAAAATATTAAAGAGTAACTACATATCTAGGGACCCTCAATCATTGTTGTGCATATGACTTAAATTGTACAATTATTAAATATGGTTAAATTTAATCTAAACATGTATACAAAATCACAAGGAATGATTTCTCTTGTGATACACATAAATATTTAAATAACAAACAGATGCAATACATAAATCAATGGGTATAAGAAAAAAAATTAGTTTTTAAAACACACAATATTTTAAATAAAATTTTAGTGTACTCCAATACCTGACATTTGATCTTAAAATTGTAAGTCATGTTGAAATGTATATATGATTGTATTACAATTAATGGTTTTCTACATAATATGTGCAATATACAGAACAAAATCAATGACTAGATATTTTCCATGGGAAAATTTGTTAATTTTACAGATACTGCACTTTTTTAAAATCATAAATGCTTTTAATTAGAACCCTTCTTTTGAGCAGCTACATTCTATTTTTATTTTATAAAGAAAAGCCCCACAGATGCTTCACAGAAATATATATTTTAATAAACTCATTTATTGGTCACCAGTGATAAATAATGGACACTGAAACACTCTTCTCAGCACACATAAAAGCAACTGTGTTTTGACACATCTGTAAACATTAATTCATTCATTGTCTTACATTTCAAAGCTAGGGATTCCCAGACAGTCCTATGTGGACATTAATATCACCCTTCCCGACATTTAAATAGTCTCAATCACAGATGTCAATAATGTCAAAACTTCAAGAATTTTTTAAACACATAAATAATAAAATAGAACTATCTACAAATACAATTTGGAAATGAAAATCTTCAAAAATCTTCAAAATGTTGGCCTCTATTGCTAGACAAAAAAAAAGAAAAAAAAAAAAACATCAGACAAACAAACACACCCACAAACCAGCAGAGCAATAGACTAGAATATTTTTTAAAACTAATTCTACAAGACAAATAGAAAAAATTAGCACCTGGGTTAGTACTGCGTCAATAATGCTTTTGAAATTGTTCACAGTTTTGCTTCTTACAATTGCTCTTAAGCTTAAGTTTACTGAATGTCACTGGTAAAAAAGTTTTCTGGCAGGATAATTGTAAGGCACCTTGTGGTAGTCTACAAAGAAGTAACATAACATTGCAGTTATCTTGGTGGAATTTTAACAAATATCCATTTAATTCACAATATAAAAATATCTTTAGATAATTCTCAGTTTGTTCCCATAGGCTCATGGGGCTGTCAAAAACAGCTTTTCATACACACATTGTATTTTCACCCATTTCCTTGGTCACACTCCAACTTTGCTGCCTCTTTCTTCAACCTGTCTGCCAACCAGTCAAGTTTGACAGTGTCATCTCTCAATGAATCAACAAGTTCTGCAAATGCATTGTCTCCTCTAGTTGGAATGATATCCAGGAACATATGGACTTTGTCCTCTCGAGTGAGGCACTCCATTATCCTCTCTCTCTCTGAATCTGTCAAAATTCCCCTTGCATTCAATATATCAGTGATGGCTTTGGGGGACATATCTTTGATAATACTAACTCTATTACGTCTAATAGCTTGTCGGTGAATATCAGTCATTCCTCCAACCCCATCCTTCCCTTCTAATACATCCGCTAGCCACGGTTGCTCTGATGTATCTCTAAGAGATTCAGCCAAAGTATCAACGGCAGACAGGCTCACTTGATGTAGACACCGCAAAAGACATGCATTCCTCTTTTTCCTTTGGACCATCCCACGGATTCGCTCAACCTGATCATCAGTAAGAATTTCTTTTTGCAACAGGAAATCCAAATGTTCCAATGCATCCATGTCACTCAAGAGAACACTTGGAAAACCTAATGAAAATTTCAATGACAATTAAGCTAAAACGAGTAATGGACTGGGTTCCCATACCTAGATCTATCTTACAGGATCGATCCATCCCTGAGGGGTTTCTTGCTAAATCGCTTTCAGCTTAAGTGGCTTAGATGTCTGGCACACCTACTGAAGCTGCTAAACAACAATTAATTACCCCCTAGCAGCTTCAGTAGGCCTGACAGACATCTAAGCTGCTTAAATGGACTGCAATTTAGCGAGAATCCCCTCAGAGATGGGTCGATACACAGTTAGTATGATAGGGTCTGGGAATGGTCCAAGAATGAGAAAAGGAACAGATAAATGAAGGGGTAAATAATCAGACAAATATATGCTTGCATGAATACTAATAAACAGTTCAAATAGCATAAACATATATACATGTACTTATCTGGTATAAAAGTGTCCTACACACATGTATACAAATACTTAAGGCTCATTCCCATAGACACCACTGGTCTATGTAGAGTGATCCAACTCTGCGGAGACTCACTGAATGCAATCAGCTTTACAGCCCTTATAATGAAGGAGTAAATAACATACAAACATTTGGTATTTAAAAATTCTAAATCCAATAGTACTTGGCTAAATTACACCCAGCATGCTTATCATAATGCCTCCATAGCGTGTGAGAGTATAATTACCTGATACTGTTTTATCCAAAAAATTCTCCACAGCTGCAAGTTGACCTCCAGATCCATTCCCTTAAAAGAAAAAGCGTGGGTTGCAAAGATTATGCATAACATATAGCAATTAAAAAGAACTGTGACAATATTACTCACATTCTTCAAGAAAAATTACATAACCTGCCAAAAAATTCATCATATGCATGGGTGACAGTTGTAAAAACTGATAATCCTAAAAACAAAGCTTGCAATTTCTCACTGCATTTAGACCATAAAAAAAATCGATCAAAATGAAGACTGAAAATCCTGAAAACTCTTGCCTATGCAAATGTAGTCAAAAGCTGTGTTTGAAATAATTTGAATTAAAAAATAGGTGAGAACCATGATAGTACTTCACCTTCAAGAGGTGGCTGCAACAGCAATGTTGGAAAGCTACTCTTGGCTCTGCGACAATGACGAGAAATACCATCTGTTTGTTCCTGTATGATGTCCACCTTCACTTCATCTGGGTTCTCATGATTGCCCTCCATGATACAGTGAGGGCACATAACATACTGTGTAAATATGCAACCTGGATACTGAACACTTAGTACACTTGCTATTTTTTGATGAAGCTTTGGAAGCTCTTTCCAAAGCTTTTCAACTCTCTGAGTACGTAAAGACAGCTGAATAACCCGTCTGCTCTTGTTTTCATCACGATACCGAGTAAACAAAAGTTTTAGGTCTGGAACAGCTGCATAGAGACCATCCTGCCAATGCTCCATAGTTGGGTGCTGATCGATAGCTATCAGTTCACGATGGAGTTCCACAGTAGCAACTTCAAAGAAGGTTGATGGTGTCCTCTCTCTAACATTGTTTGGTTGACTGTTTTCCATGTCATGAAATCGGAACTGTATTTCATAATGAATCTCACCAGGCAAAGGGGCATCTGGCCATCTGGCCCTGTCATGTAGATTGCTTGGTTTCTCTGTCTGTAAGAGCCAGGGGAAATAGTATTGTACATTCATACCTTCTGTTTCATTTCTTGCTATTTTCCTGTTCTTGAACTTAAAACAAAAATCAAATTTATTCAAGAGAGCTGTAACAACTGTAAACAACCCAGGGTTGTTTTCACAGCCAGTGATAAGTGAATGAAGCAAAGTTTCAGTCATCACTCCTGTGTCTATGAACTTCTGCAAGTGCTCTTGATGAAGATCAGGTCTCCCATGGTAAACCTGTGGGACTGCCTGGATGGCTGCTTTGGGATTATAATGAAACACTGGGCTAGCAATTTCAACAATTTTCTCAGGCTGATGAAATATGTAACCTTTCATCTCTGGGTCTTCACAATACCAATTCAGGTATCCAATCTGGTTAAGGACTCTAAGAACTGCTTCTACTTCTGCTGACCATGCAGTTTTGGGTTTCATCCAAAGAAAAAGTGATTGAAAGAAGTTGTATCCGTGGTGCTTGTTATAAATGGAGAGCACCTGTTCCATAGGAAGATAAAGATCTTCTTTTTGGTTTCTGGCTTCCTTCAGTGCCATCCCAAACTTGTGGTATCGAAGCGGTATCTGTATGCCTGATCCATGACACTGGTCTACAACAAACTTCTTTATCACGGTGATGTTATTAAGGGTTTTTGAGCTGACAGCCACAGCTCTAACAGTGTTGCTAGGGAGAGTGGTTAGTAGGGACGTCAACCCAGACAGCTGTTCTTCACTAACATTGCCTTTGACTTTTTTCATCTCTTCAATGTGGTCTGCTTCTAATTTTATGTCTTGCACAATCATTTTTTCAACATCCTGAGTTATCTGTTGAATCTTGTCGGGATCGAGACCCTCTCCATCAGAGTGGGTACCAACAACCAGAACTTTGGCATTTGGAGCAATAGACCTCACATGTCGAAACCAACGTCCAACAAGAGCTTCATAATTCTTTTTCTTTGGATCCAATGAGTAATCTTGCAAGTTGAAGACCAATAAGACTATGACTTTGTCAGTAATAAATAATCTTGACGTAATCTCATATACCCTGTGCCCGCCAAAGTCATTTATTTGGATCTTTATGTCAGGTCCAGGTTCCCAAATGAATTGTTCAACAACTTCAGTTCTGTCTTCCTCATTTGCAAGTTTGGCTTTCTTGAATCTTAGAGCATTAGACAGACTGGTCTTTCCTGCTCTTGAGTCGCCCATCAGCAGAAGTCTCTGTCGCAGACATCCCTCTTCTTGGAGTTCCTTTACATAGGCAAAGAAAGCTTCCATTGTTCCATCTTCAGCTTTGCACTCAAGGTATGGAACACCATCAAGGAGATTCTTCTGCAGATTTAGATATCTTAAAGAACCTTTCAAGTATAATATTTCAAAAGGCAATGGTGGGTCCCCATTTTTAATCTGGTTTTGGCCTAGATCCACATGTTTTAGTGACTTCATTTTGGTAAGAACTACTGGAAAACTGTTCAACTTATTATTGGGCATATGGAGTTGGAGAAGGTGCTCTAACTTGTATAACCCATCAGGAAGGGATGCGATTTTATTTCCACCCAAATCAAGGTAACTTAAAGTTTTTATCTGCAAAATTGCATCTGGAAAGGCCATGAATTTATTGTGGCCAAGATTTAGTGTTTCCAGATTCCTGAGTTTACATAACACTTTGGGAAATGTTTGTAGTTCATTTTCAGACAAATGTAGATGTCTAACTCTCTGAAGATTGGACAGGGCACTGTCAAGTTCAGTTAAACGGTTCTCTGTTAAATTGAGATCTTGTATCTCTTTAATATTGTAAAGTGACTTTGGAAGTTTCTGAAGAAGACATCCAGAAAGAGATAATGTGTTTAGACCATTGGATTTGGTCAATCTTCTTTTCCTTAATTCAACCTCAGATATATTAGCTGGAATATCTTCAAGAGCTTTGACGAAAGAAGCCATTGCTGTTGATAACCCTGTATTTCAACTTCTGAAAAATAAAGGATCATCTTTAAAAATTAAACATGTATTTTGAATCTTTAAAAGTCTGTTATTAACAACAAAGGTCATACAGATGGGTTTTAATAATCCTTGATTCATATACTATCATCAAACACACATCTCTTACAGAATCAATGAGTAACAATGGGGTACCAGGAGAAGCTACAGTGGTTGTGATTTTTGATGATGTCAGGGAGGTCAATATTATGTTTTTGATGATGTCAGAGCGGTAAATACTTAGTTTTATCACATATAGCAAATCCTGGGATATAACATCGTATTCTATGCCAATTATTAGTTTATAAGGTCTCTCTATATTGTTTCAAACCAGTTAAATTTAAGCGAGTGTTATTTCTGATTATAGATTTTGCTAAAAAGAAGTATAAATTAATAAATACTTAACGCCGCTTACCACACTCAATGTGCCAAATTTTCATAAATCTTGAGTAAAAAGTATAGAGAGCTCTTTCGGAACAATTTAATTATACCTTCTAACTAATAGGAAAGCCTGTATTGCCTAAGATACTTGGCAAATGTAGCCTTGACGTTTTTGATGGGACTGACTTGGTTTCTTAGCAGTACTCACTTGCGCTCTCCTAGCCTTCCAATGGTCAAGATCACAAGAGAGTAGATCACAAAGTCCAATTTGCTCGAGTGTTCCTAGCTATTGGCTGGCCAACTCACTACAATGATAGACAAAAAGTTCCAGTCTTAGACTAAAATCTTCAAATTATGGCATGCTGTGCAACAAATATGAAGTACGCAAGGTCAAACTCTGCGCGTGTTCGGCGGTAGATTTATCACCAAAAAGTCATCTGTACTTACGTTTGTATATGTTTCCATGTTAGATTATATTTCTATTGTTCGAAAGCAACAGCATTCCTAGAAATATTGGCGTCCTAACAAATAAAATCCGTGTTTTGTTATCTGTCGTCGGGAATGAGAACCGTAAGGGAATGTTAACACGGATCTTCCTTGTATTAAATTAGAAATGATGTGATTCCACAGAAATCTGAAATCATACGCTATTTTTCCACGAACAAAAAATAAATGTAACGGTTATACTGATACAGATATATTTATAGAAAATGCAACATACGACACAACAAAAAAATGCTTTCTTACTTCGATAAAACGTCGCTCGCATAAAGTAGGTCAGAGAGGGCTACCCTTGATAGACAATCAGGTCAACACATATGCATTCCTGTTTAACACTGTTCACTGTTAAGGGTAAGCATCATTTGTGTATTTGTTTTGATTTACTTAAATAATTGTAAAACAGCATGTAAAGTAAAATGTATTTAAACATGGGGCAAGGCAGGAGTATATAGTTTGGATGGCATGGACGGACTACTATATAGTATTATTAGTAGTAACACTGCATGTTGAGACCGATCAATTTGATACGCTGTAAAGCTGACCTGTTTGCACAATGACAAAAGCTATAGCTTACTTTCGCTTTTGGACAGACTTTACCGTAATTCAAAATTTATATAAAACCACAATAAATCTTATTATTTATAGATTATAACAGAGATAGAGCCATCTGCATGTGTACATATAGGTCCACATGGTCTGATGGCATTGCAAGCACAGATTCCAGAATAATTGTGATAACTGCTTTTTTGTTGGTAAAAATATTTATATGAGTTGTTTACAATGTATATTTATTGTAAAAATGAATCTCATACAGAGAATTGTTATCCCTTTAGGGTTAATTTTTGTGTATTTGCACTAGTGGAAGTTTTGAAATGCTTGAAGTTGTGTAACTATTACCAGTACATACTACAGGTACTTGTGAACTGGATTTATTGTACTGCTGTCATTCCTTAATTAACATTAAATTAAATATATGAAAATGAAAACTTGGCTTACAACAATTAATTCAATTTCATAGTATTTTTTTTTTCACCAATATGAATTAATTCAGCTTGAGCATAGTGGAAAGGTCATGGCCTGTGGAGCAGCATTACCATTAAACTACTCTTGCAATTTTGAAGATCCAGGGCAATGTGTAAGTATAGAACAAATGGTCAGATGATTACATGTAACAACTGCTTCTAAACTGTGTACATATTACAACAACTAGCTAGCTTGCAGACCTATAGATTTTAAAAAAAGGATATACTAGATTGAAGTACCACTGGTACGTACATGTACAATGTACAATATATAGATTCCTCCCTACTATATTAATTCCTCCCTACAATAGAACAAATTATAATTTTACTTTTGTGTTTATTCACTGGCTTATAAATGATGTAGTAGCTTGGTACTTCTAAGATTTACCTGTCCAATAACTTGAGCAGTATATGAAGATCTGTCAATCTAATATCACTGGGACTTCTTCCCTATTATTTAGAGCTTGTGCCAAGATTATGACTTTTTAAGTAAATGTATATACAGCACTGAATGAAAGCAGATGATATATGAAGACTGGCCTTACAGTGTATTGCAGTTATTTGAATTGGTGATTTCTAGGACTTCTTTTGATTTTTTCATTTGTTCTTACCTTTACAACAAACCTATATGGATATGCTTTCATATTTGTGCAATTTATTACACCTAGTATTTTTCAGGATACTATTATATTATCCAGAAGAATTATCTCTACAATTGCAGCAGTTGGTTGGTAAGTCATCAATAAGCAAATTGAAAATAATCAAAAATGTTCATTAGCTGGCATTGGTAGTTAAGGATCATAAATGAAAATTATCAAACACAAGCCAAAATACTTTCATGCCGTTAGCTTACGGCCTGGATGTAGGCCTCCATCAGACTGATGTGAGCAGATGTTGATACTCAAAGTGTTTACTAAGAGACTGCAGGGTTAGTGAACACAGAAAATCAGTGACTGTAGGCAATACCAGCTCTGCCATTTTTGAACATGTAATAGCCACAGTATCGACTGAAATTCAGCAAAGATCTTTAAATCCGAGTCATCTGACATCCAGTGTAAGATACGCGAGGCTATCAACATCAGCCATCACCAACCACCCATGAATAGGTATCAACATCTGCTCACATCAGTCTAATGAAGGCCTATGGCGTTCGCCCAGTATTTCAGCTTGTGTTTGATAAAATTAAAAATAGTTTGTATTGTTTTCACTTTGCATAGGAGTTATACCTCCAAATTAGTTTCTTTTGATTAAACTATTTATTTTTTAACTTTGTTTTTTGCGTATCCATACTTCTTTTTTTATTGATGTAATGCACCATTTGTCAGTTTCTTTCATGTAATATTGTTTCTGTTGTGTGCAGTATCCTTCTTTTGATATTCATTATATGGCGGCCTCGCTTTGGAGAAGACTGGAGAAATTTGGCCTACATGGATGTAAGTAAACAGTAATTTTCTAAGCTTTCAAAATATAGGTAATATAAAGTGATAGTGTGAAAAAAGTGCCAATTTTGATTTAACATTTGATTGAATTGTTTATTTGCTAGAACTGCACATTCTGATGTTAATTCTGTTAATGATGATGAGCCTGGGAAAGACTCGGAGGTACCAGTAGCATGTTAGCCAGGAAAAGCACAGAAATAAAACATTGTGCCTAAATATGAGAGCCAGGTCACAGGATGATGTTTGGCATTTTTTAACCTCTAAATTCTACAAAATATCGATTAAGCTAATGACTAGGCCGACCAAGGCTGTTTTCTTATGATGTGTGATTATATTTACTATTACTGAAGATCCAAATAATAACCAAGAAGTATTTTGATAAAGCTCATTCATTGATTTTCCTAACAAAAATTCAAAATTTTTATGAGGCTTTAAACTGTCTCCTGCAGATGAGTGCCATTGCCTGGCTTTTGAGAAATAAGATCTGTTGCGGAAGTGAAAAATAAATATGTTGGTCACATATAACACTATAAATACAATGAATCAGTGATGAATAGATACAAAGTGCATTGCTACACTCTTAATCATAGTTTGAATATTAATACAAATACAAATAAGATAACGTAGCAAATATCTGTCAGAAACACATTTGTCAAGTGAGAGCAAAAAAAAAAAAAAGCTTTACTATAAATAACTTATGAACAACATTGAAATATATAGGAGTGTGCATTTATTAAAAAGCTTGCATGTAGACAACAAACTGAATTTCAACTGCAAGTGGTTTACCCCACTAACAACTCTTAGAATATTGTGAATTGTAAAGTTATCCCAGTCCAGTATATAATAAGTAGATATGAAGCAAATGATATCATTGCAAACAGTTGTTCTTTAAGGAAATTATTAATTAAGACTTATTCTTCCAGGTGATGCTCATTTACTTGGACGTTGCTATACTTTTTCACAGCATTGGATGGTGGATGGTAAAAACTTAATATCTTTTATCTCTGTTTGTTCAGTGCAGTGATGGAACATAAGTAGGCCTACTGATTATGTTCACAATAAAATTTTTAAGTGTTTAAGCAGGGATTATATCAGTTTATCTACATGCCAAGATTGATAAACTTGTAGTTTTTATATAAAACAGAATTTGTTTTTGAATATTTCAGCAATTTTAAGACACCAACAACACTAGTAAGGAAAATTATAATTAATTAATGAGTTAACTAATTAAATGATAATCATTAATGATGAGAATTGAGCTGATTTGCTGGGGGTCTGTGCTCGATGAGTGCTTTGCTAATTTCTGTTGATGCACCAGCATTGGTATCTCTAATTGATATAAGAGAAGGCCTTTTTCAGGAAGAAGGGGTTGATGTACTTAAAGAAAAACCTGGATCTCCATCACCCATTTGTCTTGCAACTGGTCATGTGCTTCAGTTTAGTAGTAAGTCTTTTCATGTGCTTGCTTAACTATTTATCATAACTGTACCCAGTAAGATAATAGAGAGTTTCCGTTGCCGGTGAGATATGCCAGCTAGATTAATATGTCATCGGTTTGTGCACACTTGTGACGTTTACCACGTTCATATACCGTTGTCCTATCTAGTCTGCAGAAAACAAGCGCTCCTATCTAGCCAGCGCGGAAGATTATTGAAAATAGTTATTAAAGGTTATGGTTGCTAATTTATATGTCTTATATACTCTTTTATAATAGTTCAAGTGTACGTTCATGCCAATTTCGACTTTTTAAGAGAGAGGAGTCGCTAGTTTTGGTTTATCAGGCACGTAGTCGGGGGTTGATCATGGGGTTTTTACTAACCGCCATTTTTGTCGGGAAAAGTTGCACTTTTGGGTAATATTTGTCTCCTTTTTCATAAAAAAGAATTTCCCCCTTGGAAATAGATGGCTACGGGGCCGTATATTGTTATTATATTGGAATGAGCGCCACCTATGGCGGGAAGCGCCAGCATTCCGGGACTTTACCGGAACGTGAAGAGAGTAGCGCGTTACTGGATACATTTGCACATACGTAACAATCTATCTGTCGTATACCAACTGCACCAGAAACTCTCTATTAATATTATTATTATTATACATTACAATTTTGGTTGAAGAATATTGATAATGCACAGAATTTATTTTATTTTTTATTATATGAATTTTTTGTTTCCATGGGATTTTTTTCTGTGTTTCAGATTGGTTTTCCATTTTAGCAGCATTCAATATAACCCTGTGTTGTTCAGTGCGAATAGGATGCAAGATAGTATTGGATAAGTGGTGGTAAGTGATAAAAGAGATGAAACATGTGGTGTAATCTTTAAAACGATACTTTTAGAAAATACTAATGAAAATACATGTTCATGTTAATGAAATAATTATAAGATTAAATTAAAAGGCAAATTAAGCTTTTCTTGTTCACAATGATTGTTTGGGTGTTTACATGTATCAGGAGACTCAAATTCCTTCGATATTTATTATTTGTAATATGTAATCGGTGTGATAAATAGGAAAAATTATAACATGCAGAATATCACATTGTGAAGCTTTTTCAAATAATAAAGGTCATGGCAAGAAAAGAAAAAACCCAAAGTAGTGTTGCCAGAGAGTGGCAGCTTGGTACAAGGTTCACATCCTCCTAAATGCATTGAAAAAATTTTTTTTTCTTTTTTTTTTTTTTTCTCAGGATCACCATCATTGTTTGCTTGCTTGTTTCTCTGTTCTTTACATTCATCCCTTGGGCAGGGAATGCATATGGCCCAGATGGCCTTGAATATGGAATGTGGTGGTAAGTCTACACATCATGTTATGATAAACATAACTATACTTTACTGAATATACTGTTCTTACAATTTTGTACTTCAGAACTTTCTGGACATGAAAACGTAATCATGAATTCACAAGATATATTGTGCAGATGCTAGCCATCAAAACAAAATTGTCCATTGCATTCTCTAGATTATAGTTTGTACTTTTTTTTATCATTTCCTATGATTTTATTGCCATTAAAGCATTAATTTGCATTTCCAGCTGGATTCGCAATGATAAACTTTGGTGGCAATTTGGAACGTAAGTATTGATATTAGTTTTGTTTGAACATGTATTTGCTGTGTGCAGTAGAATATGTATTTTGTGATAACGAATGTAGAGGAACAAGTGCATATGGCATTCAGTCTGATGATATACTTGAGACAGGAACCAAGTGTAGCTGTTTTATGTAAAATTTTGTGCCAAAGGAAATGATCATTATCACTAGAATCATTAGCAAATACAATTCCATGGAACCATAAACAAATATTAATTTTATTTAATAAAAACTAATTTATGAATATTTTTATTCTTATATTTCAGGTGGTATATTTGGTTACTCATAGGGATATTGCTGATGTTTTTTATGCCCATCATTGCATATTCCTGCAGACGAAAATGTGTAAGTTGATATACAATCGGCAATCCTCGGCTTATTCCGCAAGCTCCATACTAACCTCGGATGTGATAGGCGGAGAAATATGCACCAAATCCATGCATTTTGTCCGCCGGAAATGCCTTCTCACTCAATCGATCATTACGCTCATAAAGATGGCTGTCAATACCCCTGATTTTTATGATGCTTTACAGTTTGCCAAACAATGCACTAAGATTGACTTTGATTTAAAAGATAAATAGATACAGGCGTTGAAAGAATTAGGTTTAAATTAGCGCGAGGTTGAAAGTAGTTCCTTCCCAACAATCAACAATCAAATATGGCTGCCTCCGTATTACGTCCGAGGTTATTGTCGAGTGCGGAGACATCCGAGTAGTTCCGAGTGAGTTGATATATGCACTACTAGTAAAACTGTATTGATTTTTAAAAGTTTTCGGCTCTTTTTGGAGTAGATGCCCGATTACCATCTCCTTCCTCACCCCTTTAATCCCAGCTGTCACCCTTTAGTGGGGCATGTTACAAAAAAGTAAACTAAATCATGTTTTATTGTATATTTAGCCATTTTTTGTAAGAATGCATTAAAATGAAGTCAAATTAAAAAGTTATTTACATACTAGTGTGTTTTGCCTTGACACTTTAATTCCCAGCAGCTTAGTGTTACCAGTACAACTTAAACATTTGTTAATTGACATGTTTATTATTTTAATTTACTATTTATTCATTACTACTTATTCACTTATTCATTCATACTACCGTTGCAACCACCACAATTAAACTTATCAGCTTTTAAAAATTTTGTGCCACATTTGTGGGTCTGTGATTATATAAACTTATTTGATTCAGTATTTTGGAAGTTTCCACATTATGCGATGTTAGTTCATTGTGATGGAATTTCACAGAATTCTTAAACATAAAAGTTAATCTTATGATTTTAGGATGACCATGCAAAAGCAGCCTTGTGCATGGTGCTTTATCCAGTACTTTATCTCATTTGTTGGATTGCACCTACAGTAAACAGGTAACTCCTTATCTAAAACTTGATAATTTGGTATTGTTATGATGAAATAGGAATTAATGTATGAATAACCTATCAAGATGTTTTTTGAAAAGTAGACAAAAACTACAGTTGACTTCAGTTTAACAAATCAGAATTTATGATTAATCCAACATTTGTGCGATTTCTTTAGATAATATTTCAAACCTTATTTAGTATTGAGGTGAATACTTCATTTATTTATTAAGGTGTTTGCTAAGGTTATGAATATTGGTCAGTTAAGTGCGAGTTATTAAAGATTACAGCAGGATGGCATTTGCAGTAAAAAGCATAGACTTTCGTAACTATCAGCTTTATTCTCAGTGCACAGATTTGAAGCATATTATTCATAAATCTACATGTTCCATTAGTCTCCAGAGTTACCTTTTCTAGATATCAAGAACTTGTACACAGCTGTGAGCCAAGAATCTACTCCCATGTTTTAGGACACACAGTTTCAGTCAGTCTTTATGGTATGTTATTTTCATTCATGTTTAATATATTGTTGGCTGGGAGTGATGGGAGTGATGAAATCTGTACTTGAAAGACTGGGAGATTAGAAACATTTTTAATGAATAACATTTAACCTTGGAGACGGATTATAGTCTTTCAGAAGTCTAGGCACTGTAGTTAGGGGAAAAAACCAAGGATTGCCAATTTATTAGTCATAAAATTACATGCATATTTTTGTTGGAATGATGCTTTTAACAATAGAAAAGCACCTGATGCAAAGGTAATCGAGAGCCAAAAGTTGCAATTTCCATATACTTCATAAGATAATAGCTGAATATTTTATTTATTGTAGGACTTCTGATAGCAATAGCATACATAGTTACATCAAAATGTATCTGTGATGGAGGAGATGGAGGCGGGGCCACAGAAATGCACGCTCGTTATTAGAAGGTGAAGATTGCATTAGGAAAATATTAAGATGACAAGTCCTCTTTATGTGCATGGGTATAAATGCAATTTCAATATGATCATGTTCATACCAATACATGGATGTGCATGACTATTTACAATAGCAGCTGAGTGACAAAATACCTGAACAACTGAATGGAAGTTTTTTCAAGTTTAAAATACAATACTACAAGTGATGTAAATATAGATTATTATTTGTGATGTTGATGTGCTACAGGTTATTCTTTATCAACATCTTGGGGAAGAAAATAGGATATTCAGTTTTGGGATTTCTCTAGCCCGAAACCAGATATGAAAATGATCTAAATGGCAATATAAAGCCGACTGAAAGCACTACAAAATACTTTAATGAAATTCTCTAAAATGACTTTTTTTTTATAAAATTAGCTTTCATTTGAAAATTTTACCACATAAGAATTGGCTGTAAAAGTTATAATTTTCAATTTCGACAATCCCTGAAAGCCATCTTTGGCCCATGAGAAGATGTACTTGAAACCAAATAACAGATCTTATCAATCTTGCAAGGTTTAACGAACAAACAAAACAAAAAGAACATTGACGGGCAGTTTAACTAAGCTTAATATAAAATTACTTAGCTTACAGCTTTGCCTACTATCAGTCCCAATGATCAAAGCATGCGGTACACATTTTTCACTGGCATTTTCTTATTGGTGTCAGAAATGTGCAGTATTTTATCAACATTTACTATTGACTAAAAGGTGGAGTTACTAGCATATTATAAAATATTAGTTTTATAGTTTAAAAATGTTAGTTTTATATCTAATGCATCACTGATTTGTGAGATATGCTTCATAAATGTTTATTTTTGCTGACATTTCTGACTTCTAACCCAGGTATTTGCAAGGACCAAATGCATATGGTACAACTCTCATTCATCTATCTACTGTATTCATATATCTACTGTAAATTGTATGAGAACATGCAGTTTGAGCAGTACTTGATGTGAACAGATATTTTTTTACTCATTCTTAAATTTATTTTATATAACATATTTCAAATAACATAGAAGCTGATATATTTTATAATTGCAGTGTGATTTTAGTTTCTGATTTACAAGTGTCATTTGACCAATGTAGAGGTTTAATGGAAATGTATGAAAATGACTGACTCAGAGGTGATATAATTAGTTTTGTTGTATATAAGCCTGAACCAGCTGAATTTAGATTTTGGAATATAAGCAATTAGGTTATAGTTCAATATTTCTGGACAGGGTGTGACCAAGCCTTACCAGGTTCAAAAAGTCATGGCATACTTCCAACATTTACACCAGTAATGTAGAGTACCTGACCTGACTACCATACTGTGTTACTTAACAGTATCATTGTACTTTTAAAATAATTTAAATTTTTAAGAATTTTAGTGATAATAACATTTAGGAACTTTGTATACACATTTATATTTGTAAAACTATTTTGAATTAAGAACTGAGGGCCAAATAAATGTTTTTAATATACATCTTTATTATTTTATCATTTACAACTTGTACACAGGTAAATATTCCATGAATTTACTTCATAATTTGAAATGATAAAAAAAAAAATGGATGAGTATAATTGTTATGTAATTTTTTGTGAAGGGTCAAAACACGGTAACGGTGCCATGGGAGTCAAAATTTTTTTTGTTTCATTGAAATTTAAAATTTTTACATTTTTGTAGAAAACAAATCAAATTTTCAGACAATGTAAGTTTCATTGATATACTCCCAGTACTTTTTCTGTGAGCCACTGGGAAACATAAAGGAAAAAAAAAATTGTCTCCGACGGGACACGTGGTCATATTGGCCTGAGTCAGATATCAGGTTGTTTTTTCTAGTTTTTATCATCCAAATATGTTAAACTAATCAGAAGTAATAGTTTAACATAGAAAACTGCCACCTATCACTTATTTTGAGTAAAAAATTATTTAGCACTAGGAGTGGTGTGTCCCGTCAGAGACATTTGACTTCGAAAAGTTTTCATATTTTCCACATCTGGTAGGTTGTATAAATGAAACTTAAAATCCTCTTTTAAATAGTGATAAGTAATGACTATAGCTAAAAATTACAAAATTAAAACAATTTACAGTGAATTTATTGCCACATTTTATCATTGTCTCTGACGGGACATTTTCTGTCTCTGACGGGACATTTTCTGACAGATGTGAAACACAAGGTTTTACATCTTCAATTGAATCATTTTCAAGTGTTCTGGTGTGTTACATTTCTTATTTTTCTTTTGCAACTGATCATTACTGGGTAATTACTGATTATTAGCTAGGTTGACTGTCAGTCATTAGGTGTTGACATGTGCCGTCAGAGATCATGTCAGAGCACTAGAACTGTGAGCAGGTCATTCTGTTCACTGCATGTGCATGATTTAGAACAGAGTCTGAAGGAGACCTCCAGCTCCAACCATATGTTGTGGTATCTGATGGTCTGCACCATAACAAACAGTCTGTCTTCACTTGTAATAAGGCCATTCTCGAAGACCTCCAACACCAGCAATCATTCAGCAAAGTCCATTACTGGTCAGACAGAGCCTGAGCACCTAGTCAATTCAAAAGTTGGTTTTTACTGTCTAAACATGGTACTATCATGAAAGAGATTTTGGTATGGAAGCGCAGTGGTACTTTTTATACCACTACCCATGGCAAAGGACCAGTGGATGGGATTGTAGGAGAAATGAAACATCAGGTTTGGAGAGCAGCGCTCCAGAGAAAAATGGTTGTAGATACGCCTTATCAATTCTATTTGGCTGGCAAAGAATTATGCCCCAATGTCAACGTAATGTACCTGTCTGAAGCAGATATTGTAGCAGCTACTGCGCCCCTCAGCAGTCGCTGGGAAAACTGTCCATCTGTTTCAGGAATTCAACACTTCCAACAGCTTCAGCCCCAGCCCGTGAACATGTTCTTGTGTCAACCAATTCTCATTACCAGCAACCCTCTTAATATGCTAAACTTATTCATATGACTGTGGACTTTGATTTTCCTGCACATCTGCACTATGACAATGTCACACTTTCAAATGATATACTTGTTACAAATCTTGCCTAGTGTTTTCAACTAAAGACAAGTGTTCAAGCAGCTAGAATCTGAAAGTCTTGTTTTTCTTTATCCAAGTTACAGTGCATGAACAGTAATCCTATCTGCATGAAGCCCATGCATAAAACTTTGAGCTGGTCCTCCCATGATGTGTAACGATAGTTCACCTTCCCTGCTTACATTGTGACCATAAACACCAAGCAGAACTGCTGTACTCTGAGCTCTAGGATTAGAGTTCCTTAAACCTACACATATAAGTCAAAGTCAATCCGCTTAGATGTGTAAAAGAGTCCACTTTCTCCTGCTTTCCGACAAAGGACACCATCTTTAAAATAATCCTCCTCTTGCCATTTTAACATCTGAGAACTGGAAAAGGGTCCATGAATCTCTGCATCATCTTTGTCTTCCCACTTGAACACCCACATTACTTCATCTGCCCCTGACAATGAGGGATCTTTGTTTGTTTCTGGAAATCAAATTTGTTTTAATCATTATCACAAAAGACTTTTTTAAATTAAATTAATTATAATTCAACTGAGATCTTTCATATTTTTATCAATGCTCTAAATAGAACTTTTAATGAAGTTACTTAATAATAAACGATATCAAATGAAAGGCTAAATACAATTTTATCAATACCATCATCAGAGATGAGACAAATTTTTGATGATATATAAGTGAGATAAAAAGACAAAGTTCTCTAAAATTTGAACAAGTTATTTTTTATTTTAAAAATAGATTATTTTAAAGATATTGATGATTAAATTTACCTGCTTTCGTAGGTTCCTCTTTGCTTTCCTTAGTATCCCTTTCTTTAACAACGCCCTCCTTTTCATCAAAATGTTCACCAAACATGTCCAAAGCATCATCATCCTCTGTGCCTTCTGGAATTTGCAACTTTTGCTGTTCTTTTACTTTTAATGAATAACTGATGCCTTCATATGTTTCTTGGTAGATATCCATATTCCCATCACTAACCATTTTATCAGCAAGTTCTGTCAATTTCAACATGGCTTCTTTATTTGCTTTTTCCTCTTCTGTCTCTTCAACCTTCATTTTCTTAGCTTTCCATCGCTGACTGGCAGACATGGATTTCTTGCTTCCAGCTAATCGTTTGAGCGCTTTCTGAACTGTTTCTCCAGGCTTCATAATTTCAAGCATTTTAGAGTAAATTTCAGTGTGGTCAAGTGGTGGTGGATCTTCCTCGTCATCTTCCTCCTCAGTGTCTTTCTTATCCATTGGTTTTACTTGGACCCAGTCAATGTTATCAATCCAGCTATCATAAACCCTGTCCTGGAATTGAATAATTCTTATAAATCTGTATGGGAATCCAATAAATATTCAGACTTCCTTTTTGTAACGCACTAAGAAATATTATGTCAGAAATATTTTGACTAATTATCAGTGTTATCCTATATGCAAAAGATTAACAATACATTTCTGATTCACAACAAATTGCACTGGGGTTTTTACAAGGTTCAGATGGTACACTAATTTTTATCCCATAATAAATCAGTGACAGTTAAAAATGTGTGTGTGTGTGTGTGTGTGTGTGTGTGTGTGTGTACTAGCTGAGAGGATGGGTTGCATGATTATTTTACATCAAAAGAGCATCAATATTTTTTTTAATCCTGTTATGGTACATGGCTCTTTAGTTCATTATTGAAAAACATGCAAAATAAGAGAAATAACAATGTGCGACAAATTTCCGTTTCCATTTGGATTAACTTACTCTTTTATCGAATATGAATGTGCCCTCTTTATCAAAGTGGCCCTCTTCCATTTCATCCTCCATGTTGAAAGGTGTGATCTTTATCCCCTCATCAAAATCAATCGTCCTTTCTTCTTGGCCTAAAACAAAATTAAAACATAAAAATAATGAACACATTCAATGCCTTTTTACTATGTACAGTATATCAGTATCTGTCATCTCCAATCCCACACCCGGAGGACAAAATCTGACAGACACAGGGAGGCAAAACTTGTTACATTTACGTAAACCCATACCTTCAATATCTTCATCATCAAGACGGTCTCCATCGTCAACATTGTCCTCCTCGTCACTGTCTAATGTATGCTTCTCTTTAAAACGTCGGGCTTGCTTCTCACCCTCCTGGTCGTGAGAGCCCGCGTCACCCTCATCAAAGCGCACTTTTCTGTTTGACATTTCTTGACCAATTGATATTTGGAAATAAAATGGTATCTGATTACTATATATATCACACGATTTTTCTCTTCTTGTCCCTTGGTTTGAAACAGGAATCAACTAAATATTTTAGGGTTACGTTACTGCTGCACGCCAGAACCTTTGAATATGGCGGCTTCTCGCGAGATCTCGCATGTTGTATACCTACACAACTATGTATTGGAAGAATTCAGTGGGAAGATTTTACAGGAGTTTGGCTCGAGTCGTTACTCGATAAGAGGGAGAAATCGATGAACGTACAAAACAAGTGTTGGTAGCAAGAAAATCGTTTGTTTTTTATCCGTAAGTATTCATCTGAGGGGTATATTCAAGAATTTGTTACACTTTTGAGAAGGAATTAAACTAGTTAGCAATGCTAGTCGTGAGTTCGCTCAATTTTAAGTGTCTTGATTTGACTCGTCTTGTTATGAGGCTGCGGTGTCAAGTCTGCTTGTTTCGAATTATATATATATATATATATTCCAAAGCACACCTTTACTTGAAGTTAACGTGCAGTTTAGAGGCAAGGGGCGCAATGGCCCTGGGCGAGACGCTGGTAAATATAAATACCTATAATTTCATGTAGACTAGATGTGACTCACATCATTGAATATTTGGAAATCGATATAGTTATATAGTGTGGCAATACTGTTGCACAGCCCCAAGTTTCAGTATCTAAGGTATTTCATACGAGGGAGGGGGGCATGCCTGGGAGATGAAAGGGACCCGCAGACATGGGAAGTTAAGGTGCTGGCAAGCTGTATTGCAAAATGTTTACTTGCCTGATAAATTTATCTCTAGCTTGATATCTTTCAATGTCCACCTAGATGCAATGGTTAACTTTATTTTCTTATATATCATTTTTAATAGTAAATGCCATCTGTCTACTTCAAGATAAAGACACTTTTCTAAGTCTGCCCTTGTTATTTAAAATGAAATCTGTGGTGTTCAGAAATCAACAGTGTACAGTATATTTTTTCAGACTCCTTTTCAACAACATGGCAGGACCTTTAGATATCATGCTGAAGAGTCTAATGTCTTCAGCAGAATTCATTCAGTTGGAGAATAAAAACTGGGAAAACATCTCAAGATTATTGCCAAACACAACTCCCAGACAGGTGAGTATTTTGATGAAGTAATGTTTTAGGATAATTTTATCTTTAATCTCATTCTTAGGGATAACATTATTGCTGATATAAACAAGCCTAAAATCTTACTTTATCTTAAGTATTTACATTAGAAAAGCACCCATAAAAAAACAGAAAAAAGCATGTATTTGTGGAAGATTGGCAAACCTGTATACTTCATAGTTTATTTATAGCTTTTAAACATAAAAGTCATAATGTCTTAAATAATATTTAATTAGTTTTATCTTTAAGAAGAAGATTCAAAAGTGAGGGGGATTCATATCACAAGTGCTTCTTGAATTTACTAACAATGAAATATTTTAAAAAGAATTTATAGTGGAGTAATATAGTTTATTACTCTGACTTGTTTGAAAGTTGTAAATAATTTGCCGAGAACCAGACTTAATGCATGTAACCTAAGTTAACACAGCAGTACATATTTTTATACTTATTTTTTCACGTTTTTCATATTTGAATGACAGGTGAAGCAACGTTATGATGAATTGCTCAAGCAACAGATCACTTCACAACTGAGTTGTACAACTCTACCGTCCAGCAAGTCTAGTCAGAGCAGTAAATCCAGTAAAACAGACACAGATGATCAGAAATCCTCCAGACCTGGCTCTGGGAGATCAAGAGGTAACTTATGTTGTTATAAAGTTCATTTTACATGTACTTTCATAGAAGAGGCAGGGAAACAGATTAAGATATCATTAAATGCATAATTGTGCATTTGAAAAACTAGTTGGTGTATTTGTGATTTATCTGTTGAAGTGCATTTAGAGCCAATTAGTTAATTTATATTGTTTAGTGCTATAGCTGAGTTCTGCTTGTTTCTTTGATTATCCATGTTGTGAAGATGGGTAACAGTTAGATGTACCATGAATCACTTATATGCATATAATGTTTTATTTTAGATCTGAAAATGGACAGAGACTTAACGAGTAGAAAAGTCAGGGCAGATACTGAGGACTTTGGGTAGGAGCCCTACTCCTTTCTGTCATGAAGACCTTTTTGTTTTTAATGAAACATTGAACATATCAGTGAACATATCATCGAACTATCAGTATGAAATCTGTAACGGCACTGAATGAATGAAATGCTAAACAAATTATGTCTTTGCTGTGAGTTTTTGTTTGTTGTATACTGACAAAATTGTGTTTGTGCTTTCCAGCCCCACAATGGTGATACATGTTTGTGATGAAGCTAAAAATTGTAAGTGATATTTAAGAAGTTTTGAAAGTTCCTTTGAACATGCCATGTGTGTATTAGAAATATATTAACAAATGGCAAGTGTTGTACTTTTTATTAAAAATTTGAAGATCATGGTTTCAGCAATTAAGACTTTAAAGTGATCACAATTTCAACGTGCCATTCTAAACTGTACCTTACATGTCAGGAAAAAAGATGCTTCAAATATAGAAGAAAGTAGTCTTACAAAAAAGTGACAGTATTCATTAAGTACATTAAACAAAAAGTTTTGTTTCAGTGCAACTGGCCCTCATTTATATAGATAAATTAAATATAATTTAAAAGCTGCAAGTGGTATTACTTGAGTGTATTTTATGACACATTTCCTTGTTTTAGTATCAACTGGATATAGGTCATATAATTTTTTGTTACATTTTTAGTGAAACAAGATTTCAGCTGCCCCAGGGATCTCCTGGTCCATGAAATGAAGTACTTTGCAGAGTACCTGTCCACTGATGCACAGAGGTGGGAGGAGGTGGACATATCTGTCCACTGTGATGTCCAGATATTTGACTGGCTGATGAAATATGTGAAAAGGTTCACCAAAGAGGTGCCTGATCCACCGAAACTGGGTGAGTTATCATCGAGACCATGTTCACTGCTGGACTGATTATGAAATAGTTTACAGTGTGATACCTGTAATTGCTAAATATATGGTTGTGGCAGTTTAGTAAAAACACAAGTGCTGTAAACGAGAGACATATTATTTATCAAAACAGCATCAACAGCATTCATGTACATCTAAATTACACAATCAAACTTATGTTGCAGTTATGTCAAACTGTGTTGAACATAGTACATGCACCTTACAAGGCAAAAATGTCAAGTTGTAAGAGTCATATTTTCATTTTGCTCAACTTATTGTAGTTGCCATATTATATTTTAGCATAAAGTATAGCAGCTTTGTATTGTGTGTGTTTTTAATTGTAAAAGTAAGTTACTTAGGGCTTTATGATAGAGATTTAGAGCTTAGTAAAAATTTTTTATGGGTTACTGATAATTTACATATAGATGTGTTTTCAAAATAGAGTGGGGTTATAATATGCAGAAACATAATTTATATATACAGGAGCTTCTTATCTGAACTTTTCTTTGCTTTCTCTGCTCTGTTTACTACAGCGGACCTCAGTAAGTAGGAACTGTGTGGCCTCCCAGAAATGCTGAACTTTTTAAAAATTATTTCTTTGCATGAACCTGATAGAAATACAAAATCCCAACCTGCACAAGGGCCTACATTATATGCACATTTGGGGCATATGATTGCATGGCTTTTGTCTTTTGTATATATATTTTTGATAACGAGCTTGGTGGTGGTGGTGGTGGTGGTGATGGTGATGATTTTTGTAGGAATTTGTTTGCTAAATACTTATGAAAACTACTTTGAAATTACATGAAAGAGTTGATAAGAATGCATGTGTCAGTGTGGATTATGGAGAGTAACTTTTTTATTTTCTTTATTTAATTCATTTGATTTTTAAAAAGATTTCTTGGAATTACCCCTGCTTTGTTTACAGCATGGCGTGTGGTTGAGTATTATAATTATATTTTCAAGTTAATCAGAATTCAGAATTGAAAGCAGCTATTGTATTTTGAATTAGTGTCTGCTTTAAAATTCTGCTTTGAATATGCTTCAAACCCTTTTATATCAATAGTTGGTTTATTTCAGGATAGTTTTCCAGTCATTCCAATATCTTTTCTGTTATTAATAGATTTTATATATATCACAGTTTGCAATCTTCTTCAGGCAATATTTACTGATTATTTTATTTCTCATTCGAAGAAAGGAAAATGTTTTAGTATAGCATCAAAAATACATGTGCACACCTAAATCTTATTTTAATAATACTCCTTTAAGCTTGTAATGTTACTATCTCTTCATTTTGGACCAAATTGCAGTACAACTCTGTCACTTTTCTAAAGTCTATCTTCAGAGAAGCACACTCTTAAAAGGATTATTATTCTTGTTAACTTTAAAATTACAAACTAGTATGAATATAATCACATTAATTGTGCCTACCAGAATGTCAAATATTAACCAGGTGCATAACTTTCCTTTGCTTTGCCTGAATATGTATTCCTTATGTTGACATGATTTCACCTCATGATTTTGCAATGCAGCTGCAATACTGATACACGCTATAGTATTTTTATCTCTCTGAAACTCTAGTCATAATTTGTTTGGTTAAATGAGTAATGTTTGTGGTCTTTTTTTATAAGTCAGTCTCAAAATAATAACACTTTGTAAATTAGACTGATGAGGGAAATGGTATAATGTGCAATAGCATAGAATTATTCTCATTTCTTTACATTCAATTTCAGAACCCAACAATGTGATTTCTATTTTGATTTCGTCAGACTTTCTTAAAATGGACTATCTGGTGAGTATGATCACAGTATTTGTGAATTTTGAAAGAAAGTAGTTGCAATGAGAATACTCTGAGATAGCCTCATATATTGCCACTTAGCATAAAACTGAGTGAAATTTCATGGGATTCGGTGTGGTCAAAAATAATGACAGACCAGCAAATAAAGGAAACAATAAATAAACCATGACAGAATTTATCCACAGATATTTGATATGGTACCATTGTTTTTTGGCAAGCCCTGTAGAATTACAGCCTTTTGCACAATACTCTGTATTCACCATGTTTTGCATGTTGCTTTTGTATTGCTTTCGAAGATGGTATTTCCAGCATATAGAATTTCACCCTTAAGTTATTGCTGAAATTGGATCCTTACACATTTTTATAGTCTTGCATGTTGTCATGCAATGCCAACAAACTTGTGCTGTCTCATATAATTTCCATTCCTAGTAGGAATTATGTGAAGAACTTGTATGGAGTAGTTATAATTAGTGCAATATTAAACTATCCTTAATATTTAGTGATTGATATTATAATTTTCAAATGTTCAAAAGAAAACTGTAGTTGCTTGGCTTTCAGTTAGTCCTATATTATATACCTTGCTGCCACCCACCCATCACATTTCCTTGATCTAACTCTTACATCCACCCCTCATCAGCTTTTATTCTCCTTCATCATTTTCAATTTACTTCTTGTGACAAGTAACAGCAGTTAATGTTAAATCATATTTTGTGTTTGTGTTTCACTGAAGTAAGTGCCAGCTTGTCTATAATACTTATTTTTCTTTTATACTCACACACAATCAGACACTGACCCAAAAGCTATGCTATAAAGATTTGTTTTATTTGCTCAGAATTGGGATTGTGAGTATGAAATAGGAACTTTTAAGATTATATTTTTTGCATCATTTTAGGTCCAGGAATGTATAGGATATTGCCACAAGAACATGAGTGCTATTGTTGCAACACCATGCAATATGAACTGTATAAATGATAAACTTGTCACCAGGTAAATGTTTTCCATACATTGTTCAAATACGGCACTTCTAGTTCTTCTTTCATATGACAGAGTCAGCAGATGAGTAGTGATTAAGCAATGCCATATAGTCCTTGTTTATATATAATGGGTGAGCCAGATTTTTTATAACAATAGATAATGTCATTAGCAATCCCTAGTTCAGTAAATGCTCACTAAATTTGAAAAATTGTCTCCCATATTAATCTTTTCAAGTTACACTTGAAAAATGACAATTCATAGGTTCTCAATAGCAGTGGAAGCATTGTCTGAAAATTGATACTTTGAAAAAGTGAAAATTAGATAATGGATAGAGTTTGAAATTTGTGCATGATTACTGTACTGTTACACTTTTTTTTTTCAGAATTGCTGATATGTTTACCCACAATGAAGTAGATGAAGTAAAAGACAAAAAGGATAAATTTAAAAGGTAAGTTAAAAGTTGACATTTCTGGAAATATCTGCACTTTGTGAACAATACTTTGAATGTCCAGTTTTGGACTAATATAATGACTAATATATTGGCAGTAGTGAAAGTGGAAGTAACATTTGTCCTTAGTTTTTCTAAATTTCACTTGTGTTTACATTTGCTATGTAAATGGTTAATGCACTACAGTCGTAATTGTGATTAATGTCTAATCCAGTTTCTTTTATTTCTCTCAGCAAACTGTTTGCAAAGAAAATTGAAAAACTGTTTGAGCCAGATGCTGTTAATTTATGCTCACCTGAAAAGGCTATCACATTATTTAGGTAAAATACAAAGTTATTTTGGGAATAGAATTTGTTGGGGTTTTTTTCACTGCTAACTAAGTTTACATGTATTAAAGATGGCATATTTAGGTCACATAATGCTAGTCAAATACAAAACCTAATTTACTTTGATACATAACATTATCAATATGCTTTTTACTGTGGTGCAGGGTTGTATGGACAAAAAATACCCAAAGTATCGTGACATTGATTGTAAAATGATTCTAAAGTATAAACTGTTTTATTGATCACCTCTTGTTTTAGGTGCTCTGTCTGCCATAAACTGTTGACCAAAACTTTAGAGAAGAAACTTAAATGTGCAACTAGCAGGTAAGCATTGCCCACAGTTGAAAGACCTTGCTATAAGATATGCATTTGAACAGTTGTTTATGGGAGAAATCATGGAAGTATTTGTCCCCATGTTGCCACAATAAGTGAATGTAAATGACTTATTTGAAATGAAAGAAAATATAAACCTATTTTCTGTACAAATTCAGGACAACGATTGACCGGGTGGGCAACCTTTCATATTACCACACACGTGACCCCAGCTGGGATGTGAACGACTACCTCCTGGAGCAGAAGGCACAACTCAAGACGTGGAGAGATGTGTACTGGCGGCTATGGGGAACCATTAACTTCCTGCAGTGCTCAAGATGTAAAGAATATTTCACTTGTACAGAGCTGGGCCACTGTAAATATCACCCAGAGAAAGCTGTGTTTGAAGAAAAGGTGATACATATTTACCTAAAATAGATAGATAGTTGGATAGAAAGCTCTGCGTATTTCCTTTGCAATGTTTACTGTATGAATTAGTTATTCACCAAATAAAAAAAAAAAAACATGAAATAATTTTTGTTGTCATTGGCCATAGTTATGTGGCTTGAACATTTGTCAAAAAGTTTGCTTTTGTAGCTTGATCCCAGGTATGTAATTATTTATATTTGACTGTATGTCATTTCTGATTAGAATGTGGAAAGCCAAGATAACATTATTATTCACTGATCCATGTTTAAGGACTTCAGTAAATGTTTTCCTATATCTAGATTGGAGATAAGAAGACAACTAGTGTGATAGGAACATACCCATGCTGTGATCAGAAGACACTGAGGTTTGATCCTCTGGGTCAGCAGAAGGTTAGTAAATATATGTATAAAGTGTATTTTGATATATCCAAATAATGATAGCGCCTTTTTTTATGCTGGAAAAGTCCTTTAACAAGGTCTTAGAAACTACTATAAAAAGATCCTTACTGTGCTTGCTGTATGTATTAAGTATTTGGCATCAGCTAGACACAACTTTTCCCACATGCTTAAAGAAATTACCTGTAGATTTTGCTATAAATTCTAAGGCTTGCCTAAAATTGCAACATTCAAAGTACATACTGTTGTTACCAGAAGAATAACACCTGCAATAGAAGGGAAAAAGACACCAAAATGTGTAGAATACATATCCTTTTTACCTCTGAATCTAATTTTTTAGGGTTGTAGAGTAAGGGACCACGTGGTGGTGCAAACAGTTGCAAAGAAAGGTGAAACTGCTGAAAATACAAATGACTCTTCTTCTCGTGTTTATGATGACCTCTTGGCACACAGAAGTGCTATAACAGTTCCTTACCAAGGTCAATCAGTCAGCAAGTAAGTAAGGGGTCAGTTATTTGACTGAGAGAAATTCTCTTTTACATACAAATGCTTGTTATCAGTAATATAGAGTGCAATTATAACAGGTGTTTTACTTGTAAATTTGAAAGAATGGAACATAAATGAAAGATATCATATGCGTATCAAATTTGATAATGCATAGATGATATAAAACAAAAACAACTCTTATTATTTTTCTTTAAACTGTTTATATATATATAAACGACAGGTAGGGTTTTGTTTGACCCAAAACAATGCTTCATATATGTTGGGTTTAGACAACAAAACTGAAACACAACCACAGTTTCAGAGGTTTTAAGTATATAAACTGTCATATCATAAGTCATGTTGGACCTAATTTCAGTGATGACTCAGTAGATGAGTTTATAGAGGAATTTGCTGAGTAAGTAACTCCTCACCTCTTATTTAACCAATACTGTGCTTAATTTATTGGTTGATAACTTTTTACGCAAACTTCATCTTGCTGACACGAGGATACAAGCTTCAGTGATTTTTATTATAAGCTGTGTGGCATATTTATGATGGGATTTTTTAAAAAATTTATTTTATAAACGGTGATGGTCCAGTGGGTGATTGCATAGGTGGAAGGCTTTTTAAGATTCTGTTTTGTCCTTTTCTGGAACAGTTTATAGTATTTTTTTTTTGCTAGAAAACTTTACAGTAAAGATGGTCAGTATGTCTCATATAATCCTTTTGTTGATGAATAATATTTCTTTATGATAGTATTTGAGTCATAGCACTGCAGAATTATTATAATGTACACCCCTATGTACCAGTATACCACTGTGTTTATGTTTTCTCGTCACATCAATCAGATTTCGTAGGTGTCATTATTATGAGATCCTTCACAATATAATGCCAAGAAAAAGAAGAGATTGGTACCATCTTCAATATCAAAGTTGGACGAGAGATTTTAGGGATCAATGAATAACAAATTTTAATTTTCTTAATCAAACACTACATACTGCATTAAATCTTTGACATCTAGCAGATTGAGCTTGAAGTAAAATAATGTAATACTGTGTTGAGCTTTCACATCCTTCCTTTACATTACAGGAAATTGAATTTATTTAATGCTTTGAGAAATCTCATAATGTAATCACTGAACTATTAAACAGTTATATATACTTTTATTTCTAGTGCATTTTCAGGATATTTTCAGTTCAAAACTCAAACTTTTGCCTATTTCTTGCTTCATTGTGTGAAAATGCTTGCAATTTGGTCACTTTACTTTGATAGACCCTCCTTACACTAAGTCTTTTATTATATGTAATTAGTTCATTACAAATATATTAAGCTGCTTATATTCTGGTGAACTTGTCTCCTGGAATTTCATATTGCAGTGATCCTTGTCAAAAGGACCAAGACTTGTTTTATTGATTTTTTTTACTATGAAGTTTAAAAAGGCGCATCTTTGGCAAGAGGGATCTATGAATGAAATTTGACCATTTTGCATTAATAAGTATTATTTTGTGTTGATAAGTGTTGTATTAGTAGTATTTTCAGTTCATTAGTATATAGATGTTAGCTTTAATTTTTAATTTATACACTGGAAGTGTATACATGTACATGGATATACGCAAAGCCACAGATGCAAAAAATAATCACTTTGAGTTCATTAAAGACTTTATACATCTGTTTTGTTTGAGAGTAAAACAAGTAGTAGAATTATTTAGAGTGTTTTACATATATTTGTGACATTAGAAATTCTTATAGTCAAAGTGTAGTTGCAATTTATTATTAGCAGGATAGACTCTTAAATTTTTACCTTTTCAGCATAAAGTTTGTATATCATGAAGTTAAATCCTATTTTTACATTGTTTAGTGTAGATAGACTTCTGTTAGATGTGTCCTTTTTAAGACATCCTACTGGTGCATCACAACCAGGCCATCAAGTATAAATCCTTTTGATATTTTTCAGTGAGAATGAATTGAATGTGTTTGCCATGGAAGAGTCAGCGTGTGGTATACAGGACACAGTGGTTGGAGAGAAAAAGGAGGGATCCAATACAGATGGGTCAAAAGCAGAGGTAAATAATAAACATTGTTAATTAGTTTCGTTTATTAATAGCTTTAGAAGAAATTGACTGAGATATAACAGCAGACAAAATAATGGCTGATAAATTTCAGTTAATTTTTTTTATAGCTATTGACAAATGTAGTTATTTGTTTATTGAAGACATGTAAATAAGGAGAGAAAAATGATAAGAACATTATTTTTCTTTATTCTAAATCAAAGATCCATGTGTAATGTCCAATAGACTATCAAGTTGGTATTTTGTGGATGAAAAAGTACAAATTAAATAGCAACAATACAGACTGTTTCTTAAATGAATGGAGAAAATTCAAAATTAGTAGCCCTTTTAAAATCTCTTTGAGAATGTTCAAGTATAAATCTTTGTAAAAAGTAGTATTTTTAATGTAATTTTATTTATTTATTTATTATTATTGATCAGCAAGCCTATCATTATCTTAATATACTTCAGCCAAAGTTACAAGCCCTGACAGTGGAAGAAGAACTGGCTTTGGACTATCCTAATTTACTGGAGAGCGATGATGAAGTGGGGGATGAGGAACCAGCAAGAGGTAATTACCCAACTCCTGGTATTACAACCTGTCCTTATAGCACTCAGTACAAGCTGGGGTCACTTTAGAATATGTGCTCTTGTGGTCAAATAAATTTTTCTTGCCAAATCAGTAACTTACTTTGTTTAAGCAAGACAAATTCTCTCTTGCACTGAACTTACATTTAAGCACTAGATTGAGCCTGAGCAGGTAATTTTTTTTTTTTCTTTTTTTGGCATTTCCTTTTTGTGATGTTTATGAAGGTATTTAACACCCAGGGCCTTATGCGTTGGTGAAATGGTGATAGCATCAATATACAGGCGTTTTATATTTATATATATTACTCTTAATTTGTTAATCTTTACACAATTAATTTATCCCTTACAGGTGTTAAGTCAAAGACCAGGCGAGTGACTGTGGACCCTCATGCCATTCTGGTGGATGGACCAGAGTTTAACACTACTAAGAACAGAAAGTGGGACACATCCAGGTCTATGAGATGGAATCAGGACACCCAAAGAGATGATGGTTAGTAGTAACTGTGCATATGGCTCTAGAAAAAAAAATATTTAGCACTTATACATGTTAGATATTTGGAAGTTCATCAGATAATATATGATAATTGTATGTGCCTGTTTTGCTATATGCAAGTGTCCTGAAATGCGTGTGGATTGAATTTAGCTTTTTGTACCATCTTCCTGCAAAACTAATACAGATTACAATGTTCACCACTAAATGCCAGAAAACTCTAAGCTGGGCTTATTATATGTTGTCAATATGTGTGCAGTTATTTTCCACTGTTCCTCTTTTCACCCAGTATATTCTTTGACCCGGGTGACCAGAGAGTCATTAGATTTTGACTGCTAATAAGACTGCTTTATTACAACAATGAGTGTTTTAATGGGCCTGTGTAGTGTTCAGGTGAATAATTAAAATAAGGAATATTATTTTTTAAAGACCAGAGAAGAATGAGAGAAATAGTAAGCTACTTGACAAAGTTGAGGCTACCTAGTGAAAAGCTGGAAAAGTACAAGCAGAAAGAGGTAAGACCACATGTGTTTTGTTTTTTTAAATTGAAAATCTATTATATGTAGCATCTTTGTATTAAATTTTGAAACTATGAAAATGATTGGGTTTTTTTTTTTCAAAATACGTGATTTTTTTTACCAACTTTTAGATTAATATTAATCTCAGACTTCATATCACACATAATAGATATCACTTTTTCTTTCTCCTTTTAATATTTATGCTGTGTATGTATCATCTCAATGTTAAATAATTGATTTAAAATGACAAATATAAAAAGCTATTTTCGTAATTGTTTTGATGTTTCATCATAAACCTTAATTAAATTTGGTTGTAAGAAGCAAAATACATGTATGTGAATCCTTTTTGTTTCTAGTATGCTGGGGGGTTGTATATGAAAATTGAAGCTCAGTGGAAGGCAGCTAATACACCAACTACCAAGCAAAATCCCAATGTAATCAGGTACTGCCATAGACATTTAGTTAGATCTTGAGATAAGAACAGTATCAAAAAATATTGAAAACAATGTTTAGCCTTTGCCTAAAGGGATAAATAGGTTTATACATAAAATGGGTTGGTAAATTTAAAAAAAAGTATTCTATACTCATTTGTTGTTTTCTTACTATGACTGATGCATTTAAGTGTCAAGAAGTTGGTTTTTTTTGGTGTATTTATAATTATTTGATTTGTTTTCTTCAGGGCGAAAACAAGAGTAGGCCAAATGAGATCTACAGTATCTGCGTAACCATGTGCATCACCATGGGCAGCAACCATAATAACAACTATGAAAGACATTTGGAATTACTGAATTCTGAACCACATAATACCAGGGTGTTCAAGCTGTTTATCTATACAGTGTTGAGTTGTGAAGGTGTTTTGTTGAGGGGAAAAAGTTCATATATGTATATGAAATATAATCAGAGCTAGAGAGGCAATATGTATGGGTCAATTTTAGTCTGTGAAGTAGAGAAAATAAAAGTATGCATTCAGTAGATTGCACAGCTGTCACTTGATAATACAGCCATCCTTTTTTACTGCAATGATCTCTGTACTACCTCAGATATTAAAGTAAATAAAAGTTTTGCACATCCATTTCTGAGGAAAAAAACGGTGTTCAGTAATATGTTACATGCTGAAAAAGTCACCATATACACACAATTGTTACCAGTGGACTTTTTTCAGCATTCATTTCAAAGAATATTGCTCTTAGACCTTCTTGTTTTATTGTTTTCCTTCTGATGGCTGTGCATGCTCTTTATTGTGTTGCTGCTGTAAGCATTAAAATGTGTCCTGTTTGTGATATAATGATTTTTGTGTGTAAAATGGAAATGTTACAATTGTAACACATTTTATGTGGCCCTCAGAATACTTTTACAGAAAAAATAAAATATTGATTTAAGTTGCTGTTGTTAATGCATCCATTTTTTTTTTTTTAATTTTTATTTATTTATTTATATTTATCATTATAATTATTATTTTGTGCACATTATCATCTGAGAATATTCAAGTTATGAAAATATTCAAGATTTACAACGGGCATTCCTAATGACAAAGAAACAAAATTCTGCAAGTGACTCAAATTGGGCTGCCTCTAATAACGGTGGGTTTGTCAGGCCTGTAGCCAGGGGAGTTCAAAAGAACCCCTTTTTTGTTGGGAAAAGGTCCCCTCTAGGTAAATTTTTGTCATGTTCCACTTTTCCACAAAAAGAATCCCCCTTTTGAAATTGCTGGCTACAGGCTTGCTTGTAAAATGTTCAATGTAAAATTGTTCCTTTTCAATGTAATTATAGGTCTAAAAATAGGTTTAATTTTAATATTCTTTCTGCAATAAAGACAACTACAAGTTTTTAACTAAAAAATAAAAGATCGCATCTACTTTTCCGTGCCGTCACAACCGGGGGCATTCGCCTCAGCGCAACTATCACATTTTACAAGTTCTTTTACGTGTAAAGACTTGGAAGTTTCCCTGTTAGGTCCTCTCACTATTTCTAGAAAAAATTCACTCGTTTGAAATTTGATGTTAGGGGAATACGAGTAAGAAATATCATACCGGAAGGAATGGATACACAAGAAATAGTGAATTCTGACCAGTCAGACGACGGCATGAGTTTGCATTCTGGTGAAGTATTGAATGCGTTAACAAAGTAAGTAGATCTAATATTATCATATCTTTGTTGACTCTATATTATGACACTTGCTTCTAGACTGGGATCCGAACTTTTTGTCTGATCATCTTAAAAACTTCTAACTTGGCACAGGTATTTTGATTTCTATTTTTTTTTTTTTTTTTCATTTCCATTTCTTAAAATTTCTCTAATGGAACAAATGTTATCATAAATTTGATAAGCAACACTATTATTTAGAACTAGATCTAAAATTTTGCAATTTTATTGGCCCATAGTCGTTAGGTGAAATGGGAAAAATACACAGGAAAAAATACAGTGTTTTAATATAACTGGATAAATGTGAGGGAAATCGGGCAAAGTTCCCCTCTTAAGAATCTGAAAAGAATGAAAAAATAGAGCCCCCCCCCCAAAAAAAAAAAAAAAAAAAGATTAAAAAAAAGCCTTTCTATCAGCCAAAAATTTGCATGGAGTTTGGAAGTGCATCGAAATTAGAACAATATCAAAATGAGAATTTAAAACTCGAGTGTATGAGACATGGCACTTTAGTCAGGTAAACCTGAGACTTAGAAGATGTTTTTTTCCCATTAAAATAAGTATATAGTCACCACCTAGGTTTTTTTTTTTTTTTTTTTAAATTTCAAAACAGCAACTGGTGTTAAAGATAATTATAATTGAAGCCTCTGAAGAAAACAATCAGCTTTTTGGTATGTTGATTCTATGTAATAACAACCTAATTTGATTCTTTATTTTAGATCTTTCTGGAGTAAAATCAGTGACTGCCAAAATGAAGGTACTAGTATGTTTCCTGTGTCGGCATTATGTACATACTGTACTGGTAACATGAAATTGTTCTGTATAATTACATATTTTAAAGTTAGTGAGTCTGATTGAACTTCACTTCAAACTGTCATTATTATTATTATTGTTAATATGTTACTTTAAGATGCATTTTAAAGCTCACAATTAATGTAATATATGTTGTTGTTTTTTTTTTTACCTTCTCTTTTCATCATTATGGTGGTCAAGTTTTTAAAGAAAGTTCCTTTGATATGGTGTATTTATGATTTAATGAAGTATGCAAAATATTTTAAAATAGTGAACTTTACAGAAACTGTCTCACAAGAAATCCCTAGTATGATGATGTCTGGTAAACAGGTAGGTCATTTTAAAATGCAAAAATATTCATGCATTCAGTGAAGTAAGTAATATTGTACTGCCTCACAATAAATGAGTGACTAAATTATTGACATATTAGTAAAAAAATTACATTTCAGTTATGAAAGATACATGTGCACATATACTTTCCAGAGTATTTTTCATTATTGTTAATAGATTGCTCATTATTTCTTTAAGGAATGTATTACCAGTAGTATGAACAGTGCAGAAGATATGACTATGGTAGAAACAAACAGAGTTAAACTGGACCAGATGTCACTGTGTCACAATGGGGATGTCACTATGAACATTCAGAACTCAGATAATTTGAACAAACATGGAAATAAGCAAGAAAGCTCTGCTGTCATCAAGGAACACCCAGAAGATCTTGACGAGGAATCCAATGACTCCCAAAGCACTGTTTTCTCCCTTTGTGTGAGAAGTTACAGCACTGCAACACTCAAAGATGTGGAGATCATTCCTAATGCTTCTGTGGTTTCAAGTTTTAGTCCTTACCTACCAAATCCACCATCTCTATGTAAAAAATGTGAAGACAAACAGATAAGGGAGCATGATGTGGAAAGTGATGATGAAACTGTCTTGGACTTTGAGGAATCATTTTTTCCCCACTCACAACCACCAGTTTTATCACATGAAACCATTCCTGTACCAGGGACTTCTCAGCCAATTGAAGATGTAGAAAGCGATGTCTGTGAACTTGACATAAGCCAAAGTTTGCTTGAACCTAAAAATTATTCGCCTATCCAAACTTCTCGACCATCCAGCCAGATAGCAAGAGGTATTTATTTAAAAGAAAATACTTCTAGTCAATCAGGCCAGAAAATTTTCAACGAAGAGGACAGTCTTCAAACTGAAAATGAGATTACACATTTGAGGAATTCAGCTAGCTGCTCAGATACTAAAACAGAGATTGGTCATAGATTGGATGCAATGATTGTGGAAGACACAATAAGCCAGAGCAGTAGTAGAAGCAGTGAGTCAAAGGAGATTGATGTAGGGCATTTGATAAATGAGGTGAGGCACTGTGGTATTTGATTTCTTAGAGCCTTGGTAAATCATGATATTTGCCACAGCCATAATTTCTAAGTTGAAACAGAAAAAAATTAATCATATTTTCTAGAACAAGGTTTTGTTTGTTTTCCTTTTAAAATTTCTATATGGAGGGAATTACTTTCAATTGATTTCATTTTTATGTACAAATACAGATGTGCATAATTATTAAAATTTGGTGTTGGCTTTGTTGTTAACCATTACGTAATATTGCATCAAAATTGACAAAATAACTTATTTTTTGCATCATATTTTCTGGTTTTTGGCTGTACATTTGACAGCTTTGTTGCCTTGTTTAGGCATAGAAATCTCTTTTTTAATATTTATATTGTAAATGGTTTGGTAACAGTGAAGAATGTGCTACATACCAGTACTCATATACATATTTATTAAGTTAGCTATTTCTACTGAGACAGTTCACTATAGTGTAGATACCTTTATAAAAAAATTTAATTGGCTGCTTTTTTCAACTTTTAAATCATGATTTTACCATAGAGACATGAAAGAGAAATGGCAGCCCTTAACAGAATTGAAAAGAAACTCACAGAGCTTGGAAATGGACCGCTGGACTCAGATTCCAAGTTGGGTAAGTCTCTCATTTCACTCCCTTTGTAGAAAAAAGGGAAATATTTTACAACAATTTTACAAAAAAAAAATAAAATAATAATAAATAAATAAAGATAAATAGGTCCTCTTTGTGATTTTTTCATTTTCCATAATGATGTATTACCTATGATTATCAAACAGTCTGTGACCTTTTTTATTTTGAAATGTTTAAGCTGCTGTTCAGGAGGAATTGGACACCATTAGCAAAGTGATGAAACAGCTTGGAAAAGCCCACTGCCAGGAGAGGGAAAGGATCACTGCAGAGCTGAATGTAGTCTATGATGCTGAGCAGAAAAACAAGTACAAAAAACAAATCCAATTGATCTGCATTCGACAGAGGAAACTTGGTCAGTGTTTCAGGTTACACGCACAGATATCAATGAAATGGAGAAAAACCAAAAGAAATCTTCCAAAACCAACAGCCGTTCAATCCATTCAGAAGAGGTCATTGCCAAGGAGTGTTCCTATCACTTGCGCCAAAGAAAATGAGTTAGAAACAGTCAGGAAGAAAGTGAAGGAAATCCCACTGGATGTGAGCAAAGGGAATAAGGAAAAATCTAAGGAACCTGTAGTCATCTATTTACAACCCAATTCAAGACAGCCACAAGAGGAAGTGATGTCAGGTAAATTGCATGATATGGCACATACTAAACCATCAGACTTACTGATATCTTGTCATCACACTGGTACTCAAGCAGTCACCATACTTGAAGAAAGCTACACTTCTTCACCCTCAATAAGAGCTACCCCTGGTAGCAAGCCAGTTTTTCCAAGCCACATGGATTCTCATAAGTTATCTTCTAATTCTGCCATAGCCCCTTTGGGTAGAGCACCAGTTGCTGACTCTGCCCCAATGGGAATGCTGCAGACAAGTACATCATCTAGTGTAAGTTCTGAAATAGTTTTTAGTGAGACACCTCTAGGGATAGGGGCACCATGCAATGGGTTTTTCACAACTGGAACCAGCAGTGCACCTGATTCAAGTAGTCATGGTTCCAAATACCTGTCAACTGAACAAGGAAAGGCAGTACTGGCAAGGACACAGAATTCCCATGCCATCCCAACACCTGTGACACCAGTTACAGGCAAAGTTAACTTGACCACTTCGTTTCCCCCAACTGCACAGCTGCCTTCATCAGTGCCTACAGTGTCTGGTGGGAAACCCTTAGTTTTGCAGCCTGAGTCAAGACTAAGCCTAAGTGACAAGCAAACTATGACTGCAGGCACAGGGCAACCGACCACTGTGACAGTGTCTGCTGTCCAACAACAAATCACTTCAGTGGCCTGTAGTACAGCTTCCACATCAGGTATGCCAATACCAGGTAATGAGAACTGAAGCTACATTCACACGCCACTACGTATTTCGGGAATCAGTATATAACTGCTATCTGGTCACTGATTATATTAACACAAATTGAACTGATTTCTGATCCAAAGTAGTTCCTCATAAACAGAGCTTCAAGCATTATATTTTCAATTTTGGGTGTTTTTTCCTTGAAGCTTGCGCAGGTTGAGAGTAATGCTAAATTTTGATACATTTATGCCATATAGTATTTTAAAACTTGCAATCTTATGAATTAGTTGTGGGTTGAGAACAAACGAAGACATTTACAACCACGGTAGCATGTTAGTTTGTTCTTTTTTCCAGGATATATTCTACCACCAATGGCTTCAAAATCATCTGCCTCTTATCTTTTATCAGCTGAGGTATGTTTTCTTTCATGACACAGTGTAAAGCAAGCTAATTTTTGAAACATGATAAGCAGTAGGCTACAAAAGATTTTCCACTACAGTAGGATCAATGAAAAATATTGGTGAAACAGACATTTAATTCGGCATGAATTGGTTTTGCTTGCAGACATGTGAAAACCATACTCATATTTGAGATATCCTGTTCGAAATGTTGTACAGGTACATTTTAATTAATGCTATTTTTTCTCATCTGGTAATTTTCCCTTAGATTCTGAATCCTCATAAGAAGAAGGAGCTTAGTCAATACCAATTAACAAATACAACAGTAACAGGGACTACAAAAACTGCAGCAACTGTGACATTGTCTTCATCAGTGTCTGCTGTGAAGCCAGCAGCATTTCCAACTCTGAAGGAACTGATAAAGAGCAATGTCATTACACCAGAACCAAACTCTATGTTTATCATCATGCCTGTAAGCTACCAACTGATTAAACTGATCACAGTTTGTTCATTAAATTTTTATAGCTTTTGAAACATTCAGTAAGTCCTCAAATTATAATTATCATTCTTTGTTTTCTTTGATTTATAGCTTCATTGTAGCATTTACACTTGCAAGAAAAGAATGTTTGAATTATATCTCACATAAATAATTAAATATTTTTTTCCAAAATAGTGGCTTCAAGAAAATATATTAATGTTTTGAAAAAATTAAACATTGCTTAGTTCATTTATAAAAAATTTTATACCTTTACAGAATAAGATGTATGTTGCTAGCCTGCTACCCAGTGGCCAGATTCAAGGTGCAGGAGGGGAGACATTTAAGACCCCCACCCAGTGGTGCAGTGCTGTATTGCCTGTGCCAGTCAGGAAGTCTACAGCCTATCAAAGGGTAGGTGATCTCCAGGGGAGGAGGAAGAGGAGTTGGTGTAATATTGCTGTGTGTGCCAGTCAAGTAACCGAGTCTCATTAATTATAAATTGCTATCAACGTAACCCGGCTTAAATGCCTGTCACGTCTAGTAAAGCTTTTACAGGGGCGGATCCAGAGATATTTTCTGACAGTCTTCTAAATTATCTTTGTTGATCCGTCCTCCATTTTTGACCGTCTTCCGACAGAAAAAATTGGATACCCGTCAATGTTAACTTTAAAATCTGACCGTCTTCCGGAAGACCCAGAAGACAGCCTAAATCCGCCCCTGTGTTAGGGGGTAATTATCTTTACCCCCTAGCTGATTCGGTAGGCGTGACAGACTTTTAAGCCTCTTGACCTGATAGCAATTTAGTGTGAACCCCCAGGGAGTTAGGTCGATCCAGATGGATTGATCTAAGTATGGGAACCCAGTCTTAGTGGTGCACTCCTGTGCCTATTAATATTATATTATCATATGTGCTTCAAAATACAATTATGCAATCATAGTTGATGAAAATGGATTTTTTTTTAATTTTTGACACTAATTTACCCCTACACTTAAATGCAATATGAGTGATGTTCGGAGTATCATATTTTCTAAAATCACAGGTCTTCTACAAGAGCAAGCCATTGTCCAGCTACAAAATCCCCATACCAGAAGTTATTCAAGGTTATATATTATAAAATGTAACAAGAGCTATAAAACATGTCAGTTTTTTTACAATTTTCTTTTATATTCGTATATGATGAGAAATATTTGAAATAAGCATGTCTTTTTTTAGCTTAAAGATTCATTTTTAATCGTTTAAAACATTTATCATTGCTTCAGATACCAATCATCTCACATGTTTCCATTCTTCTTTATTATTATTATTTTTTTTTAATTTCAGACACTAGCATTCAACCACCGCGCCAACAACCTGTGACATTGAACACTGACTGTTCAGAAAAGTACTCTGCTTTAATTGTTTTTTTTAATTTTGTGTTAATTTTCCACAATTGTAATTTTATAATGTCTGTGATGGTACAATGTATTCATATTATAATTTGTGTACAAAAAAGTGTACAATGCAATATCATACCTTAATTTTGGCACATTCAAGAGCAGGCACTGGTACATATCTAAGTAACAGATTTGAAATTATTTAAGTTATTTAAGTTTAAGTGAGGAATTGTTTAAGAAGCCTCCTGTTTTAAAGAGAAAAAAATGGTAATATTTATGTCCAGCATGTGCTCACATCCTTAACATATTTTTCCCGCATTTTAGTGTCTCCCAAGCTCCACCAGCACTTGAAGTACCTGTTAATACACAAGCTGCATATTATCCAGGCACAAAAGAAAATGTGGAAGAAAGACCTGGTCTTCACAATTTGCTCAGAAAGTGCACCATTTACCTGACTGGCACTGAGGAGCTATTGCCCTCTGATTCTTATCTCCCAGCAGATTTCTGGACTGCAGACTGTTTTCAAGATGTTACATTTAGCCAAGATCTGATAGCAGATATTGATAAATGGTAGTGTATTCCCAGCAGCAAAAAACGTGGGAATTAATAGTGAGGACTTTTTTTCCTTGATTTACCTCAGAAAGGGAGAAAATATTTTAAAAAAGCATGATTGAATATACAATAAAGTAGGACATTTTTGTGTCTCTTCCTAAGATTCAGGGCAAACTGCAGTGATCATTGATTGAGGATGGTGAAGTGTTTTCTCAGCAGCAAAAAAAATCAGGGATTAAGGAAAAGGGGCTATTTCTTTCCTTATAACGCTGAGAAAGGAGAAAAAATAACACAACACTATTTTGTAGCTCTTCTCATCAAATTCAGGGTCAACTGCAACAGTTTTTGATGATTAAAATTTTTTTACTTTGTTTTTGAAATTTTCCAGATATACAGATACAGTTGTACATAGTACGTGTACATGTACATACTGTACTAGGGAATAAGTTTGAACAGGCGTGGAAAGGCCTGGCATAATTGCTGGTATATTATTCTGTGTTCTATTACAAGGTTACGTCAGATAGAGAATGCTTTTATTTTAATAGCCTTAATTCCTTCTTAACCCACCCTGAGCTTCAGAGATAACTTGACACTAACCTCTTCACTATAGCCTATCTTCATCGTGTCAAGTAACTTAACTTGTCTTAACTATATTCCTGTTTAGTTTTTATTTTTGTTTGTACCTGTTATTGTATTAGATGGATGTTGCCAAAGTGCAGTAATTGTACAGTGTATTAATTGTTTAAGCTTGTATAAATTACTTGTTTTTCTTTTTAATTAAAGTTTAATAGCAGAATAGTTTCCTGTCTATTACCAAGTTACTGATTTTTGTGCATAAATCGATTGTTAACGCAAATCAAAATCCGCGCGTTCTTGACGCTAGGCCACCTGTCAATAAATCCCACCGATTCAAGGCTCGGCAGGTCACGGTTATGCATAGTTGTCCTTTTAACGCGACTATTAAAGCGGTCGTTGTTAAGGCTCGATGCAGCCAATGGGCTTCGCGTAAACAAGAAAGTGCGGAGCGAGTTAGATTACTGGTGTCCAAGTGAAAACAATCTGGTGGTACAGCTTTGCAAAATGTCATCTTCACTGGCATCGCGAAATGTGACGATATATCGTAGCAGTGATGGGACATTTCAAAGTAATATGAGTTACCTGTTGCCTTGGAAAACTGATAGGAATCCAGGTAATTGAAAAGACTTGATTGTGTTTAGTTAGTGTTGAACGTACCTGCTTAATTAATTGTGATAAGTTCGCGTGTGACACCTTAGCCAAGGTAATGGTAATTAATTCGCTATTAAAGCTGTGTCAACTGAAAGCAACTGAAATGAAGTACTAATAGGGAACGAAGAAAGAATAAGACTGTCAACTGTAGTTCAACTTCAGATGTTATAACTGTATCATTTGATTGAGAAATTAGTATTATACGACACTGCACCAGAGCGTGGTCTATTGGACACAGTACAACTGTATGTAACAACGCAACAAAAATATCTAGATATTGGAATATTTTTTATCTTGGTTGTAGTGAGTGAAGTGATCAACATTCTGTCTCATAAAGTCGGTTCACTGTGCTCAATCGCCGTCTAGTGTAACTGCACGTTCTGCCAAATTCTAACATGTATATCGATTCAATTACATGAACATGTATGTCAATTTTTTAACCACACGTGTTATTAAGTGTCTTGTTTATTATAGATCCGGCAAACCACCTGTTGTGGGACAGCCGACAGAGAGTGCTGCCTCCGAGATACCGCACGTTAGCTTACATGAGATCAGAAGGTAAGCTGTTCCTTAGTATTTTGAGGTTTGAGAGAGAGACCGAGAATTTCGTTTATTTTCCCGTAGATACATGGTTTGCTTGTCGATCGTTGTACACGTTAACTTGGATTGATTTTCTGTATATGTTAATGATTTTGTGGTCTGCTTGCAAAGTTTTACGGCTCTTCGGTAATCCTTTCTTGTGCTTATAGTTGTTTTAAAATCCATGTAAAAATAATGAAATTGTTTAGGAATAAATGGTAAACGCACTGTTCGTTCATTTGTTTTATTTGTGCGTTCATTTGTTCGTTCATTTCAGATCTTCGGAAAGAAATCCCCGTAAATCACGGACCAAACACTGGGCAATACGACTTTCAGTTTACCTACTAGATTTGACCTTCAACAGTTAATTACTGTTAGTCCTGGAGACGTGTTCAATCATAGACGGCTAGTCCTAGAGACATATTAAATCATAGACGGCTAGTTCTACTACCTGTGTGTTATAATACTTGATGTAGCTATCTTTAACTTGAAAATAGAGTTTACTTATTTTTGCCACATTAATCACGTGGGAATGAAATTCACTACTGCTGTTGCAGATTTTTTTCATATCGAACAATTATGCTGTTGATTTAGTGGAGCTGTGTTTTCCTTTTTTTAATTCAATGTTTTAAAGGTTAAATGTTTTTCTTTCACGCTTGAGATGATTTTTCTCAACAAGAATGAGTTATTTTTCAGTTATTTGAGATACATTATGATGTTCATGTATTTCTTCTTAAGTTGCCATACGAGCTAAAATGACGATTCTTTGATGACTGTATTTTTTAATTCTTATTTGCTCACGTAAGCCATAATTGATTCTGCACTTTTTGGGTGCATTGCTCATTGGGATTTGTTACGCGCTTGATATAATATATACTTTATTTATTATGATTATTTTTTTTCAATAAAAAGATCTAAGTCTAACTCAAAGATTCCTTCATTTTTGTATAGATGGTAGACTTGGCTCACCTTAAATAGATCAGTGCGATTTGAGTGAAAGAAGAATACCTTTAATAATTTGACACTTAATTCATGAGATGTAGTTGTCATATCAATTTATTTCAATATGATACAAATTTAAGAGAAGAAATAGTACAGAAAGTGATCAATTTATTCTTCATGCAATTGGAATTAGGGGGTGTATACATGTATGATCTCTATGCAACTCGGGCGACAGCAACGCGAACAAGTTTGAGACCTTTTTACTAAAACATGAAATAAGTTTTGCAGAGTCTAAGTTAATATTTACTTCTCATCTAACTGTAAGCGGCCATGGTCTTGTCCGACGTTGAGAAATTTTGATATATTTTCATTCTTCCCCGTGAAATTGGTCATTTTTCCGTTGTCTATCCACTTCTTGTGTTTACCGCACAAATGTCGACTCTTGGGGTACTGGTGATCAATTAAAACACACCAGGGTTAGTATGACATGGTTTTTAAGATAGATGGATATTATAATAATAATAATAATAATAATAATAATAATAATAACAGAATTTTTAAAGAATGATAGATTACCAACACAAAGGAAAAATAGTTTTTACAAAACTTGCCATCTTCCACATCTTTTGGTTTCAGCCAAAATGTAACTAACCGCTAATAGTCTTTTTTATGTTGAAATAATGTTCTGCAGTTAAACTTGATACGTTTGATTTTTGCAAATAAAATGACTTTTGAATATACATAAAGCGCACATGTTCATTATATTATAATAAATAATTTGATATAATAACATATATGATATTGAGTGGGTCTTAATGTACTTACAGATCTTCCTCAATCCTGGCACTGCCTTCAGTTCTTTAACTAAACCATACTGAGTCGGCGTGTTGCTGATGTAGTAATATTGTCTTGGATCGGGGTAAAATCTGGTCATGGCTGATAAAGAATTTCTGTTGTTAAAATTAATTACTGTATAAGTATGAAATAAAATAGCCCCCTATTCATGCATATCTCTTGAAACATGTAGTATTAGGTTTAAAATGGAATTAACTCTTATGACTTGCCATTTTCACTGGCAGTTTTGTAACCTTTGAAAATTACTGTAACGTGTTATAACTGTTTGAAATAATCGAAACTTTTGTCAAAATGTTTATGCAAAAATGAACAACTTACGATTATGTCTTTCTCCTATCACAGTACAAGGGGTCCGCTGATCCTTGTAGTAATAATATGGCAGAGAACGGTCTCGCTCTGAAATGACAATCAGATTGCACTCACCGTCTTCCCCTTCCCTAACTTTATGTTTGATTTGCATCTGCAGCAATACGGTACACTTCTTATTAGGTGCTTTCGCACCTGCCCTGTGCTACTGTTTAGCTGCCAGGCCAATTTACAGGATTTTTTCACCCCTCAACACCATACTCCTCCTTGGTCTGGTTGTTGTTCGATCTAAAGATGTTCTCGTTTGAACCGACATTACAGTGACTCACCTGTCGTTATCAACTTCATTGGTAAACTTTCACTATTTCGTCCCCCAGAATGCGCCAGGCTTAGAATCAAAGAATGTACGTCCACGAGTTTGTCTATGTAAATAAATGATAAATAAATGAATGGTGGAAAATTTATATTAATGAATTAAATTAATAATAAGATGCATGAATGGGTCTGCGAATGAATCAGTGAATAAATGAAGAAGTGGAATAAAGTAAATAGATATATTAATGAAATAAATGAATTAATAGATACATGAATGCAGAAATTAATAAATAGTAAAACTGATTGCATATAATAAATTAGGAAAAGTTTGTTGAAGAATAACTTGAAAATTATCCCCTTATGGCATGGAACCCCATATAATGATTCTGGTTTTAAAGTAGCAGGGTGAGAAGAGGCAGCAATATTCTGTAGCAAGCAGCAGACGGAATGACCATAGTCCTGATGAATTAAGCCTCGGTCACAACCGGCCGCACGGGCTCTTACAGTCTTTTAGCCTCCAAAATTTCCGCAGAATCTCACGTGCCACGCAAGTCCTTCGCATACAGCCCGTAAAATAAGATTATTCGTAGAATCTTTTGGAAATGTCCAACATCCTCCGTTATGGGCTGTCTGCGAACAACAAATTTCGCAAGAGGGACTTGAGTTGCATGTGAGATTCTGCGCAAAATTGGGACGCAAACAGGCCGCAAGACCCCGTACGGCCGGTTGTAACCGAGGTTTTAGAGACCTATGAAATCATCCAACGGCCGAGGCCTGTTCATTAGATTAAACCCTATACTACTACCTTCGTTTCTGTAGAATCTGATTCTTTTATCCTGCCCATAGTTAGGGAATATAAATCCCTGTGGTAGGGCCATTTCCACTGGGCGGCTGTTCCTGAATTGGACGACTGGCAAATGGTTTCATTCACAGCAGTGTTGTTCGCACTGTCATCCTAGCAATGCGAATCAAAGTCAAACATAAACAGAAGCTAATCGATTTTTCAGTGCCTACTAACAAGAGACCGAAACTAGGTGCGAAAATCGTTAATCTTTGTATGATGTTGTTCCGCCGAACTGAGCCAAAGAAAGGCTATGGTGAGATTTTGCCCAATATGGTATAATGAAGCGTCTCGTTCTTAACAAACTGAAACAAGATGGTCAACTATTGACACAAAACCTACTAGTATGTGTGCTGTAGTTAGTTTTGCTGAAGTTTCATAAGAATTTTTGATGTTAAGGTCGGTGCTTTTTATTCATTCGATGACGTTTGGCTGTCACCTTGATTGGTTAATTAACGTAGTAAATGAACCTTATAACCACTGAAAGCCATTTAAAATATCATACTAGCGTACCATAACGCAAAAAGAAAAAAAAAACAAAAAAAAAAAAACGATCAAAATTGGTTAAACGTTTTTAAACGAAACTCATTAAATCGTCATGAAGACCATAAAATAGTGGGCATCGCATAGCAATTGTAACGTAGGCTTTACCTTTACAAAGTACCGTTACAATTTTTTACCGCAATCAGCATGTATAATGCGTCTTATCGTGTGACTTGTCAACGAAACATGCAAAGTGCAAAAAAGTAAAATTTCCACACAGTTTATCTTAGTGAATGTGAACAAATGGTCTTCGCAGAATAGAAAAATATCACCTTGTCACATGGACTAAAAGTTTTAATTCTTGCCACCACAGTTTACACCGAGTTGTTTAATGACAGGCGTTGTAAAAATAAATGTATTATTATTATTAACGCAGTGGATATAATGGTGCCATAACCAGGTTTACCCTGATAGACCAGTGTTGAAATGCGTACAGCTGTGTCTAACGCCGTATAGCTTTGTTTGATGTGTAGGGTCTACATACAGGAACGAGTGCATGCTAAAAAAGTAGTATTTAGCAATAATGTTGAATGGTTCTTCCACGTCATTTTATTAACGACTAAGGGGGCTATGGCACCAGCTGATACATGGACGGAGACATGGTGATTTGTTACTGGGATAAAGAGGAGGTGGTGAAGTGTTTTCTAATGGTGCACTGTACGCTCTTGGATATTAACGCCTGTTTAGAATGGTGTTTAAACTGTGAATTTCTCTGACAATAAGATACATACAAGCATGGGAATAAGCTGTTCAAAGCCAACTCGTGAAACTAAATAGCGAAAGGAAAAACTAACGAGGACGAAGCATCATTTATCTCCAGGATTTTTTGCTACTAGTTTCAATACAAGAATGAAGATATGTGAATCAATTAGTCGCTTTTGTGCCGAATCGAAAATTGGTCAACATTGTATTCATTATGACTCGCTAAGACAGAGCATGCAAGGTGCTATCGGGAATAATGGCGAAAGGGATTTTGTGAAACTTCTCAACAAGGAGCTAACAAGACTTAAAACTTTTATCACACTTAAGTTAAAAGAACTGCACATTTCTTATAGGCAACTGATATACCGCACTATGCCCAACTTGAAATCGGGTAAACTCCCCGACAACGAAACATTTTGCGGTCAAAGAGGAAAAATAATTGATAAATTTGTTGAAAATTTAAAAGACTTGGCCAAATTTACGTACCTCAATGGCGAAGCCTTCGCAAATATCATCAGGAAACACGACAAAATTGTAGGAAGCACGAGCAGCTGGTACTTTGTGCAGAATCATGAGCAGTTCTTCTATAAAGTTTTAAGTGAATTAGACGTGTTTCTCTTCCACGCAAGTGTTATTTATGATTCAGTTATGAGAAAGCTGGGAGAGTCTTATGATCTTAAGGACGAGACCGTCAAATCTGATGACCAAATTAACCAGGAATATTTTGAGAGAAAGAGCGCAAAGTACTGGGTAAAACCAGAGGATGCTTTCGCAGTGAAAGCTGAAATAGCAAAACAATTACCCATACATGTATTCAGGTAAGATATCTTGTATTTTCACTTGGAGAAAGAAGCGTTTTTTTTTTTTTTTCAGCATGTGACCTCTAATATCACGCAGTAAGATACCGTTATGAGGAACGCTCATCATCACATTCATTTTTTAATCATTTATTATAAACAAAAATTGGAACACACTGTGTAAGCAAACGAATTTGTAATTAGATAGAGCTATTTCTCCACCAGCTTCTCACATTTGTCTCCTTCAGAATGGGCAGTTTGATGTCGTTGATGTTTTGATGTTATATATAAAAGGGTGCATTGTATTTGACACGTTCACTACCCACCTAACGTGACGCAAGTCACGGTCTCTAAAATGCGTGATCTACATCATTATGACGTTGAGTTTAGTGTCATTTTGGTTCTTAATACAGAGCAATGTTTTAAACTATTTTGTTAATGTAAAAACTGACATTGGTTTGGAACCAGTGACGCTCAGTGGCAAGTATCTCGGTGGGAGCCCCCATGCAAAAGTTTTTAATTAATGTCGTTTCATTCTGTACTATGTTAAAGGTATATAGGGCGGTTTTTCAACTCAAACACACTGTTGTGGAGAAAACAAAATTTTGAGATAAAATATGGAGACGTAAAATGGCTGTAAAGGTAATGAATTGATGCTGCGATCACAAAATTAAAGAGTTCTGAAAATCACAAAAGTAAGTTCAAGTTTACATTGGATATTTAATTGAAGAAAAGTATCGTTTCCTGCAGTATTTCTCTCCAGTTATTTTCCCCTCTAGTAGGCTTTAAAAGTTATTATGAACTTTTGGCTGGAATGTTTTTGAGAAACAGAGCGACACTTTTGCGCTCAACTATCTACCATTTGGATGTAAGTTACACATATCCTCTATTATGAAATTTTCATAAGTGTTCTCCTTTCTTTTTTGTCTTCTTTTTTATTTTTACTTTTGCCACGGGCTTTACAGGAACGAGAAACCACAACACAGCAGATTACTTGAGGAAAACGCCCCAGAGCGAACTCGACCGCCAACCACATGGGTTTCCTCGGTGTACCTGGACAATTCCGATCTCACCTGCTATCACAAACGCGTCAGGTTGGAAGAAGGTGCCACTCTGATTCGTCTGCGATGGTACAACACTCCACACGGGGTAGAGGTTAGTGTGTACACACACATACATACAGGCACTCTGAGTCACGCGAGCTAAAGGGCAGAGGAGAATCCATTTCAGTGCTGGCTTGATATATTCAGTTCACTAAGATCATCGGTTTTGACTCATTTCCCTTTGTGTTGTAAAGAATAAAAATGCTGATCATCTGCAGAGGCTTAATAATTCTTTGTCTTATCTTATCTTATTATTTATTTATCTATTTAGTTATTTGTTTTGCTATTTGGATAAATAATGTTTATACATTAATAATGGTCTTGATTTACAAAAAAAAAAAAAAAAAAAAAGAAAAGAAAGAAAAGAAACTAAAAGAAACTTCGACTGGTTCATCGAGTGTCAAGTTTTGTTAACTAGATACATTTGTGCATCTTCTTATTTATCCACATAAACATGATTGGATCTAGGTATGGCAAATTCAAGAACCGGTACTTTTCTTTATTATTATTATTATTATTATTATTATTATTATTATTATTATTATTATTATTACCAAACTTGCAACCAGAGGGTTGGATAATTACAATCATTGCATCACAGTCGGATAAAACCATTAGTAAGTAAGAACAAAGAATATTAAAGGAATTCAAAAAGGTAAGAAAAGATGATGTGAAATCCACCAAAGCATGTTGCGCGTTTTCAGAAGTGCAAGATGGCCTATATTGCACTGAATTACTGAAAGGAATAGTACAAACCATACACACATGTACACTTAATTCAGTCTATAATATTCATATCCTCCACACATACCTGTTAACCGTTTGGTTTGTATTCTTTGTAGTCCCTACAGATTGCCGGTCCTGTAGATCAAAAGGTGTATGTTGAGAGAAAAACACACCATGAGAGCTGGATATGGGAAAATAGCGTGAAAGAGCGCTTTCTTCTGAACGAAGACAATGTAGTAGGATACATACAAGGTGACAGATAATGCTACAGCTATAGAGTCATCCTGACTGATATTAAGTTGAAAATTAAAAAAGAATAACGAAAGGTGCACGCAACTATGAAATAGAGACGGACAAACAAAAGTAGTTATTAGCTATATACAGACTTGACATTTAATATGGAATATTTCAGTTTCGAAGGTATGCCTAGGTAAAAATGAGTTCTATTTTAAAAAACTCTGATCTCAAATAAGATATGTGAATGGAGAAGTGTGTAGTCAGGTGTGTCGCTACCAATTAACTGAATACCAGGTTTGTTGCGCTGCTGAATTATGTAATATGCAGTGATTTCATTGGGTAGTGGTCCTTTGGACAGGTCAAAGCTTGGCTTTGGCAAAGCATGGTTCTGTAAAAAAAGTATCCAAATGTCGGCAACTACTGCATAGAAAATTTTGAAATTTTGCATGCAAGTGGTCGGTTTTGCAGTTTGTAAAATGAGCTATGCAGTATTCTACAAATTTGTTAATCTGTGTCAGAATGGCGCGAAAAAGACAGACATTGCCAGGCAGATAATTGCGCCAAACGAAACGGTCAGCACAATTTTATAAAGTAATGCCCAGACTGATGTTCCTACACACAGGACACACCCAATGTATTGAAATCTTACCACCAGGGTACAAGACCCACTATCTTTCGGGGAATGCTGTTGCAACTAAACAAAAACCACCCTGTCCGTTCAGAATGAGGAGTAAATTGCCACCAAATCGCTTTTTTAAGGCCCTTAGCGAACACCAAACTGGTTTTAGCAGATTAGAATATCAGACGACCTCCGAGGAACCCAATGTAAACAGCAAAACATCGTTGTATGTTTCTCTAATGAATTGGGGACCTTGACAGTTTCTAAGTTGAACACTGAAACCTAGTGGCTTTCGGTATTGAGGTCAGATTTCACCGGTACCGCTCAACTAGTCAAAACAGAGTTTACAGACATCCAGTAGAGTCCAACTGTGCTGCG